GGTTTTCGTGCCGGGACCTGGAAGTTGAATATTCCTTTAAACTTTATTTTGAAAAAGAGTCTTTTTGTGTAAAATACGACTAAGTTAAAATTGGTTTGTATATTTACGACGCTTTTTAACATATTCATACAATAAATGCTCATAAAAATTAAAAAATTCAAAATTTTTCAAAATATTTTTGGTCCCACCACGAAAACATTTTCTCCTTCAATTTCCCACTTTTTTAGCTAAAGCGTAAGCACTAGTATCATGGAAAAACAATTAAAAGCCTAGCTTATAAGCAGCTAGTACAACTGACTATCAGCTGGTACGATCTGATTACTCAGAACCCGACGTCAGATACGATAAATAATGGCACGATAAGGCGGCTAAAATACGATGACTCGAGCTAAAATTATCTAACTTGTCTGGAAATCACGGTTCGCTAGAGCGTGCACGTGCCGTTCCGCGACTAATTTAGTGTTTTTGTGGGTTGGTCAGATAAGTTTTGGCATTTTGAAGTGAGGGAGGTAGATTAGGGTAGGGAGGGTAAGGTAGGATAAAGTAGCATAGGGTAGGGTACGGGTATTAAATTTTAGAATGCTAAGCCTAACTAATGATAAGAAAGCTTGATCTTAACAAACACACTAATTTGTGACATTCAAATTAAAAAAATTAAAAAACAGTCTACTGTCTGCACGAAAAGTCATTGAACACTAATTTGAAATGACAGTAAATAAAGTAATTTACCTTGTTGACACAAAACTAGCAACATAGTATGTTAAGAAACTAAGAACATAAAATGTCTTTAAAAAAAGCGCCAGTATTACATTTATATAGGTTATACGCTCAACCTATGATCATATACGAGTTTAGTGTAATATCACTATTAAATTTTACGTTTTAATGACTTTGAAAAATGTAAACTACAAAGAAAATCGTTGTAATGCACTTAGTACGACATGAAATGTCATAGTATATCGAAGAAAAGACAGAAATTGTTTAAAATGTTTTCGTGGTGAGACCCAATTTATTCAAAAAAAAATTACATTTTTAACAAAAAACTTGCAAATTAATGCATGATAAGTTAAAAATACTCTTAACTTTTCTTTTTTTAATAATCTTAACATTTTACTTTACCTATTTTCTATCAAAAATGGGTACCACCACGAAAACAATCTCAACCTTAAGAAATCCATTAAAAAGCCATTCCTTGCCGAATTTAAATAAAGATTGAAGTAAACAACGCAAAAAGTTTTTCATGCCTCAAAAATTTATAAATTCAAACATCAAACGTGGGTAATACTACGAAATGTTATGTTAACGTACGACAATATTCGAGTAATTGTAAATACCACAACCATAATCTTTCTTATCCTTTTATGATACTTAAGATAATAAGATTATAAAATAAGAAAAGCTTAAGATTCAGATTTTAAACTAACAAATATCAATTAAGAGATGGCATTTCAGGCTAGTGCTACGACATTGACTCATCATCGTATCTTCATGGTAGCTTGGCGGCCAGATGTAAACAACAAAAACATATTTGGAAGGAGATTTTGGCTGTTCTGTGAACAAACTTTTATTGTTTGGCGTGACATTTTGAAAAAATATTTTATGTTACAGCAGGCCTTGCCTTGCCTTGCCCTGTCTGCCCTAGTACCTTCTAACCTGGTCTAATTTATCCTGCTCTACCCCACCCTATCATACCCTACCTTAATATGTCCTCACCTGCTCTAACCTGCCCTGCTCTACAGTAGACTGTCCTAATATATCATACCTTACCCTGCAGTAATAATAGCTTTGTATTTTTGCCTTCAATGTATTTATAATACGAAGTACTACAGTAAAAACAGTCTATATCCAGCAACCATACAGTAACAGAAAGCGATTATAAAGCCAAATAAAGTATAGTTTAAACAAAGATTAATACATGATATATGGTATAGATTATCTTCCACCTACACCTACTAAAATAATTGCAGTTGTTATAGTATAGTATTAATAAAAGTGATTATATTAGTAATTATATCATAATAATTAATTAAGTAATTAAAAGGTTAAAGAGTAAAATCGTTTTTGGACTTGCTGACCTATGTTATAGTAAGTAATGTAAAGACTTTGCCTTGGCCTTAGCTACTAGCTCAACCCTCCCTTAACATAAAATTTTTTTACCTTATCTTACCCTAGTCTACAATTTGTTTTAACATAGCCAAAAGTCACCGACCTTCTAATAAGCATAGTTCTAGCCCCAGCCTTAGGCTAGCCTGGTCCTACTATTACCATACTCTTCCTTAACATGGAAACTCTCAACCTTAACTTAGTCCTAGCCATACTTTAGATTTTCTTTGTTCTTCTGTTGTTCTACCTCAGTCTTACCTCAATTTTCACTACCCCTGCGCTACCTTACCTTACCCTGTTCTTTATACTGTAAAACCTCAAAAACAAGTATTGACCGAATTCTGAGTAAGTCCTTAAGTTGGAAGACAAAAGTTGGCAAACGGGTGACTTAATTACTATGACGACGTTTGTCTTCGAGACAATAACAAAGGCATTACCGTAGTCATAATGAGTAAACTACCCAAAAACTAATTTTAAAAATTAAAAAAGTTAAAGGTCAGACATCAATTGGCATTTTTTATTGTTTTTGTCGGGTCTTAACGTCATTTCTACGTATTTTTTGACCTTAATGGCCATACTGTATAGTATGTTAGCCTTAAACCAAATGGATAGTATATATATGTATATACTATAGTAAATACCTTCCTATATATACATATATACGTAGTAGAGCTCATGGTACACAAAGTAAATGTAAATTATATCACAGTAAAAAACCAATGTAAAAACAAGTGTTTGCTCTGTAAATACTGAAGATACACATAATAACTAAGCCAATTAAAATAAAAAAAATATTGTTTTGATGTCTATACGTCTTGGCAGTTTAACAACAAGCTAATCAAGGCTACAGCAGTCGTCATCTGGATTTGATTAGTATATAACCTCTATCATACATAATACTACCATATGTCATAACATGATGTTTGCTATAACAGGATCCTACCGCACTAGATGCTATAGAGTAGGTATTTGAGTATTACTATGGTAAGTATAAGGTTGTTAAAATAATTCTGTGTCCCTAACTCCAAAAAGATGGTTTGAGAAGGAACACAGCATTATTCGAACAACCTAATACTTAAAATAGTAATACTCAAATACCTACCCTATATCATCTAATACAGTAGAATGTTGTTATAGCAAATATCATGTTATGGCATGTAGTTAACCGTAGTAATACTCAAATACCTAAGTTTACTTTCGAAATACATCTTGTAATCCCGTTTTTGCAACAAGATACGATTTGTAAACGTAATCGTTTCGTATGTTTGTTGATACTTTAATATGCAGTTACTGTTTACATCTGTTTAGATAAGCCGACCAAGTAGTTGATCCTATGTTTGTATGCAGTTTGCTTGCTTTGTTCAATATGTACACATAGGGGTGATGCTATGCCAAGAATATAATATGAACTTGGCTTTTATTACTACTATTTTTTGCTACTATACTCTACCATAACCTGCCATAACCTACCCTACTATACCCTGTCTTACCCTACCCTACTGCACGTTACCCTACCCTAGCTTACTCTACCCTGCCTTAACCTACCTATCTATATTATACACTTCTAATACCCTATATTACCCCTTAACTGTACACCAATATACTTCTTAAAATACCATCATATCCGCCTAAAATGACTTTAAATACGATTATGCCATTTACGTAAAAACATTCTTAACATACGATTAATTTTAGTGTATTTCCCAACATACCATGTTATTTCCGTTGAAATTTGTATTCATTACAGTGTCTACAATCATTACTCTGAAGTAAATAATAGTAATATTGTATTTTACTACACGCAACATAGTACATTCATGTAAATACTTTACAGTAAATACGGTATTGTAAGAAAGTAGCAAGACATATTCGTTTTGACATGAGTAGAAGATGATTAAAACGTACATAACGTAATAAGCCATAAGGTATATGTACACGAATTTACCATCTTATAAACTATTAAATTTTCAGATAATTCTGTGCCCCTCTCAAAAAAAATTCGTGGTTAAGGAGCACATAATAATGTGAACAACCTACTATAACTGCTCTTACATATTTCTCAAGATACGACAATATTACATACAGTGATGTCCAAAGCTACAGTATACTATACCTATTAGATTTTCCAAATAATTCTGTGCTCCTCTCAAAGAAAATTAGGAGTTAAAAGCACATAATTATGTGAAAAAACTAATATAACTGCTCTTACACATCTCTCAAGATACGACGATCTTACATACAGTAATGTCCATGCTACAGTATATTACACCTACCACACATATTTTCATATACCATGGTATATATACTACGTCACATCCAATGCCACACACAAAATGACATTTAAGTCAATAATCTGTCAGTACACACTAACCACGTTAATAAGCTGTCAATATACATTTACCACGTTAATAATCTGTCGATATACCAATATAACGTCCATAATCTTTCCATACACTAATACCATTGTCAAACCACCTAACTACGTTCATATCCCGAAAGTAAACAGAAGATACGAAAGGATTAGATACCATTATGACACAAATATAACCGCAGTAATCTTGTTTTACAACTAATATTGTGTTTACATCCAATCAATTTATTTTAACTACGCATTTCATCCCATTTAGCTTGGTATTTCAGTAATTGGATATAAATATTGACACATGACAATATCTTGAAATACCTTCGAGTAGTTAAAGTATATTTTATTAAAAAGATATTGAAATAGATTTACCAGTACAATATAAAGATAAAGAATGCCCGGATAACAATATAAATTCATTTTCGATCGAAAATCGACAAACCCAGTTTAACATTTTTCCAAAAAAAAATTTAAGGCAGTAAATATACAATAACATTAAACTTTTAAACAATAACAACAATGTAAAATTCAAAAATTAGAAATATACCATAAAACACTCGATTATTTTATTCCCACCGGCATAAGAATATACCCAAATGATAACAAAATCTTGTTTTCCAGCGTATTTCGTCTTCATCTCATCCGCATCAAACAAAATTTCAACATCAGAACCATTCTTCGCTACATTGTGCTGACGATCATTGCGAAATCCGCAATAAAAATGCATATCTCCTCTACCCATATGATTCTTCAACCGCACCAACAACTTCTTCCTACCATTCAAGTGCAAATCCGTGAAATCTAGAGCATCGTATTTGTTGAACACAATCTCCTTGACTACTGGGACATCATTCACTTGCTCCTTAACATCAGGTTTGAGTTCAGGCAACCTGTAGTTCAAATAGATAACCTCAACACATTTATAAGCCAAATAGTCCATGCCCAGGCTATCGGCCACAGTCCAGCATTCTTGAGCACGCTTTAGTTTGATGTTCTCCAATAGAAACAGCTCACATTGGTCCTAAAACAAAGGTTTAATACAAAGTAAAACGAATTACCTTGGTAATATTACCTAAAGCAAAACGATTTAGATTAATAATATAATTACCTGCAGAAGATTGATTTCGTAGAGATGAGCTAGCTGAACAACTTTCATAGCCAGATCAACATTTTCCACCTTCTTGTTCTGGTGAATGAATAACAGCATCGCTTCCACAGCATTGACATCAGCTTTGATCTCCATCTCTTCGTCCATAACTTCTTTGAATTGGGTCTTGAACATGGTCTGAAAGACGCTAGATCTTTGAGCCATCAAGAACCTTGATACCTAAAAAAGTTAAAAATGAACGCTTGAAAAGAGTAAAAGGTTAAACTCCAAAGCAGTAGGTTTTTGTTACCTAAAATTTGAAAAGAAATGAATCTTCTACAACAACGTTTTTGAATGCCAAAACCTTTGCTTTCCAATGTAAATTACTTGTTTTATACCTAAAATTCAACCAAAAATTAAAATAACTTACAAAGTATGTTTTGGTGTTCGTCTTCCCAACCTTGACTTTAAAATCGCTGAACTCTGACTGGTTGAACATATTATTGCCGTCCTTATGCTCCACAATCTCCGCCAAACGTCCTGAAACGCACTATATTATACATTTCAAAATAAAAACCAATTAAAACAAGTCTGCTAATAGCTTGACACAAAAATAATACAAACAATACAACAAAACATCTATAATAACATGAAACGAGGAAACTTTTAATGTTATCCTAAGTTATTACCTTGCAAACACAAGATCCTTTCCTGGATCGCCTTCTGATTCTGTGCGATTAGACTTGGATTTGACATCTTGTCCAAATTTGTGAAGACAAGATAATTTTATAATTTTAAGCTAAACATAGACTCGAAATATTCCGAATGCCATATTTTTTAGACGAAGTGATCTCTTTTTCGGAAACTTTTGATGTGTGTTTGCGTGGCGCAGTGACATGGGTTGAAAATTTGAGACAGAAGCTCGTGAGTTCGGTTCTCGGCAACTGCAAATGCTTATTTGAGCTTTTAAGTGTAGTTAAAAGTGCTTCTTTAGTTAACTAGTAACTAATTCATTACTTTATTTAACTTTTGAATTTTTTAATGTTTTAACCTGTCAATTTGTTTAAAAACTGACTTTAAAAAATTGATTTTTCGTTTTTTCGCCGTTTATTCGATTGCATAACTTCCGTTTACATTTCTCACAATTAATTGCCATACTTTTAGAATCATGTTGATATTCGTATAGATCGTATCTTAATCCACGATATGTTTTGACACCACTTAACATGTGAAAAGCCTGGGAATGGGGGTACATGTAGATCTGGTTACAGTTTTATGTAATATAATCGTATTTGTCGCGTGCGACTTTTAAATACTTGATGGATTAAGAGGGTTACTGTAGAATACACCAGGGTTCCGTTTTATAAATATTGAGGGTATAGGCGAGGTTACGGTATGTGTTCTTAAAGGTATCTGATAGCTAGCGCTCCGGAGTCAATTTTGATGTGAGGAAGGAGGGGGGGGGGAAGAAAAATAGTGAATTTTTTTTGCCAAGAGCACAAAAATTTTAAACTTAAAAAAAATTTTTTTTAATTTTGTTTTCTACTCCCTCCCCCACCCCTCCTCCCAAAAATATCCGCCTGTCTATACCTATATGACTCCCACATTGCTTCAGTAACATAATACGAGATAATTGAATAAACTCGTCGTTCGAGAGTTGTGACCTGTTAATCCCGACAACAAAAGTGTCAAATGTTTGTCTAACAAAGCACTTGAATAAACATATAACAACACCTGGGCCATTATGTCGATATGATGGGCCATAGTCGAGAGACACGATGTAAAAAAAGTTTTGGCTTCTTAACGAGGGCATTATTAATGTAAATATTTCCATTAGGTTTATAAAACAATGGTATTAATGTTATTAGGTCAGCGCAAAGGTTTATAAATCGACTGCACGGTGCAAGGTTTTTAAGCTTTTGAGTTGCACGGTGTGACGAATATTAACTTTTGTATGGCAACGTGTAGAACAATAAAACTTTTGTAAAATTATGTTTAAAGTTCAAATTTTAAACTTTTTTTATATTTCTTAAAGCAATTTAATTATATTTTACCAAAAAAATTGTAAGAAAATTAATTTTACGTTTTTTGCACGGTGCAAGCTTTATTAAATTTTGTATTGCACCGTGCAGAAAAAAAAGAATCTTTTTAAATTGGGTTCAAAATTTAAATTTTAAATTGGCTTTTATATTTTTTAACTTAAAGTAATACTATTTCTTAAAAAAATTTTAAAATTACACTTGAAATGTTTTTGCACAGTGCAAAATTAAATAATCAAATATTGCACTGTGCAGTTAGAATATATTAAGTTATAAAATTGACTCAAATTTTTAAAAAATTTACATTATTTTACATTATAAAGCCTATGACAATGTTGTTTGACGGAAGATACGATAATTGGTGGTCAATTATCGTATCTTCCACTAACTTTACATAAGTGCAAGGTTACGCAACCAATAATGTAAAATATTATTGAAAGCAACTTTATAGGATGAGAAATGGCATTTTCATTTAAAAATACGTACCTTTTTATTAAAAGTTAGCTAAAATACATTTTTTACTTAATAAATTTACAATATAAATTTGAAGAAAATATATGATCATACTATAGTTTTATACTGTAACATTACTAGTAAAACACAAAAAAATTCAAGGTGACTCCCTTTCCAAGTAAAACCATTTACTGTGTAAAAATCAACAAAAATTAAGTATATTATACATGGGGACCCGTGAGTAATTTTGTAAACTATATATAATATAATAGTAGTAAGTGATAGTATTGTAGAAAAGTTATAGTAACAAAAAGTGAAGTTAAAAAAACATAATGCATATACTATGTATATTTAAAAACATATTAAAACAGTCAATATTACACTATAATACATACTAAGTTGTTTAAATAATTCTGAGCTACACGACCCTGAAAATTTGTACTGAGAGGTAGCTCAAACTTATTTGGACAACTTAATATTGTAGTTTTAGGTATAACTTAAAAGATAAGCGTTATAGTGAAATAAATTTTGTTGTACTAGCTAATAGCCTAAAAACTAATAACAACATACTGTAAGTTGAGAATTAAAAAGTTATCTAAAAATGACAGTTCATATTTTACTTTGACTTTCTTCTTTTACTACAAAGACTATCCTCGTCAATCTGATCGTATGTTCTTTTGACAGCTCTTGGTTCATACTCGTCATAGTCACTCTCCTCGTTTATTATCGTGTTCTCTTCGGAGTTGGGCGACTGCTCCAGACTGATACCGTTAGGACCTTCTTTTCCCTTTTTTCTCTCTTTTGCCCTGCGGTTTTTGAACCAGATCTAGAATTTTATTATAAATTTAAGTTTTGACAATTTACCCTACCCTACCCTACCCTACCCTACCCTACCCTACCCTACCCTACCCTACCCTACCCTACCCTACCCTACCCTACCCTACCCTACCCTACACTACCTTACCCTACCGTACCCCACCCTACCTTAAAATATGCGGTCCCTTCCCTTCCTCTACCATATTTCTTATTTACTTCACCCTCCCCCCCCTCTCACTGCCCTTCCGTACCCCAACCTACCTCAACTCTTTCCTCCTTCAGGTCACACTGTAATGCCAGCTTCTCTCTCAATGTCATGTCTGGATACTGATTTATAGCGAAGTTGTGCTCTAGAATACCTAGTTGTTCATCTGTAAAGATGGTACGATGACGCCGTTTGCGACGACACTGTGATAGCTGGTGTAACATATTAACATCACCATTGAACACTGGTAGGTATGAGAGGGGGGAGAACATGTTTACTGAAATATGTATTTAGAAGATTTACCATGGCATTATATAGTGTTTAAGGTAACATTTTGTGTTTTACTGTGTTAAGAATAGTACATACTTTATATTTTAGGTATGACGAGTGCTATACCTATATCATTAAAGCCCTAGAATATGTTACTGTACCATTAGATACCTTAATGTACTCTATTGTTCCATGTCTTACATCCACCGACAATTACGCAAGTTTGTCGCTTACTGTGTCATTTTGCGGAAGTGTTGGCGGTAAATTCGAATGGTAAAGACATGGTATTGTCAAGGATGAAAAAAGACATGTTTGTTGTCATTATGTCAGGTGGTGGCTGGGTAAACATTTAAATATTAAAATTAATAGTGATGGTATGCATAATTTACTTTAGCTTTGAGTCTTAACCTTAGCTTTAGCCTGAGCTAGAGTTTGAACTCGAGTCCTAGCCTTAACCTGAGCCTGAGCATGAGTCTGAGTCTGAGCCTGGGCCTGAGCCTGAGCCTGGGCCTGGGCCTGAGCCTGAGCCTAAGCCTGAGCCTGAGCCTGAGCCTGAGCCTGAGCCTGAGCCTGAGCCTGAGCCTGAGCCTGAGCCTGAGCCTGAGTCTGAGCCTTAGCCTTAGCAAGCCTTAGTTTAGCCTAGTCCAGCCAGAATCAGTTCCCAACCGTAATGAAGTTTACAAACCTTACTGGAGACTGATACCTACAGTAATCCAGACTTTAATTTCGACTTTTATTAGATTTGAAGCTTTGATACTACACCTTGCCTAAGCCCTCCTCAGTCTAAATCTTACAGTAATTAAACGCCAAGCCGTACTAATACTACCTCTTCAACTCCTACAGTAATCCAGCCCCTCTGTTCAACTTTGTTAAACTTTGAAGCTTTGATATAATCTTCACATAGTCTAAGCCTACCTTCCTTCCGTTCTTCTTTTAATCTCACTACACTTAAAAGACTAGGCCGTACCAATACTATCTCTCCAACTCCTACAGTAATCCCCAAACCGCTGTTGTGCTCTCTCAATTTGACAAACCCATTTCGAACAACAAACAGAGAAGATTCGACGATAATCGGCTTACCAACTCAACATGATTATCAGTCGGTTTTCCTTATTCGTAGTTATAAGACTATTAAGTGGAGTTTTAAACGAGAAAAACGATTAACACCCCCCTCGCCAATTAGCGACGGTCCGCCGGCTACACGAAAAGATAAAGTGATCAGGCGACGTCGAAGGTAAGATAACGTCGCAAAAGATATTACAATACAGATTTGGCGTCAAGTAGATAATGGCTGGTGTTTTACAGTATGAGGGGTAGGGGTGTATATGAGATAAGTTACAGTAGGAAAGTAGGGTTCTTCTACTGTTTAAAATTACAAAATTTCAAAAAATGTAAGAAAATAGAAAGCAAATTTTAAAAAATTTTGGAGGTAAATGTAGTTTAAAAGATCAAAAATGAATTTTAAAGGTCTTTCAAGACACTTCACCTAGGTATGTGTTAATATAAATAAGCCTACATGTTCCTAAAGTATAAAAAAAACTATTAGGTTGAATCAAAAGTAGTGGGACACTTGTTAGTTGCAAAATAAATAAAAAATACACCGCTACTTTTGGTTCAACCTAATAAATTATAAAAAAAAGTTCACACAACAACCCTTTAGCAAAACTCATAACTTTAAAATTAAAAAAAATCAAAATTTTGTACTTACTAGAGAGTTGCTTCAAATATTCCGCTAGATATAGAACAAGACCTATATAGAATAAAATAGCATATAAAGTCACCAAGAAAATAATGTTCAAAAACTTCTAGATATGTCTTGGCTAGCGAGATATAATATTCACGACTAAATTTAAATCCCCTCGGTTTTATTTTACAATTATGACAACACGTTTTGGCCTAGCTTTAGTCTTACTTTTACTATTAGCTACGTTTACACCTCAAACAATATTATGATTACAAAATACAGTGGAACCTTCGTATAAGGAACCTCTCTATAACAAAACCTCTTCATAACGAACAACTTTTAATTCCCCTAGCGATTCGTTATACCGTGGTTTCATTGTATTTTTTAGTCATAACTAAACATAATATCAAATGTTTATTCATACCCTAATAAAACAACCAAAAATTTTAAAATTCAAAACTGAGAGTTTTGACTGATAAATATGCTTATAATTTCAAACTTTAAAAAAATTTTAAATTTAATACGTAGTATTACGCAGTAAAACAAACTCCCTTATAACAATCTTTTCTATGAAAACCTCATTTATAACAGACTCACCTATAATGAAAACCCTGTATAACAAACAACTGTTAACTCTTTGTCTAACACTACATAGTGCATTTAAAACTTCTTTATACCCAAACTCTTTTGTAACAAACCCAAATTCCCTAACAGATTCGTTATACAAGAGTTCTACTGTCTTTGTAAAATTAAATTTTAAAAAAATTTTTAAAAACCAAATTCAATATAATCAACCAATATATGATCAAATAAAACCTTACTCAACGGCATTCCAAGAAAGCTGGTCGATGGGAACGGGCTAGCCAAATTGATTTGGGATTGAGAGAGCATGTCCAACGGATACGATGGACTAGCTGTAGATAATTGTGGTAGACTTAATGATGGTACTTCTGGTACTTTTTGCTCTTTTTTAGCTAACAAGTTTGCTATCAAAAAACTCATCTGAAAAAGGGCAAGCATAATTAACATTTTTTAATTTTAACAATTTAAAATGACATTTGAAATTAAACTTTACAAAACTTAAGACGCATCGTTATATATCATGATATTGACCATATTAGTCGTATTTAAAATTTAGCAAAGTGTGAAAATTTTCAAATAATTCTGTGCCTCCTAACTGCGAAGACTTGCTTTAAGAGGAGGCACAGAATTATTTTAACAATTAAAAATAATTTATAATCAAAAATATAGCAATTTAAATCTTTTGAAAATGTTTAAAAGTCTTGTCGTTTTTTAACTGAAAAACATACATAAATTAGCGACAAAACTATTTTCAACCATTTTTTAATAAATTTTAAGCCTTTTTACTGTAATTAAAGCCTTAAACTTGCTATCTTCAACTCCGATCTTAGTTTTTTTCTACATCCCCCCCCCCTATACCTCTATCTTTTCTTCCCACCCCAAACTCCCCCTCCTAGCTACCCCAATCCTTCTCTAATATTCCAATAATCCTGCCCAATCTACCGTAACCACAGCTTGCTAAAACAAAGTCAACAGGCCACCAACAGCAACCGGTGCACAATATTATGATACTCTATTAAAATCGATTAAGGTTGCAATTAAGCCGAAGATGATGAGAAATTAGAGCGACGACATAAAGGAGGTTGCGCCTTCATCTACCATCCCGAGCATTATCGACCAAGTCGGGCGTGAACCCGGCTCCGCCCCCACCCTTTTCCTTCCCTATCCTTTCCCCTCTCGTCACCCCTCCCGTCCCCCTCTCCTCTCGTCCCCCCAGCCAAGGCTCGTCGCTGATTGGTGGAACGGGGATTAGGCGTGGGTATTTGCCCGTCGAGCGAACTCCCATCGCATTAACACCCAAAAGGTTCACGTTTCAGATCAGGGTAAACACCAACGTTTTAATCCGCTTCTGTAAATCATCTCGAAATAACACATCAAATAAGCAATGTCAACTTGAAGATAATACACGGTTGTTGAAAGGATGACTTACACTATACTTTTTTAAATTTAAATTTGTTGTTCCATTAGGTTGTTCAAATAATTCAATTGTTTTTTATTCATGAGTTATAGACATTTAAAAGTGTTCAAAAACCAAAAAAGTTCGATTCCGCTTGAAAAATCGGATATGTATAAATAATTTCCAACATAAGCATTGTTATGTCAATTGTGGACCGTCCATTAATTTATAAAAATAGAGAAAACAAGTGTCACCGTTCTTTGCGTTAATCACTGGAATCTGATCATTGTCAATCTTCAAATTTTTGAACTGTTGGTAGACGGTCAAACGATTGGTATCAGATAATTCTAGTTGATCAACAGCACATTTAAAGGCATTGAAGTCGTGGTCAAACCAAGCACTAGTCAGTTTCGTTAGAATCGGACAATCTAAAAATGATTAACTAAAAAGGAAAGTACCCAACCCTCAAAATTAGCTCAAAATATTTATACACATTCTTTGTAGTACCAGGAGCACATATAAAAAATCTTACAAGGAAATTACACTACCTGCCCCGCTCTCACGACTTAAAATACGACTTACGTTTCGTAAAAGTCAGATAACCCTCTCCGTCTGGTTTTGTGTATACAAACTTTGCCATTGGTCCTGCCACAAAAAACGGCATAATGTAAATGGTGCCAAAGCGAGGGCGATAGTAGGATGGGTTTGTTCTTCGCCAAATGCAGTCATTTTTGTCGTAATAACAAAACTGAAAAGTTGGTTAACGAGGAAAGTACGCTACCTGCCCCGCTCAGAATTAGCTCAAAATTTTTATATGAATTTCTTGTACTACCAGTACTTATAAAAGTTTTAGCTTGCGCTTTAGTTTTAAATTTGAATTATTTTGGTTTCCCGCCAATTTGGCAAATTTGGCCTTGTGTTGCAAGCACACTTTTCAATTTTCTAGTCACGCTACGCTTACAAATTTAAAAATTTAGGTTCATTTAAAGGTATTCTTCTAGTATATCAAAGAAAAATTCATCAAAGTCAAAAAATGGCAAAGTTACTAGCTTGAAACACAATGCCAAGTTGGCGGGAAATCCAAAATGTCAGTTTTTAATCTCGATTTTCTCGAGATTTCCTGGGAAGCGCGATTTAGTACTTTGCTAAAGATCTTATATTTACATGGTCTTTCTATATAAAAAGTTTGAAGTTAATCAGAGCGGGGCAGGTATTAGTTCTATTACAGGTAAGGACATTTAAAAATGTTCAAAAACCAAAAAAGTTCGATTCCGCTTGAAAAATCGGAGGTTTTTTTAAATTTTAAAAATCTGTAACTCTTTTACCATAGGAGATACAATATTAAGACTTTCTGAACTTGTAAAAATTTTTCAGCTCTATAAAACGTACATCTTCAATTTTTAAAAAATAATTTATGCACGTACTTCGGAAGTAGGGTACGGTAGAATTACTGTTACTTTTTTGAACCAACAAGAAACAATTTTTTTTTTGCAATTTCGTTGACAAATAGTATATTGTAAAGTCACAAAAATTTTAAGCCTTACTCTTTTAGTTTCAAGAAATTTATACTTAAAACCGTCGTGTCCCATTTTTTCTTGCCGCCACTGTAGCGTTGATCGGTTTGCCAACTAAAAGGAAACAAGGTTCTTGTTGATCATCTTCTAATAAGGAATTTGTACTCCATATTAAACTACAGTGGTCTCTCTATATTATGAACCTTGTGTATAAGCAACTATCCTTATAGTAAACAGGACATTTGGCCCCTCCACTTCAATTTCCACTAAAAACCACTCTGTAAGGACAACACCCCCTATAATAAACAAAAAGTGTCAGTCCCTTTGAGTTGCTTATATAGAGAGATTATCTATAAGCAACTGTATTAAGATGTTCAACTAATTCTGTGCCCCTTCTCAAAGCAAAATTTTTTGAGAAGCACATAATTATTTGAACAACGTAATATTTTTCTGTCCTCCATTGTTTATAGCTTTTAGGCTTGTACAGCCTTTTTCACAGCATTATCGCTCATTCTACGGTGCTCATACATATAATATTTCTCGTTGTATTACTGTTTTAAAATAAAAAAAAATGTTACAAAAAATAAAATTTTAAAAATATTGAATGTTATTTACCAATTTAAAAAAAATATTTTAAAAAATTGCCACTAGACTAATCCCAAACCTCATTTGACAATCAGAAACAAATGATCGTAACACTTTTGGAATCACACTCCTGGTCAATAATTATTTGATTTTAATTTTATGGTACGTATCTTTATTTTTATACAATTTTTAAGTATTTTATACAATTTTTTTAATCACAATATCAACATAAATATGTCCAATATTGTTATAACATTCACGTTCTTTGATAAGAAATGTTCGTTTGGCATTCCGCCTCTTTTCAGGAGATTTCGTGGTTCCATTAGGTTTGCGGGTTTTTCGTCTATTTTTCTCGGTTTTCTATCCTTTTGATACTAAACAGAGTGTAAAACAGCAAAAACTAGCTTTATTCTGGTTGATTTTTTGTGGAAATTATAGTTTTACGTGAATTTGATCATTCGTTTTGTTATTTTAATATTTTCAGGCCAAAATGAGCGCCGCAGCTCGTCTGAACGTGGTAAGTTACTTTTCTTGTTTCTCTTTTAGGACATTATCTTATGAAAAGGTTATTTATAGTGTTTCTAATGATTTGAAAATGGTTTGACGTGATAATGCTTTCAGTTTTTTGTTCGTTGTGTATATTTTAAGTGTTATTATAATTATTTTATATCTAAAACAATATAATCTGTTTATTTTCATTTTTGCAAGTTTGTCTTATTTATATTTATGGTTTAGCGCAAATTGGCAGTAGGCGCTGGAATCTGCGCTGCTTCTGGGTTTGTATACGCTTTAGAAAAGTCAGTTGCTCGAGCTGGAGATCACGGTGTTCATCCATACGCTTTGCCATGGTCACACGCTGGAAAATTCGATTCTTTGGATTACAGTTCGTAAGTTTTTTACTTTATTGTTTCGGCATTTAGGTATTTGATTTGTGACTAATTTGGAAGCTACAGATTTGAAAATGGCCTTTATGTTGTTGTAGTAGATGTCTTTCTTGGTTTTTGCAAAAAATTGAAGAGTTTTCGATGAAAAAAAAACTTATAGTTAAATCGAAAAGATGGAACAGAGTCTTATATAGCTCTTTGTTGGATATATGTTGTTTTGCGTAGAGGAAAAATTAATTTTTATAGCGTTTTGATAAACCTTTGGTTTGTTTCAACTGGAAGATACTATAATTTTATACGATCGCATAGCTTTATTGAACTTTTTTTTTCAGAGTAAGAAGAGGTTATGAAGTATACAAGCAAGTGTGTGCAGCTTGTCATTCAATGAAGTTCTTGCGTTATCGTCATTTTGTTGATGTATTCATGACTGAAGAGGAAGCCAAGGCCGAAGCCGCGGAAGCTTTGGTCAACGACACTGACGGCAATGGTCAGGCCATTCAACGTCCGGGTATCTTGACCGACGCGCTGCCAAACCCATATCCAAACAAGAAGGCTGCCGCGGCCGCCAACAACGGTGCTGCTCCGCCAGATTTGTCACTGATGGCGTTGGCTCGTCACGGTGGAGACGACTATCTGTTCGCGCTGTTGACCAGTTATTTCGACCCACCAGAGGGTATTAAGGTGGATGAAGGAAAGTCGTACAACCCTTACTTCCCGGGCGGTGTCATCTCCATGCCTCAGCAGTTGTTCGACGAAGGTATCGAGTATAAGGACGGTACTCCCGCCACTCAAAGTCAACAGGCCAAGGATGTGGCCACTTTCATGCGCTGGTCCGCCGAGCCTTATCACGACACCAGAAAACTTTATGCTCTTAAGGTGAGGTTTTATTTGATTTATTTTGTTTTAGGATAGAATTACCTACATCAATATGTCAGTTAAAAATCTACTTTGTTTGTTAAAACTGCTAAAATATTTTTTAAAATGACAACAATATATATTAGAAGATTGATGTTGACTTTTAACTTCCACTTTAAACCCTTTGTTTTAGGTTCTGTCTGTTATCCCAGCCCTGGCGTTCGTACTACTGTTCGCCAAGAGACACGCCTGGTCCTTCATTAAGAGTCAGAAGTTCGCCTGGAGAACCACCAAAGGTCGTACGCCACCCACTCAACAACAGTAGATTAATGTTTGTGAAGCGGCCGAAACTATCGTTATTGGCAGAGGTTTCTAGGCTATTTTTTAGATCGAATAAACCAAAAGTGATAAGCTGCGGTGCTTCGATTGATTAGTACATTATTGGTTTATTAAATACCTATACTAGTTTTTTTTCGTGTTATGGGTGTGTATGGTGTGCATACAGATGTATGAAGGAGTGTTTTAGTTATATTAATTGTTTTTTTTTGCGATTTCAAGTCTTTTTAGGTATAACTTTAGTTATCTTTAATCGCTTTTTCGCTTATTTTTGGTTTTTTTACTCATTTTTAGGTAGAATTTTAGTAATTTCTGGTTGTTTCGACTAATTTACTGTTTTTTAAAACTTTTTCTTGGTGTTTATAGCTATTTTTTTATGAAAGATGGCATTTCAACAACAACAAAGTCAGTTAAAGGCACTTTATATCAGAACTCAGTAAACCAGTACAATAACTCGGTAAATCATTATAATTTTAAAACAAAATCAGTGAGGAAAGGCACGTTTCACTTGGAGATGACCTGTTTTTGAGCTTGACCCGCTTTGTCCAACATTCGTATGAGGGTTTCCCGGAAGACGGACTGTTTCTGGATGAATCCGAGGACATGGCCCACGTTTGGCAACGATGTGACCGCCGAATCGGGCCATAGTTGGTGGATGTGTGGAGCTCCTTCCTGTTCAATATAGGCATCGTTTTCGGCAACAACAAACGTGGCCAAGTCCGGTCTTAATGGCACTGGGTAGTTGCTGAGACAAGTGAACTGCTCCATCAGAATCCACATGAACGTTTTGGCACGGTCAAAGTCGTCGTACTTGACTGGAGGGTTGTGGTCGAGGCGATGAAGCCAGTCCTGTCCTTTAATCTGGGCCATGGCGTCGATGAACTTGGGGTCTTGGAGTTCGTTGGCCAAGGATTCCCAGTTTATGGCGTCGGCCAAGGCGCCTCGAGTGTAGACTGGAGCGGCGCTGGTCCAGGACAGGCACGGTACGACTGCTACGGGCACAGGGGAGTTGGTGGCTGCTAGTCCAGCCATGTAGCCGCCTAATGAAACGCCGGCTAGGCCCAGGGGTCCATGACCTTGTTCTATCGCCCATCTGAGGAGGTAGTTGCATTCCACGATGAGAGAAGCTCCCATCACAAAGAGATCGGACACATTTCGAAGCGAGGATCGAAATTGTTCTGGAAAGCATGTTTTTATTTATCTATGTTATCGTCAACTTTCAAGTTTAGGCTGTATTATCATTCACAAGGTTCAGATCTCGGTGTAGTATAATTTAAAATGCCATAGCTAGTCCTGTGGCAAAATGCCATAACTCGAGTTGCTCTGTGTCTTTTTTGGCTTCCAAACTTCAAAGCCCATACCTACCTGGTGGCTTCCTCCTGCCATAAAATGGATTTTCGACCAGGATCGAGCTGATTCCTTCGTTCAGAAGGTTCGATGTGAATGATCGTTCCCTCAACGTGAACGTGTGATCTCCAGTTGGTGCCAATATGATGACAAGCCCTTTTCTTCGCTTCACGTCCTTTATAAAATGTCCTCTCCAATGGCAGGTCATCACATTTTCGGTGGGGTAGAGTTCGGGGTAGTAGAAGCCTAGGGGCGATTGGAAGTGGGCGTCCAGACATTCTACGTTGTTGTTCTGCCATTCCTGGAAAGAAATATGGTTTTTAGAGAGAAATGTCTTCGGAAATGTTCTGAGCGGGGCAGGTTGGGTACTTTCCTTGTTATTTTTTGCACCGTGCAGGGGCAAAAATTTTTAAAACTGTAATTTTTCAAAAACGATACCGTTAAAACCCCATTTTTTACTGTAGAAATGACACAATTAAACCACTTTTCCACAAAAAAACGTTAAATTTGATCTTTGTTGTTCAAAAATTGTGTAATTTCAAAAAAGATTCGCTAAATTTGGGCTACTTACCTTGGTTATGACAAGCGGAGGAGCTCGTTCACTGTAAAAAAAGCTTGATTTCCCTTTCCCAATATAGTTGTCGATTCCGTGTTTCAAACTGAAAGCTGTCTTTTTAAAGATATTAAGGTTTGGTAGCAATATATTGATATCTTCATATATTCTCGTTTGAACATAATTGGTATATTATGTTAGATTTGACAAGTCTTTTTTAATGTAATCAGTTGGCTGACGACATTTTTGACTAAAACAAGGTACTAAGTTGTTCAAATAATTTTCTGCCCCTTCTTAAAGAACATTTTCGGGGTTTGGGGGCACTAAATTATTTGAACAGCCTAATATGGTCAAAAACGTTTACCATACCTTATTTTAGTTAAACATCTCATTAAAAATGACAATTCTTTGTTTCAAATAATTTCAAAATTTTTTCGATTCTCCATAAACTTTTTGACCGCAAATTTAAAATTTCGTTTTTTTTTTCAAAAATGTCATAACTTAATGTAGAAGCTAAAACTCACGCTCTAAACGTTTCAGGCCGTCCCCAGGAGTTGGTGAACAGTTTGGAGAAGAGGAGGACTCGTCGCACAATGAAGTCCACCTGGTTCTTGGCCGACATGGCCCGGCCCCTGACGATTGTGTTGGCTAGCGAGTCGCCGCGAAGGCTGGAGCTCCTGAAACAAGTGGTACGTTATTTTTATGACTGATATTGGCAAAAATTGAAAAAAACTTATTCAATTTTTTAAAAACTGCAATAAATTTTAAAAAATCATTTTCTATCACAATTTTCCGCTAAAAAATGACAAATCATAATGACAAAACTGATTTTAGGGCCTCAACCCAATCGTATGTCCATCTGGATTCGATGAAGTCTTAAATGAAGTCTTAACGCCTCGAGATTTCGTGGAAAAATGCTCGTTTGAAAAGGCCAAATCGGTAAAACAAAGCTGGATCGAACAGAAAGTAAGTGGTAAACTTTTAAATTTGGGGTTGTTAATATAGAAAAAACTTTAAATTTGGATCGTTAGTATACAAACTGATAATTTAAAGACAATGTATTAAGTTTCTCAAATCATTCTGTGCCCTTTTTGAAAGCAAATTTCCGGGGTTAGGGGCACAGAATTATTTTAACAACCTTATAAATCCAATTTTACAGCAAAAAAAATAAAAAAACATGGAATTGGCCAAAAATCACAAAAATTGATAAAAATGTTTTTTTCAGAAACCATTTGACATTGTGCTTGGAAGTGACACAATCATCGAAATCGATGGATTAATTTTGGGAAAACCCAAAGACGACCAGGAAGCCATGGAAGTCCTCAAAAAGTAAGAAAAGTCACATTTTTAAAGGTTTTAAACAAGAAAAATGACGTTTCAAACGGTTTTTAGGACTAAAAAAAGCTCAGACTTATTGCACAGTGTAATTTAGTACCTTTCTACATAATTTACTGTCGAAAATCTGAAAGACTAGAGAAAAGTAAGAAAGAAGTCAAGTATAGTGTTTAGGCTAAGCGGCCGAACCCACTTGTGCCTAACTGGAGTGTCATTACAAACCCCAACCAAGGACAGGACTTTTGTGGTCGAAACGAAAGTTCGCTTCAAAGAGCTGCCCGATTCCCTCATCAAAGCCTACATTCAAACACAGGAGCATGTGTGAGTTTGTATCAAACGTGGCCTTGTACATAAACAGTACTATTTATAACACACGCATATTTAAAAAAATTTCAGTGGCCGCGCGGGAAGTTACAGTATCCAAGGGAAGGCCGCGGTTTTCGTCGACGGAATCGAAGGCTGCTACAATAACGTGGTCGGATTACCAGTGAGTAAAGTGGTGCAGGAAATGGCCGAATTAATTGAATGAGACGGTTTATTGTTTCAAAAAAATTTAAAAATTCTAAAAATCAATTTAAAAACTGTACAAAATAAACGAATTGAAATTTAATGGGAAGGTATCCGGGATAAGTTGTTGTTAACCACGTTTTGTACATCTATAACGATACATTTTGTATAGTACGGTGGCTAGACATAAAGTATTAGGTTTTTCAAATAATTCAGTGCCCCCTCTCAAAGAAAATTGTCGGAGTTAGGGGCACATCATTGTTTGAACAACCTAAGAATTCAGAAATCTTTTGTCCTTTTGATAATTAAAATCCTAGAGCTCATATGTTATCATGGACAATATAAAAATACAAAATACTAGTCACTATGTGCCTATATGCTATAACTGGTATTAACGATACGTTAAGTAGAGTAAAACGATCTAAATGCCATTTTTTAAGACAAAAATACCTCAATTTTTTCTATTGTTACCTAAAATCAAATACTCTGTTGTAGAATGACAGTATGGTTCATCACTGTCATAATACAACTATTACCATACATTACTGACTATCACTACAATATAACTAGAGTCATTATCATATAAAGTCCCACTATTACTACAATATCTACTCATGAGGTGGACAGTCGCGGCTATATTTGAGTTCAGGTGGCTTGGTATCCCTATATTCGGTGAAAACGGCCGAGTTCGGCGCTGATCCATAAATATCCAGAGTACTTGGTCTCTGATGGTCTTCGTTGAGTTCTGAAACCGATGCCAATGTGTTATCGTTCTTTTCGTCGTTCGCATCTTGATTCGTTCGTTTTGTGCCACGTCGTTTGACTAGTAATGGTGCTGTTGTTACGTCCATTAAATGGAAGCCGGCTTTGTTGGCGGTCCAGAGGGCTGTGATGGTTTCGTTGAAGGATTCGCCTGAAAAATGATAATGTATTCGTTAGAGTTGGGAGTGAAGCTAATATATAGTTGATTCTGTTTTCAGAGACGTCGCTACAGATTTTTTCAGAGAGGGGGGGGGGGGGGTAAAAGCCGAAAAAAATTTTTTTAATCAGTCGTAGCGGTACCTTACACCCATTTTTCGATTATTTTCCAATTATCAAAATTTTCAGTCCATGCCCCATCTTCCCCCTCCCCCCCAAATTTTTATTTCAAAAACTTTAACTTGATCCCTCTAACCATTTTCATCAAAAATTCCCCAAAATGCTCAGCTAAACACATTTCCACCTCTCTGCACTCATAACAACTAAACCTAAAAGGGCTCACCCGGCTTGAGCCAAACTTGAAAAGGTCTGGGCCGAGAAATTAAGCTTGGACCGGCCTCTTTACAGGTCAAGTAATAACAAAAACAACTTACCAGCCGACCTTGGCAACAAAGTAGGAGTAGGTAGTTGTTTGACTTCCGCTAGGATATTGTTCTTCTTGTGCATGCTGATCCATGGATGACGGCATAGTTCAGCCAAAGTTAGTCGTTTCTTTGGGTCGATTGTTAGTAATCCTGCAAAGTTTTTTGGTAAAATACGCTATGTTTTTCTAAATGCACTTAAAAAGCGAAGAATTTCTTTACAAAAAATTTTAGTTTTGAAAATTTTATGAAAACCGCAATAACTTTCTTTACAAAAGCTAAATTTAAAAATTTTTGGTAAAACCGCAATAACTTTCTTTACAAAACCATTATGATTAAACTATCTTGTTTAATTTTGTCACTTACCAGTAATCAGATCCTTGGCCATATCGCTAACATTTTCAAATACAGGATCATCAAATGAGAATTCAGCTGATCGGATTCTGGCAATAATGTCATTAGCCGATTCTGCTGTGGTTTTTGCATGGAATGGCACTTTTCCACTCAACATTGTGAACTAAAAAAACATAAATGTTATGGCAATATCAATGTTAGGCTTATCATATGTATCATAACATCAAAACAGAGTCTACCTTACTCTACTCTACTCTTACATTTCTTACACTACCTTAATATATCATACCATATCATGCTCAACATTTATGAAGTCTACCTTACCCTACTCTACCTTACCATACCCTATCTTACTCTACTCTACCTAAAAACTGTCTTTTATTCACATTCCACATCCCAATCCCTACTACAACATACCATTATCACTCCCAAACTCCACAAATCGCATTGTTGGTTATATTGTGGCAGTTCATCCTCAACTTCGATGACTTCTGGAGCCGCGTACGCCAATGTGAAACAAGGTGTAGTCAATTGTTCATACGTATTTGGTAAGAGACGAGCAAAGCCAAAGTCAATCAACTTGATCGTGGCTTCTGGAGTGTCGTTTTCGAATAAAATGTTCTAAAATTTTTGAGAATTATTGATAAAACTTTCTTTACAGCTCAAAAATTAAATTTTAGGTAATATTTGTTCATCTTAAGCCATTTTTTGATAAAGAAAACTTTGTTTACAGCACAAAAATATTAATTTAGGTAACAATGTTTCAGTTTTCACCATTTTTATCATAAAAAATGATGTTTACGGCCTTTCCATCTTACACAACACCTATACCTACAACAACATACCTCGGGCTTCAAATCCCTGTGAACCACCGACTTGGAGTGTAAATGCGAGACGGCTGCCACTAACTCAGACATGAACTTGGAAGCTTCACATTCAGTAAAAGCATTCAGATTCTTGAGTCGATGAAGCAGTTCCCCTCCTGACAACAGTTCTAACACAATATAAAAATGAAGGTAATCTTCGAGGACTTCCACGAAGTTGACGATATTCGGGTGTGGATTCACGGTTTCGAGGATTCTGACTTCTCTTCTGGCTTGGTGGGAAAACTTTTGGCTCACGATTTTGACTGCAAATTGTTTTCCATCTGATATGCGGCGACATTTACTGAAAAAGTAGGGTTTATCTATATTAATATAAGACCAAATTTTAATATAGATATTAATAACCGCTTTCCCCAGACAAAAATGACATGTCCATAACTAACCTTACACATATCATATTTCAAATTATATTCAAATTTGACATAGCAATGTAAAAAAGATAAAGTACATCCTTACCGACAAACTGAAAAAGTGCCATGCCCTAAGAATCCGTCATTCGTGAGTACCAACTCGTATTTTTCAAAGAATGGAGATTGTTTTATATTCAAATTACTGTCCAAATTCTCTTCCCCAATCACATTGTTATTTGAGTACATTACCGACGGCGATATGTAAGAATATCCCTGAAAATTTATTTTTATAGCTAAGTTGTTACCTAAAAATACCGAAAATGGTATACATATTACAAAGAAGAAATTATAAAACAAAGAAAAAGAAAATTATATTTTGATAAAATTTGTTACCTAAACATGCCTAAAATATTATAAAAAGAATAAAGAATTAATTGTAAAATACGGAAAAAAGCAAAATTAGCATATATAAATAAAGTAAAAAATATATCTTACCATAAACATGCTAGTATTGTAAGAATCAGGCACGTCTCCCGGAGTAAAGACCGGCTCCATTGCCGTGAATTCTGGAGCAAAGTTTCGTACGTCGTTCTGAAACATACCTACATTAATAACACACTTTTAGACGAGAAAAGCATTTCAAAACGACACAAAGAACAAAAACTGTCAAAACAAGTTTCAACTTTAAATAACAATGTTATAGTAACCATTTAAGTAATGATTACCTGCCCACCAACATGAGGTTTGAAAGGAGACTCGAGGTTTCTGTTCCTGACAGAATCCCAATCGATTCCTTTGAAAAACGGATGCTTCTCAAAGTCCTTGATGTCATTACTGCCTACTCTTTTGCTCTGATCCCTCTCCAAGAACGATGCGATAAAGTTGCGGCACACTGAGTCCATGTTCTTTGGGTATGGCACAGTTTTCTCCAGAATACGCCTAAATTTCAGCTATAAATCATCAAAAATGTGCCATTTTCAATTTTATATTTGATAAAAATTAAATATTAGGTTGTTCACTTAGTTCTGCGCCCCTAATCCCACAAATTTGCTTTGGAAGGAAGCACAGAATCTGAACAACCTCAGCTAAACACCAAAAAAATAAGTCAAGTTACCTTCCAACCTCTCTAGCCGAATTATGATCTCCATCCACAGTAAATGGTGAACAGCCAGTAAGTAACTCAAAAGCTATCACTCCGTAACTCCACCAATCAGCCAACTTGTTATATCCAGCTGGGTCACGTTTCACAACTTCCGGAGCCAAATACTCAACTGTACCACAATATGAATGGGCCAAACTGAGCTAAAACATAAAATACGTCTTTATTTCATTAAAATAACATATTTCTAGAACTTTACTGCGTTTTTTAAAAACATTTTTTTAATAATTTTGACTTTCTTTTAGTTTAGGTTTATTTTAAAAATATTAAAGTTATTTTAGACAATCACAGTTAAACCAACCTCCTTATCAATATCAAATGCCTTGGAAAGTCCAAAGTCCGTCAATTTGACATGGCCATCACTGTCCAACAATATATTCTCCAACTTCAAGTCACGGTATATCACGCCGTTCTGCAATCACCTTAATTACCTTCTTCTACACCACCTTATACAACTCATAACTAAACAACAAAACAGACACAAAACCAGGCGACACGTATATTCAAATACCTGATGTACATACTCCAAAGCAACGGCCAGTTCAGCTAAGTAAAATCGAGCCATTTGTGGCGGGAAATACCGCCGGCGGCAGAGATGTGTGAATAATTCACCTCCACTAACGTATTCTAAACATAAATCACAAGAAACCGAATGAACGTACCCATTATGATGTGTAATTTGGACTCGGACTGAAAGGCATATATCATATTGACCAGAAAAGGGCATCCGCGTAGTTGGATCAGCACCTTTCGTTCCATCAACGCATGTTCCAATGACTTCTGCTTGCTGGCTACGCGTTCCTTCTTCAATACCTTCATTGCGTAGTAAATTCCATGGTCTGAGCCGCCAATCTTTCGCACAAGAAAGACTTTGCCATAAGCTGAAATATTGTAAAGAATTAGACAAATGCATCTGAATCTTCATCTAGTTTATTAACAAATAATATTATCCATGATCTTCAAACAAGACGAAAAAAGAAAACAGATAATTTAATCAAAACAAACTCAAGTCCAAACTCCAAAACGAGCACATAAACAGTATAACATAGTAAATAAAATTCACGCTTCATAAACAAGTCGCAAAACATTGTCTTACCGCCTTTGCCGAGCACTTTTATTAGTGCAAAGTCCTTCATGCTGACGGTGTCCATGATTCAAGCCCACTATATTATTACTGTTTTCGAGAGAATTTGGTTGCTTTTCGGTCCATTAGACAAATTAATTTTTCCTCCACACCTTTTTACAATAAATATCACATTCCTTTCAATTTTTCCGAACTTTTGGGCGCACTTCGAAACCAAAGTTTTTGAAATACTTTTGAAGGAAAACAGATGAACTACTCGACCGGCAATGATCGAAATAACCTAAAATTCGGTATACAGTTTACGAATAGCATAGGCTTTCAGTATTTTAAATTTCATGTGCTACTTTGCACTTTTAAAAATTAATATTTAAATTGGTGTCAGTTTTGGCATAACGTTGCAAATCTGTTTTTTACAATGTGAAAATTATTCTGATGCAGTAAATATCAATTATGATTTAATTTTTTACTGAAATTGACATTTTACAACAATTTAAAGAAGTTCGAACAGATTTCAGCATATAACTTGTCTCTCTCCAGACCGTTTAGTCGTATAACTTGTCACGCGTAAAAGTGCTTTTTGCCACTTATGAAAAGACAAAAGCCGACCAACCTTTACATTTTTATCTTCGAAACACAAAGCCACTGTCCTCAACTTAACTATAAATTTATCGATTATCAAATACGACGTTTTTACAGAGTAAACCCGAATTACTGGGCATCAACAACATCGCGAACGAACAGGTTGGTTTAATTATTTTGATTGGCTTTTCCTCGTTTAGTTGCATATGATTTGGAGCACTGTTTTTTTGTTTGCCAAGATTATTTTGCCGATATTACTCTTGGCCGAATGGTTTGGGCCGACCTTTCTAAGTGGTTTCCTTCTTCTGTTTCCTCACTTTCGTCAACATTGAGTGTTAAAATATTGTGGAAGAGGCGAATTTGATAGCCGAGATGTGTTTGAAGGGGTTTATAAGGTGGTTGAGGAGTTTTGAAGGTTTAAATGTTGTTATAGACGTCAATTTTGGGGGTAAGTCTGCGTAAAATGAGGAAAATGAAGGTGAATATGGTGGTTTTTGTTTGGCAATTGCTTTATTTTAAAAATGGGACTGGTCCTTGCTTATGTCTAGTTTAGAAGACGTTTTAAATTAAAATTTAGGTTGAATTATACCTTTTAAGGCCAGTTTAACATTTGTTTTATTTCAAAAACCTCGGCCAAAACAGTTTCAAGCTTGGCCAAACCTCTGTCCTTTCAAACCGCGACCAAATCCTGATGCCCGCATTGTTTCCGATGCTATTTTTGCCACTACACGTACTGTATTCATGATGTCATGGTTACAGTACGAGGAGAAAGAAAGAAACTTCGTTAAGTGAGGTATAGATAATTTATAGGATATTGGTGACCATTAGGAGGCTCTTGTTCGAAGCTGGTTGCGGGGGGCAACCGCATCCAATTCTGGCTCCAAAAACGCGTGCCAGGGATCGGAAAATGCTCGGAATTGGGGGGACCAGGTATTTGTTTGTCGTACCAAATAACACTGCAGCCTTGATAATGGACTGTTTAAGGGTTTATGGGGTCGTGGGGGGGGTGATCAGTTTAAAGGGAAGGGTGTAGTTAGGGGTGGGTAATAGGTTTAAAGGTCAATGTTTAAGATATTAGGTTGTTAAAATAAAACTGTGCCTTCTTTCAAAGCAAATTTTTGAGGTCAGGGGGCGCAGGATTATTTGAACAAGTTAATAATATAATGAACTGATGGTTTGTTATAAAAGTATGTAACATAATATTTGTGAGTAGATTTTAAAATTTACAGGAATTTTTTAGATTAAAAAAGCCTTTCTATCAAGTTTGTTACCTAAAACATCAAAAAATGTAAGAAAAACTTGAAAAAAGTAATAAATTTAGGAAAACTTGCAAAAAGATAATGAAACATTGTTTTTTTTTGCTACCACATTAACTGTAAGACCTTGTATTATGTAGAAATCTCTATTCTTTTACGTTCTCTATCCAGAATAAGCTAAAGATGTCTTTCTTTCACCTCAATATAGCCTTGTTTTCCTGCTATTTTCAAAAATAAATCAAGTATAAGGTTGTTCAAATAATTATGTGCTTTCTTTCAAAGAAAATTTTTGGGATTAAGGGACACAGAGTTATTTGAACAACCAATAAGTCAACATTTTTCTCAAAATAAGCATAATTAGTTCTATTTTCGGTGATGAGAATGTTATTCTGCAGATTGTGAGAAGTTGTTTGTAAAGGTGATCATAACACGAGTAGGAATATTGGCTTTTGTTGTTGTGTGTGAAGGCTTAAGAGCTCCTGACCTTTTTAAAGGTCGATATTTAAGCAGTACCTCCACCAATTTAAAAAAACAATAATTTTTTTGAAATTCAAAAATAACAAAATTCATCCTTCTCCCTCCCTTAAGAATTTTTTCAACGAAGACTTTAAAATTTCGAAAATTTTTGAATTTTTGTAAAATTTTCATTTTTTCAACAATTATTGGGTAATTCCTTGTGACCTCGGTTTCTACCGCAATCTCCCCTATTCACAATGCCATCCCTAAACTCGGAAACGTATAAACAACCTCCAACCTCGATTGTCGTGATCGATGCGTATCGCTTACGGTGTGTGTCTGACGGTGGGTCGGAGGTGGAGGTAGCAGCAGCAGGGGTGGGGAGGGGACGCGCGTCCTCCTTTTCCCTCCATTCTGACGGAATTTGTGGTCATTGCGAACGTTTCTTTTTTCGACCTCAAAAATGAAGGAAAAACGCGGATCTCCACCCCACCCCTCCACAAGTACCTGTCGCCCTCGATGAGGCGCGCGCGAGGTCGACCATCTTGTACACTGCCCATTCTTAAACCGCTCTCGAGCTGGACAACTTGTTGGTGTGGCGGCGGGTGAGGAGGGTCATGTCAAGTGAGGGGTTCATGACTTTGGGGCGGATTTTTTTAGCAATTTATAATCTTACGGCGATAGTTTTGGCAGTTTTTACATTTGGAGTTGTTTTTCTATCCATTTTTACTTTGTGACAGTAGGCATGGCAGTTTTTAACCGTGGAGGTTATTTTGTTTGTGTTTGGAGGCATTTTCTAGCTATATATTTAAGTTTTCAAGTTAATTTTATTCGATTGTTCGAATAACTCTGTGCCCCTGAACTTGAAAATTTGCTTTGGGAAGGGGCACATAGTTATTTGAAAAAGTCAATAGTAATATGACGATTTCTGGGGTATTTAAGTCTTCACAATCGCTTTTTCCAGAGTTTATGTGACTGGATAAGACAGCTTGGTAGACCGAGCTAGGTATATTTCAAAAAAAAATTCTTTCCTAAAGCACAGTATTTATAACTTACTGTAATCTCTATTCACTGTAATTCAACGTACCAAGTCCGGTGTGAGACGGTCAATATTTACCGTTCTTTTGAATCCCGGGCAATTCCCCCGATTCTGACTCACGAACCCAACTCTTTGTCCCGTTTTGGTCATAAAACGAGTTTAAAAGAACGTCGGGGAATACGGTTTTTACTGTTATCTCAAGAATTACAGTTTTTTTTGTGGGTTTAAACATAAAAATTTACTGTAACTTTGAAGTTTTGACCAGTGGCATTAAGGCAATGTGAATTTAAATTGGCTGGGTATGGGTTTTGGCGTAGGAATTTTGAGTTGAAGTAGTATAGGTTGTGATTTGGGCGAAGCTCGGGCAGTCGATTTCTGAACAAGAGGCGTGGGACAAAATTTAAGCAGAGCTTAATTTTTTTATTAAAAAATTTTTGGGCAGGGTAAAACCACCCCTATGAATTTTAACCCGCCCTTCAGCTAAAATCAAGCCTGCCGTATTTTTTTAATCTTACTTGAAGTATCTCGCAGCTTTGATATTAATATTACCTATCTCAGCTTTGATATTACTATTACTATCCTAGCTTTGATATCAATATGAACTATTCTCATCAGCTTTGCTATTTACAGTGATTTCATTGACAAGATGAATGTGTAGGATAACGAGGATTAATCTTGAATAGGTATTAGCGTATAGATAAGTGAGGAACAATTAGTGGATTTAGGAGTGTCAGATTGGTAAATAAATTATTGCAGGGTATGGAATGTTACCTAAAATTTGTTTTTTCGGTAAATCTGGGTGTGTTTAAGGTATTTGATAAGATATTATGTTGTTCAAATAATTCTGTGCCTTCTGTCAAAGAAAAGTTTTGGCGTTAGTGGGTTCAGAATTATTTGAACGACCTAATATAAATAAAAAATTGGGTAGACAGAGGTGCCAGACCTATTTTTCAAGCCTTTATTACCTTTGCCTGTGTTCATTGCTAAGTATTTTGATGACAACATGACAAATGTACAGTAATGTGTACTATCTTTAAAGACAATAGAGTTTTTCATGATTTCAGGCTAAAATACGTGCTAGTCCAGCTAAAATAAAGCTTAAAACAAGGCTTTTTTGCTATTATTTTCGGCCAAAAACCGGTTTTTTAAAATTTGTTAGCCTAAAAACAAAATTTTTCATGACAGGATGGATTCATATACCTGCTTGTCTACAAACTATAAAGCAATGCATACTGTATTTACTATTCCCACTTTATTTCCAAATATGTTCGTGCTGCTTACTTTACCGGTCGGATATTAATCACGCGATTGTTGGGGCTTGATGACTTTTTAATGAAACTTTAGGCATAAAATATTTAGTTTCCAATACTTTAGTGTTTAAAAAAGTGGATTTGGATTTTAAAACTTGAAATAATGTTTTGGTTAATCTAGAAATGACATTAGGGCTTGGCTAGAGCTTTGTTTAGGCCTGGGGGCTTAAAGTGTTAGGTTTAGCTGAGCCTGAGGGCTAGAGGTTATCTAATGCCATTTTAAAGAAGTATTGAGGAAATTATTTTAAAAAAATGGCATTTTGGATAAGATTCTAGCCTGATATTCAAAATTTTTTAAAATTAAAAAAAAATTTTTTTAAATTTCGAAAATTTTAAAATTTTAAAAATTTGAAAAAAAAAGTCATCAAACCCCAGCAAATGTCCCGTTATTGTAAATTTAATACTTTTTTGGATGTTTTTCACACACTTTTACAGCACCGTGCACACCCACAAATTTCGTCTTGGGGACGTCACTAAAATCACCCACCAAATCCAAAACCACCCCTCTTCTTTCCCGTCACCTTTCCCCCTCCTTTCCACCAAAATGGAACACTCGAAGATGGTGAATGCGGTGTCGATGGAGTCTTTGGACAACTGCTCGACCATCTCCTCGTTGGAAGCTCCCTCACAGGTGGGTTTGGGTGTTGTAGTATTGGGGGTGTTAAAATAATTCTGTGCTCTCTCTAAAAGAAAAATTTTACAGTTTTGGGGCACAGAATTATTTGAACAACCTAATGGATATAAATTTATGTTGCCATAGACGAAAGGTTATGTTGTAGTAGATTATAGGTTATATTGTAGTAGGTGAAACTTGTACTAGATATTGGAATAGGTAAAAGCTGATTTTAGAATAGGTAAAAAGTTAAATTTCATATCTACAAGCTTGAAAAAATGTATCACTTATCCTTTTTTTATAATAATATGATGATTTATATAACTTCAGGTACGTACTCTGTTCGTTTCGGGTCTGCCGGTCGATTGCAAGCCTCGTGAGCTCTATCTCCTCTTCCGTGCCTACAATGGCTACGAGAACTCACTCCTGAAAGTAACCAACAAAAATGGCAAGATCGGCGCTCCAGTTGGTTTCGTCACCTTTGCCACACGTCAGGATGCTGACGATGCATGTAAGAAGCTTCAGAATGTGCGATTCGATCCAGACACGAACACCGTGATCCGTCTGGAGTTGGCCAAGTCTAATACTAAGGTCCCAAAGCCAAAGCAGCCATCTCCACCGATCGTGTCACCAGCAGCCATTGCGGCCGCTTTACTGCCAGGACAAAGCCAACCGGCGCAATATCTGACACAGACTCTGACTAATCAAACAGCTGAGCTACAGGGACTGGTCGACCATTTGACATACTTCAATGATCAACCTTTGTTCGGTCTTCCAGTCAATCCATACTCTCAGTCGCTTCATCTTCTCCCTAACGCAGCTCAAGCCAACGGCCATAACCTCTTGAATCAGCAAGCTTTGGCCGCTGCTTTTGCCCAAATCCAACAGCAACAACAACAACTTCCGCTAAATCATCTGTTGGCAGCTGCAGCGCAACAGGCCGCTCCTCAGGTCAGTTCGATGAATCCGCCATGTACAACATTGTTCGTCGCCAACCTTGGCACGAATGTGACAGAAGACGAGGTGAGGAACGCCTTCAAGCAGTACTCTGGCTTCTCGCGCATCCGAATGCATCATAAGGGCAGCTCGTCGTCGGTGGCCTTTGTGGAGTATATTACAGTACATCACGCCGCCATCGCACTACAAGGCCTACAGGGCTACCAGTTGAACAATGGCAACTCGATTCGGATAGAATACGCCAAAGCTAAGATGGGGGAGACCAACAACAACACCGCCAACGGCATCAAGGCTGATGTTTAAGTGCTTCTTGTTTTAGTTTTATTGCTAATTCCTAAGGGGTTCTGGAGGTTTTTGAATTTTAAGCTTAATGGCTTCTAACATTTTTTGAAAAAGTTGATGGTTAAGAGCTTCTGACCTTATTAAAGGTTGATGATTAAGATATTAGGTTGTTCAAATAATTCTGAGCTACTCTCACAAGGGAATGTTACAAACTGTCCATTCGTTTTTTAAAAATGAATGGTACTATGTGAAAGAGCGTAAAAAGTTGGCTAGAAATCAATTTTCAAAAACTGCCAAATTCGCCTTACAAGCCCGCTAGCGAGATTTTAAAATCATTAGTAAATGGGCCTTTTACGTTATTATGCCTTCTTTTGGATTTTTATACATTTCCTTTAGAAACTTTAGTTTTTTTTTGCTTTATGTTTTAATAGATATAAGGAACAATTATTAACAAAAAAAACTTTTTTTTGTTAATGCAAATTAACTTCAATTTAAATTTAAAAAAAAATGAAAGTTACTACCCCAAAAGAGAATCGAACCGGACACGCATGATTGCGCAATCACGGCGCCTTTGACCACTTGGCCAATCGAGCACACTTGATTCCACCCTTCGAAAGTATTCAAAAAAAAGCGGACGTAAAAAAACCATTTTAATAAGGAAAATTTAAAAAGCTCGCTAGCGGGCTTGTAAGGCGAATTTGGCAGTTTTTGAAAATTAATTTCTAGTCAACTTTTTACGCTCTTTCACATAGTACCATTCATTTTTAAAAAACGAATGGACAGTTTGTAACATTCCCTTGTCAAAGCAAATTTTTGGGTTTTGAGGGCGCAAAATTTTTTGAATAACAAAAACAATCTAGTGTTTTAAGGCTTCTGGCTCTTTTAAACTGTGTTTTTAGGCTTGTAAAACGTTTTAAACTTGACTTTTAAAGGCTAGATAACCTTTTGAATCGAAAGTCTGAAGGTTTAATTTGCCAAAAGTGATTTGATCAAGCCTTTTTTGATATTTATAAGGTTTAAAGGGCCTATTTGAGATTGTGTTTTTTACATTTTGAGCTTGTTTTCATTGGTTTAAAGTCGATATTTTTGGCTGATTCTAATTTTTATTACCTATAACTTTACAAAACTTTACTTTTCTAACCACATTGAGTTCGTAACATAGTGTAAAAGTACTATAGTTAAGCATAGTAACATACACAACCCTTTAAAAGTTTATTTTTCTTTAATTTCAAAGCATTTAACGTACCTATTTTGTTGGTGACACTTTTATACCATCGTGTTTCTACCGTAACTTTTGAGTATATTGAAGTATATGGCATTTCCTATCATAATATAATATATTATTTAGTTCCATGCATAATAACCTTACTGTTTTTACCATAATACCTAGTGTAATGTGATTGTAATAACTTTTGTTCTTAAATATTGTTCTAACTTGTACTTACGTTCAGATACTGTAATAATAGTACTAAAAATAATTTTTTTAAATTATTAGGTTGTTCAACTAATTCTGCGCCCCCTCTCAATACAAGTTTTTGGGGTTAGGGGCACAGAATTTATTGAACAACGTAATATAGTATTCTAACTTTATTTACGTTCGGATACTGTAATAACATAGTACCACTCGAATGTTGTACCAATATTGCTTTATGTCTTTTCTTATCTCACATTCCGAGCCTCATCCCAATTCGAATGGCATTTACTGTATGGTATGTGCAGCTTTACACCGTGTTCCGGGTTACTTCCTACTGTAATAATAATTGAAAATGGCATTTGATGTTTCCAAAGCTGTATAATAAATCGAAATTGAATGAGATTGGTGTTGGTTATGAGCTTAAAAGCTACTATAATATAAATTATTAAGCTTAAAAGCTACTATAATATAACTTACTAAGCTTAAAATCTACTATAACATAAATTATTGAGGTTAGAATCTACTATAACATAAATTAGTGTCAAAATAGAATCAAACACAAATCAATGTTCCAATATTTATTCGGAACAAAAGTTCAAAGGTATAACCAGTAGTCAATGGATATCACGCGACGGCCTTGTTGTACTCCTCCACGAACTTGACGTAGCGTGGGTCATTAACGTCGTAGGTCCGGTTGCGCTCGGCAAAGTAGAACAGGATGACACGGTGGACGAACAGGTACTGCTGAAAAGGAAAAGAATTAATAATTTTCTTGTCTACTATAACATTTTACTTCAATTTTAGATAAATTAAAAAAAGTTTTGTCGTTTTTCATAGTGAAAATCAATGTAAAATAACGACAAAACCTTTTTAATGTTTAAAAAGCCCCAATATTTTTACAAATAGGACCAAATACTCACGACTTCATTCTGAATCGAGTACGGCCGAAAGTTGCGGATCTCGCGAAAGATCTCGGCCATATCTTCGCAGGGTTGGGCCATCTGGAACCGTTCCATGATGTAAGCGATCGAGACGATCGAGCCGGTGCGACCGATTCCCGCCGAACAGTGGACGACGATGGGCTTCTCGCTTCCTCTGACCGTAGACAACAAGTTGAAGACGGAGTTCAGTCCAGCAGGGACGCCACGATCCGGCCAGTCCACCCATTGGTAGTGGCGGATTTCGCGCTCGTTCGACTTGCCCTCCAACTTCCACTTGATCATCAGGTTCGTACGAACCACGCTGTGATCGTCGGGCGGCAGGGGACCATTGCCCAAGTTGGTTACCGTAATTTTGTCTCCGTCGTACTGTACGGTCTGGTTCGGGTCTTTCGGCCAGTACTGGGCGCACTTGTCCATGCCCTTCTCGATGCAGTTGCATAACATGATGACCTGCTCGGTTTCCTCCTGGATTACCATCCGCCAGAAGTCGGCTACAGTAGAGTCGAGAGGTCCCTGAAAACCGAAAATTTAATTAGAAAAAGGTTTTACTAAGCAGCTAAGAAAATGAAAAAGAAAATTTTAAAATCAAAATTTCTTTGCCCCTACCCTAATAAATCCCTACCATAATACCAAACTAAGCCCTCCTACCTGCGTACAAATGTAGCGTTTCTGAGACTTTGGAGTTGGCACGTAATTGGCATGGATAAAGTCGTACTGTAGTCCGGGCCACTTCAGTGCGACTCTCGCTGCTTCCTGGCACGGCACATCCTTGTAGCGGCATCGGCCGGCTTCCCAGTTGGCGTTGAATGTCTTCACGTCCATATCCTTGGGGCAGTAGCGTTTTATTTCGGCGAATTCGGCCTGAAGCGCCGCTACTCCGCGATCCAGAATGGCGTTGTACCACTTCTTAACATAAATCTTCGAATCCGCCGAGAATGCTGCCACTTTTGGTTTTTCCTGAAAACTTGTAATTTAGAATGCTCTTCAAAATACTCGAAATACAAAAAAAACAAAAAAAATAAAACTGATACTCACAGGCGGCGGTGCTTCGTCCTTTGTCTTCTCTATGCGCGACTTTGCTCCCTTGGAGGCCGGTGCTTTTCCACTCTTTCCTCTGAAAATTACAAAAGTTATGACAGAACACTACATACAATATTGTTCACAAAACTCAGGGTTATCACTATTTTGAAGAATACTAGAAAGCAGTACCAAAACACCGAGAAAATTAGGCAAAACAATGAATTTCAGTCACAACCTAACTCAATATACAGTAAAATCATTTTATAGCCAATTCACAGTACTAAAATGTAGTACTCAAAATCAGAAAAATGTAAAAAATGAAGACAAAAGCCTAGAACATCAAAAAGACGACACACCTAGCCAGTACCACTTACCCTTTTGCGTCCTTTTTCTTCATTTTTCGGTATCAGACGTAACCGGTTAGCGAGCTCCAAGTGTGCGTTTTAGAATGACCACGTTTTTGATGTGATCCGACCTTTTTATACCCCAAGATGTATGCAAATTTTTGGATTTAATTTTTGGGAAAATTTTTGAAAAAAAATGCCGGCATTTTGGCCAATCAAAATGAGCTCGTGGAGGATAATTGTAAAACCCTAAGTTTTGGTGTGTTTTTAGTGACTTTATCCAAGAAAAATATTTTTGAATAAATTTTTATTATTTTATTATTATATTTTATTATATTCACATAAATTTCATTTATTGCCATTTCCTCACTATTTCTTTATTCTGCGTAAAAAATCAATTGTGACACTTCGCCGTTCCTGTGGCTTTCCGTATTTTTTGCGTAGTGGGCGTTCGCGATGCTAGATAAACGAAAATCTGACCGCGCGAATAATGTAACTGACTTGGCTGATTGTTAGCATTATTTTTTGACCTCCTTTTACCTGATTTACTTGATTTTTATTGTTTAGAGTTTCAAAATGTCCGAAGAACTAAAGGAGGAGGTTTCGCTGGATTCTGAGGAAAAAGAGGTCAAAATGGACGTGCCAGAGGTAAGTATTTTTTGTAAAACTGTTTATAAGCTGTAGAAAATAGTATTCTTTGTAATAGTATTAAGGGTTGCTGTAATTTACATGTTATCAATGCTAATTTCAAATTGTGCAGATTGGTGACATCGGCTTGCGGCTAAAACAGATTGAAGAAGAAGCCCAGAAGATCAGGGATTTACAGAACAGCACAGAACGCTTTGATCCTGCAGCTACGGCGGGAAGCAACCCACAGCTGAATTTGTCGTTGGAAGAGAAACAGGCAAAGGATATTAGATCTGTGTTTGTTGGAAATGTAAGTTATCAGCATGTTGTTTATGTTTTTCGAGTTTAGGTTGATTACAGCGCAACACCAGAGAATCTAGAAGAACACTTCAGAGGATGTGGCCCAATTGAGCGTGTCACTATCTTGGCAGACAAATTCAGTGGAAATCCAAAAGGGTAAGATATTGTTTTAGGTGTCTAATGTATGTTTTCGCGGTTTTCGGTGAATGTGGCAATGTTTTTTATTTTTAATAGGTGAAGTGGGAAGTAAGATGACTTTTTAATTTTTTTGCATCTTTGCTTATTATTATAATAGAGCTTTACATTACGTTTTGTTGTTTTAAAGCTATTAGAGAAAGTGATTAGCCTGTTTGACCTAAAATTTGATGCTTTAAGCGTGTTTTTGAGCTTTCACAAACAATATCAGCACGGGTAGCATAATATAACGATATAATAATAATATTTATTCAATTCCAGCTTTGCCTACATCGAATTCACAGAAGTTGATGGCAAACAGAACGCCCTCGCCTTGAACGAAAGTCTCTTCCTGGGCAGACAAATCAAGGTTACCGAGAAGCGGACCAACAAACCCGGCATCAGTACTACCAACAGACCACCACGAGGTCGCGGACGGGTGCGCACGGTGGTTAGGTACGTGTATCCCGGCTTTCGAGGCGGCCGAGGGCGCGGAGCACCACGGTAGGTATATTACACAAGATCACTGGAACTGTTTGCACTTGTTTCTAGCACATTGTCTATTGGATTGTGGTTGCGATAAGGTCGTTATTGACTCATGAGGTTTGCAAGTGCAAGGTTTTGTTTTTTGGGGGTTAAACTGGTTTTTTTGTCTTTTAGGTATTAATAAGAGGTTTAAAGTATTCGTTTTGTTAATTACACCTATTATGGCATTATTTTTTGTTTTTGATTAAATTTTGAATTACACACTGCTTAAAGCCTTTACTAACACTTGCAAGCCTGTCATGAGATGAGCAAAGTTGACCAGCTTTTTGCAAAATCCACCCATTCCTCATCTAGTGTAATATCCGTTATCTGTGTGCCGTGCAGGTCTGTCTCCACAGGTTTACATTACAATATTAATTTGACATTTTCAGACGAGGACGCGGCTTCCAGCCTTACTAATAACCTGCTTATGGACATTCTTCATGGTTCCTTCGGACTTCGAACTTCTCTCTTCTCAGTTATTTAATATTTTTCGTTCTTTGTTACTGTCAACTCGATTAAAATTTGATAATTATTTATGTTTTTGGGATCTTGATTGAATATGACTTGTTATGGTATATTCCTCATTGTTTTATTGTTTGTTATGGGCTTTGAGTGGATTTATATCTGAGGTAAAGACCAGGGGCAGGTACTATATCTATTTTGCACCACAGGTCAATAACAAGAATAAAAAGCAATTTGAAGTCAAGTATAATTTCCTTTAGATGCTGAAATTGCTCAAGACCCTATGTTTTTCCGTCCTTCGACCCTACAGTTCAGGCATAGTCAAAATGGCATACATGCGGCACGGTGACATAACACATAACCCTCCTTTTGTAATATGCCACGGACTGTTTGGCCAAAAACAGAATTGGAATTCGGTTGGTAAAGCTTTGGCCAAACGACTAGATGCCCCAGTCTACGCCATCGACTTCAGAAACCATGGTGAAAGTCCGTGGACTTCAGAACATACATATCCCCTAATGGCACAAGACCTGGCTTCATTTCTGAACGATGTGGCAAAGGAAACATCTCAAGAGAAGGTGAATGTGCTTGGCCATTCAATGGGAGGCAAGGCTGTGTCATATTTGGCGTTACATCCACCCTTGGATCAGAATTTGAACAAACTGATAATAGAAGACATATCACCACATCGTGAATCATCGGCTTCACTCTTCCTGGGCTATGTTGAAGCCTTACAGAAAGTGGACTTAAAACAAGAAAGATCTCAGATTCTGAAAGATCTAGAGGATGTTGTACCAGAACTAAGTGTACGACAGTTTCTACTGACTAACTTGATACGGACAAAAGACGGATTCAAATGGAAGATGAATCTGGAAGCCATCGGCAACTCGCTAAACCATGTCATGCTGTTCAAGTTAGAGGAAAAGGCATTTGAAGGCCCCACTATGTTTTTGTATGGCGGAGCTTCTGATTACTTCAAGGATTCTGATGTGCCAGAAGCTCAACGATTGTTTCCAAACGCCAAATTCGAAGTGATTCCAAATGCTGGTCATTGGTTACATGCCGAGAATCCGGCAATGTTTATGGACAAGGTTATTGAATTCCTGGAACACTGATTTGATACCTAAAATGATCATATTAGTTGAATTATATCGTTATAGATGGTTAATATAATAAATCAGATTTTTATTAGTCTTATCAGTCGTTATATGTATTTTTAATGAGAATTAGATAAACGAAGACAAAATACATTATTTTAATCGAAAATTGTCATAATTTTGTCCGAAAAACTCATCATATCAATTATATTGTTTTAGATGGTTAATATAATAAATTAGTGATTTATTTAAAATTTGATATAGTAATTTATATAAAATAACTTCTTACCAAAACATACAATATTTTTAAAATTTTTCAGTCTTAAGTTTCAAAATTATTCCGAAAAACACCAAATCTGTGAAAAAAAACGAAGTGTCAACGAAAATTAATAGTCGCCATACGCCTTTTCGTTCATTTCTTTTTCTTTTTATCGAATGCTAAGGTTTATTGGCTTTGACGCTTCACTTGACTGAAGCCCAATCTTCTTTTTGATCAGTCCTGTTTCGCGAAGTGTTTATTTTCGTTGTTCATATCTTTTTTTGGAAGTGAAGGTCTATAATGCAGGAATTTAGAATCGATTTGTTGACCATGAGTTTCGGCAAGACATTGGCCGAGCTGAAAGTAACCGAACTGAAGAATGAGTTGGATAAACGAGGCCTCGAGAAGACTGGTGTCAAGGCCGTGCTGATGGAACGATTGGAAGAGGTGAGTAGTTATATTGTTCTTTTGTGTTTTGTTCGCCTAGGAAACTAATCGATATCTCCATGAAGGCGGATTGCCGCATTTTTTATTGGAAAAAGTTAATACGTGAAAAAATTCACGTAGATGCTAGTTTTACTTTATTTTTGAATGGTTTTATTAATGTAAAGGGTAGTGCTTTCCTACACATTAACTTACTTTTTTGAAAAATCAAGATCTTCCATGCGTTGGAAGGTCTTGCAAAAGCAAATAGACATCTATTAACAGCTGTTAGAAGAAAGTATAGTTAGTTTTTTTACATAATTATTAGAAATATCAGCTTTGTGAATAAAAACGTTAAAAGTTATTGTATCTTTTAAGGTTTTTACAACATCTTAAAAATATTTAACTGTTCCAGGTTAAAAACTCTTTGTCCGTCTCTTAAAAGTCTAATTATGTTTATTACTTCTTGTAAAAATCAAATGTTTCTTATTAATCTTGATTTACATGGTTTTCACATCAATTACAACGTCTCTACAACAATATAGCAAATAATCATCTTTGAAACATTGGCGTTCGATTTGTGCTTGTAGTTTTAATGCTTTTGCCAATATTGTTGAATCGTCCGTATCAATATTGTCGTATGAAGACGTATTGTGCATAATGCAGAAACTGAGTGTCGCTTTTCCCATTACCTAGTAGCTGTTTGGGCGCGTAAGGTGATCCACTAGGTGTGTGACTGGAACTGGCAACTAGCCGGAATCTGTGCGCTGCCAACGCATCGAAAGCCTGCTCCAGGAAGCTGTGCGACAAAAAGAAGCGACTCGTATATCGATTATATTCAACATTAACATCTCGGGTCTCATTCAAATGTTCACCGAACACTTCACGGCACACGAACACTTGGCCGTGCACCAGAATCCGATTGATTCGGCGAAAGTTGACGTCGGTTCCAGTACCACCACTCAACGCCGCATGATAAGACACTGTGATGGTGTTGGTGCGTTCGGTTTGAGCTTGTTGAATCAGTTCATCCAGCTCATTCAACTTCCAATACCGTGCCTCGGACAGCAAACTAGTCCAGTGTTCGAACTCGTCGGGCCAGGACAATGTGGAGGGGTCTCCGTTGTAGAGTAGATGGCGCATAAAGTCGATTAGGAATCGCATGAGACGAGCATCTCGATGTGAACAATCAATCCTAATTAGCTTCTTGCCCTCCAAAGCTGGCGTATTTAACATTCTGGCGAACCTCGAGTCCTCTTCTACGAGGAGAACGTTCGAGAAGGTTTGGAGCACCGTGCCGTCCGACAGCGCCAGTCGGACTATCTTGTCCATGGCCTGAAAGTGTTGGAATTAAGGGATTTGCGACTTGAAAACATGGTTTTTCAAATTTGAAACGCGGCGAAATACAAAAAAAGCTTATTTTAATACGGAAGTTGAAGCCTTCCTTCGAAAATTATAACTTTAAGGTTGATACTAGGTGAAAAGAAGTATTTAGAGACTTTTTCTAACAGACAACAGACTATTTTTTGATATTACCCACACAAACAAAAGGTCGTCTTTTTTTGTTTTGGGCATAACTATGCTTACTTAAGTCTATACAGTCAAACTAAAAAAACTTTTTCTATTTTAAATTTAAAAAATTTAATATTTTAGTGATTAAAATACAATAACGTTATTTTTATGCTATAAAAGTAAAAAAATTTTTTTTGTTACATTAATATCAAAAAATGTTGTTTTTCTTCTACAGAATATTAGAAAAAGACCCTAACTATTCCGCTTCGCATAATAATAGCTTGAGAGTTACTATTTCCGATGAGAAAATATTCACAAAAACAAAGCGAAAACACGTTAAGCACGGTGATAAACAAAAGTAAGCGAATTTTTATGCAGTAAGCCGGTCGGAATTCATCGAACTCGGCTAATTTTCTGTCATTCTCACTATTTTGAGAATGCCCTGTCATCTTCTAAAATGCCTTGTAATTCACTAAAACGCCTTGTCATTCTCTAAAATGCCCTGTTTTTCCACAAAGTTCACTGTTTTTTTCCAAAAATTTATTATGACTCTTCAAAAAACTCTAGCATTCCTGCCAATTCCGGAAAAAACAGTACCAAACCCGCGGCCCAAACCCGATTCCGAACCCCACAAACAACACGAATTCGTTTTTCGAAACGAATTTATTTCGGTCTTCCACTGCAATTCATTCCACGAATTCTTGGGACGCCAGAGGCGACGAAATTCGGGTTTGAAGGAAACGAAATTCCTCGCATATTAACCTTGGAAACCCGGGCCGCCGCCACGCTTTACCTGGCCCTAATCAAGCCCGCTGCTTTCCGCAATGAATGGGAGCCACTTTGGGCCGGGAGAAAGGGTCTCGGGATTCCGTCGTTTATTCTATGGGAATGAAAGAACATTCGCCTCTAACGTGCTTTCAACGTTCTCATTTAATTAAGAATGTAAACGGGCATGTAGCCGCGTAATACGACGCTACCGAAGGCATTTGAAAGTGGATTTAATTGTGAACGCACAACTTGAATTTCAAAGTTTAAATTTGAGAGGAAGATTCGAATTTTGAAATTTGTAATGGTCCTAATTTGGCCGTCTGAGGAAAATGTTTAGTAATAGAAGGATTGTGGAAAAAAGTTGTGTTTAATATTAACATAGCTTTTTACATCGAAAAAGGGTTGAAAGACATGCTTTGTTGGTTTACACAATAGTTTTTCATCTTTGGTTTTGAAAATATAAAAAAATGTTTCTGACATTTATAGGCAGCTGAAGAGCCGCTTCTATGTCCATAAGTACGCTTCTATACCTATAAGTATACAAATAGAAGGCCATTTGTTTATAAGCAAAAAATGTAAAAAACAGTCTTTGCGACCCAAAATGTCTTCAAAAATTATATTATTCATGAAAATTTAGGCGATTAAAAAAGAAGGTCACGATGTAACTACATATTTGTTCAACTTGGACGAAAAGGTCCCCAGTCCAGCTAAACCGCCACAGGATGAGTCTTCAGACAATTTGGACGAGAAGAGTAATGTAAAGGACGAGGAGAAGAAAGAAGCTAAAGTGGGGGAGAAGAAAGAAGATGCAGTGGAAAAGAGGGATGATAAAGTAGAAGATAATGTGGCTAAAGTAGAAGATAAGAAAGCAGAAGAAAAACAGGCTAAAGTAGATGAAAAAGCTGAAGATAAGAAGGAAAAAAAGCCCGAAGAACAAAAAGTAGATGACAAAGATGATGATATCCAAGTGATCGAACAAGCAAAGGACGATGACAAAAAAGATGCTGAAGCAAACAAGAAAGATGATGAAAAGACAGAAAAGGGAAAAGAAGATGATAAGAAAGAACAAAAACAACCTCAAACAGCCGATAAAGCTGAAAAAGCAGCCGAGAGTCAGCCAAAATCAACAGAAAAACCAGCAGAAAAAACAGTTGAAGGTCCAATTATAATCGATGACGATGAAGTTGACTACGAAGAGCACGAGGAAGAAAGCCAAGAGACCAAAGTCGATTCTACCGATGTTACGATGTCAGAAGAAACAAAAGAAAAGAATGGCAACTCGAAGGTGGTATCGTCGAAGGAAGTGGACGAGCCGAAAGAGGACGATCCAGCGGATTGTAACCTTTGGATCTCGAACATTCCAAACACAACCAAGGCCTCGGACTTGAAGGTAGTTTATATTGATTTTTGAGGAGTATTTATGAGTTTTGGAGAATGATCTTAAATTCTTGAAGTCATATTAACATGATTTTTGGAAGAGTTTACGAAATTAAAGTTCTTTGATCAGATATCCGAAAAAATTGAGAGAATTCTATAGGTAAAGGCTCAGAAATAAGGTTAAGTTTATTCGGTTCAGATCCTCTTCCTCGACTACGGCAAAGTCACAACAGCTAAAATCTTCACAACCCGCAACAACACCTCCCCCGCCTGCTACGGCTCTGTCACGATGGCCGACTCCAAGTCGGCTCAAGAAGCGCAGAAGAATGTGAACAAGATGAACTGGAAGGGCAGGATAATCTCCGTCGAGTTGGTACCCAGAAATCAAGCATCCCGAGTACCAGCCCGCAAACCCATCGAACCCCCAACCAAATCCCCGCCCAAGGATGTTAAGGATGAGACCAAAGGAACGTCGAAGAAGAGGGCCGACTCCAAGTCAACCGACTCCAAGCGAGCCGAAATCAAACCACCGGAAAAGACGCCGCCAAAGGGTACGGCGGAACCCAGCAAACTCAATTTTAATGTTATTTTAGGTGAAAGTGTGAAGCGATCAGACAGCAAACCGTCGAAGCCTGAGCAACGTCGTCGTTCTCCGCCAAGAACATCGACCCACGAACGGAGCCGTGGTGGAAAAACGGTCAGCACCCGACACCATCAAATCGACCGCAAACAACCATACGGCCGCTCCAAGTATCACGAATCGACCAGAGACGGCTACGCCGGCCATCCGCGCAACTACGACGACCGCCGCCACGCCTACGGCAAGGCCGTCTACGAGGACCGTAGCAACGCCCGTTACGACTACCAGAACAGTCATGCTAGAGTATTCGAGAGCGACGAGGTCAGACGACTGCTACACGCTCGAGAAGAGCTACACAAGAAGCGAGAGTTTGAGTTGGAACAGGAGAGAGAACGTGCCCAACTTCAACTTGAACGTGAACGTTTGGAGAAGGAGAAACTGGCCGTTCAACAACTCAAACTCCAAATGCAGCTTCAGGCTCAAGCACAACAGCAAGTGGCAGCATACCCACCGTTTGCTCCGCCAATTTTGGATAGTAAATCGGTTAAAAAAGACACTAGCAGCTCGCGGCCTCGAAAAGACGAGTCCCGCTTTTCGAGCAGGTACAGCAAAGTTCTTGGGAGGATTTTAGTGGATTTGTGGTTAATATAGGAGGCTTTAGGCTTCGATAGAGACTTATTTGTCCATTATTTAGGCAAAGAATAGGGTCATTTTTGAAAAATTGCTATATTAAAGTCAACAAGAAAGTTTTTATGACAAGATTGAAGTAAAGAAGAATCTTTTTAGGCTAATATTATAGTAGAAAAGACGTTTTTATGGTAATATTCAATAAAAAAGAAACCTGATTTATAGATGAAACTTTAAAATAAAGGTACATAATGCCATTTTCAGAAGACGTACCCGATCACCTGACCGCCGTACTCAATCATCGCGACGAAATGACAGAAGAAGTCGATCTCCACCAATGAAACGACGAGACGACAGGGATATCAAGGACAAATATGACAAGTTCTCAAAGCCAGCATCAGGCAGAGGGCCAGCTTCACATTCAGATGCTGCCTACGGGTCTAGAAGACGATCTCCAGTGCATGCATCGCACACTCATGATCTTTGTAAGTTGAATTGATGTTGAGGGGGGGGTATGATTTCTATAACGTTACTAGAGTTGGAGAGGCAATTTTGCTTGGGGGGGGGGGGGTTGAGGGAGGGGTAAAAAGTTTTTTTGAAGAAAATTAGGGGGCTATGTCAAGGTTTTTTGAAAATTTTTGTTTGTGTGGGGGGAGGGTAATTTTTTTGCTATGGGATGTTGAAAAAACGTTTTTTTTCCGTCTTTATCAGTAACAAAAACTTACTTTCAGACGGCTCATCGACGTCGTACTCGACCTCCACCTCCAAACGCACCTCTGACACCACCAATATCTATAATGCAAAGCTAGCCAGCTTAGGTACCGCTTTCTCCGCCGGTGTCTCATCTTACAATTACCCCGCCCAACGTACGACGACGGCCGCTACCGACGCCTACACAACTCGTGGTCAACTATACGATGGGGCTTCGGTCCAATACCCAGTAGGACAATACCCAGCACAAGGGAGCAGCACCAGCTACGAAACCCAACTGGCTGGCAATTGGGCCAGACGACCGGAATGGGACTACAGCAACGCCGCCCAAGGCGAATACAAGTCGTACTCAAGACAATATTAATCAAACTGTTATATTTTTGCTTTTAATAACCACCGTAATAATTATTTTTCTCATAAATGTACTGTTCTGATGGTTTTTGGTGGTTTGATTAGATTGTTTTCGAGAAAATCGAGATCAAAAAATTACTTTTTAAATTTTCCGCCGAGTTGGCGTTGTGTTTCAAGCATATAACTGTCATTTTTTGACTTTTAATTATTTTTCTTTTGATATACTAGTGGGAAATCTTTAAATGAACCCATATTTTTAAATTTGTGAGTGTATCTTATCTGAAAGGTAGAAAAAAGCGCTTGAACACAATGTCAAAGTTGCCAAAGTGGCGAAAAACTCAAATTTTTTAATTTCAAAACTCAAAAGCGCGAGTTAAAAGTTTTTATGTGCACTATTAGTGGTACATTTATATCAAGACTTTGAGCTGATTCTGAGCGGGGAGGATTGGTACTTTTTTTCCTTGTAAGTCAAGAGGAGTGAATAGGTGGGTTTGCGTGCGATTTTCGTATTACAGTAAATACTTTATATGAGGCAGTAAACTAAGAGTTACATTATATACTGTTCGGGAAATATAAGATTACTATGTCATCGCAATATACAATCATAAAAGCACATAAAGATATACTTTAAAAACATAAGCAAAATAATGAGTGTAATACACGAAAATTGACTGACTAAAATGACATCAAAATTATAAAAAATTAAATTTTACACAACAAATATGCTATCTCAACATAAAATCTCAAAATTTCTTTTTAAGATATATATTTCTTTTACATTACAACATATTTACAACAAAATACTAAACAGGTGCAGTAAAATATATAACTAACGAGTGACAGATGTGAATAATATGTCGCGACATTTCATAGTAAACATACTTTTTCATGGTAAAATTACTTTTTCATAGTAAATATACTTTACTGTGAAATCGAAAACCAAAAGTAAGAGAAAACAAATGTAAGGCGGTAGTGGATCTGTTGATGCTAAGACTATAATATTAAGAAGAAAACAATGGTATTAGGCATGATTTATGTCATTTTTGGATAGAACAAAAAGACTAAAGTTTCGGTTTTGGTAAGGAGGTTTTATGGCAAAAGAATAGCCATTTATAACATTGACCATTACAGGCTTGGCCGTTTTTTGACTGAAATTATTAATATTGGTTCACAAGGAAAGTACCCAACCTGAAACACTCAGAATCTGCTCAAAATTTTTATATGAATTCCTTGTACTACCAATAGTACCTATAAAAAATTTCAGCTTGCGCTTTTGAGTTTTAAAATTTAATTATTTGAACCCGACCTATTTGGCAAAACTTGGCATTGTGTTTCAAGCACTTTTTTCGACTTTCCAGACAATCTACGCTTACAAATTAAAAATGTAGGTTCATTTAAAGGTTTTCTACTTGCATATCAAAGAAAAATGATTAAAAGTCAAAAACTGACAAAGTTAAAAGCTTGAAATACAATGCCAATTTGGCGGGAAATTCAAAAAGTAATTTTTCTTGTAAACCATTTTCCGTTGATAACTTATATCATATACAATCATATTATACCAACGTAACACTTCTACTTTCCAACTTTATTCGGTAAATAATTTCAATAAAACTTTATGGTTAGGAAACTGGTTACAATGTTAAAATATATATATAGACATACGACGACGTAGATACAATACACAGGAATAGCTAGTAAGATAAATGCACTCGTCCTTGAATGAAAATATTTTAATAATATGGCTATCTAATGGAAGAAAGAAGGGTTTGGTTAGGTTAGAGAGAAGGAGGAGGTGGGTGATATTGCAGTAGCCACCTTTGATGAAAGAGTTAACAATAACATTAGTAAAGGTGTGAAAAGGTGTGGCAAATGGTGCTGTTTGGTACTAAAATAGAAGCAAATTGTATTTAAAACAAGTACCATCAGGAAGACCTCGAATATAAAACATTAAAGACACCTCGAATATATTAACATAAGTAGTTTAAAGCTGAAGATATTTGGTAGGAACGGTGCCGTGAGCAATTTGACCGGCTTTGGTTTCGAGGCGTGCCACTCGTGCCAGTCCACCTTGAACGTCCAGTACACGGACTGGTTCGCCTTTGACCAACGACAAGTGGGTGGAATGACCGGTCGATTCGCGAGCTTTGGCCAACAGAGATCGTGAGCGACGTGACTTGGTCAGGGTGGAGCTGTTGGTGCTTTGGGTTTCGCGTGAGAAACTGACTGGGATCTTGGAGGCGGGTCGGGTTACGACGTCGTCGAGGAGGTAGCTGACTGGGAGGTCTTTGGGTTGGAGGGATGTGCAACTCCAGCCTCGTCCTAAAATACGATTTTTTAAAATTAAAATTTTTTTTAAAATTTTAAAACTTAATCACCCCACCCCCCCCCCTTTTTTAACCCAAAAACCACCCCCTTATTTCCAAAAAACCTACTTCCAGCAACATTCCCCAACCTCGCTGGTACCGACGAGCTCTTTGGTACCCTCGAATCCGATGGTAGTTTGGAAGCATCGTACTGATTGAAGAAGCTTTCTTCCAGATTCCCTTGCTGGCACCGTGACAACACCGACAACAACTCCAGACTCTCGATCAGACGCCAGAACAAGCTTCTATAGGCGGTAGAAGCGTGGAGAAGGAAGGCGTCTTCTGAATACATTGAGCAGAGCTCCCGTTCCTTCATCACCACGTAGCTGAGCCAGCCGTCCAGGGAGTGGGATCTGAAAATATTGAGGTTGAGGGGTCGAAAAGGTTGAAATTTGGGTTTGAATAGAGGTAAAAAGGTAACAAAATCATATTTTAAGCTTAAAAAAGGTAAGAAAATCATAGTTTAGGCTTTAAAAAAGTAAAAAACCATGTTTATAGGCTTAAAAAATGTAAAAATATTTCATATTTTAGGCTTATAAAGGCTAACAAAGACATGTTATAGCCTTACAAATTCTTCTATTACATACCGACATAAAGAACCCGCCATTTTTTGCAGGAAATTACAGGAAAAGTATGGCGGGTTCTTTATGTCGGCACCTAATATGAATAATATAACACTCAAAGATCACCAAACCCTCCCAAAACCTACTTCAACAACTCCTCCAAGAACGTTCTCAACTGTGCATCGACGTTCTTCTCCTCGTTCTCCAACTTCAGCACCAGATCGTGAACCCATCCAGTCGCCTTGCCCGGCTTCGTCGCCGTCAACACCACATCCCATGAAGTGTAGGAAGCCAGGAGACCGTCAGCGATGAGTTGTTCTAGTCCTCGGAACAACAATTGAGCTGACTCTCCTCGAAGGATTCCTGCCACGCCTTCCACTGCCGCTTCGACCAGTCGACGTTTCGCGTCGTACGATGGTAGGCCAATGTTGGCGAGTTCGGCCGCGTTCAGTTTGACATGACGGTTGTGTTTTAGGGTGGTTGTGGACGAGCGACTCAGGAGGGGCGGTTTTTGAGCAGTGGGGGTGGATTTTGAGGGTTTTTCGCTTTGAGTGGATTGTAGCCAGGGACCGGACTTTTTGACCTGGCTCCCGCCTAATAGGCTGACATTGCTTTTGAAAAAGCAACAGGTTTCCACGACGTTTCTGAAAATAAACATTTTTAAGGGTTTTAAGTGATAGGAGTGCCCTAGGGCCAATTTTATTTTAAAATTTTTAATTTTCAAAAAAATTTTTTAACTTACCAAACACACCCCCCTTTTCATAATTTTTTTACTTGCTCTACCCCACCCTCTTTTTTAAAATTTTTTTTCACCCACCCTGCCCCCCCCTCTACTACTGAAAAAAATCACCCCGCCCAACACAGCCCATTTCTAGAAAAACCAAAAAAAAACCATCCCACCCATTAAAATCCACGCCAAGAATTACAAAGCAAAAAAACCATAACGAAACCTACTTTGGCAACAACAGTGATAACGACGGCCAATCTTCAATATGTAATGGGCCGGAGCTCGACCGCCCAAGGCCAGAATCCGGTTCAATTAGTGTTACGCCGAGACTCGGCGAACTGGCCGAAGCCTTCATTTCGCGGCCATACAGAGATTCGGAATCCAGCTCTTTGCGCAGCTGGTTCAGTCTGGCGGTGGTGGGCCGATCCTTGGAGTTGGCTTCTTTTAGAAGCTGGTCCAGTGGGGCTGATGTTCGACAGAAGCTGGGGAGCTGGAAATGTGTAGGATTAGACTATTAATATTGTAGATAACATGGCCATAGGTGTTTAGATATTATAGTAAATTAAGTTTTAGGTATAAGGTATAAAGAGAAAAGAGGTTTTTAGGTATAATATATAAAGATATACAAATTTAAGGTATAAAATATATTGAAAAATAGCTTTTTAAGTATAATATAAAGAAAAATAAGCTTTTAGGTATAAACTGTGAAACAAAATTCAAATTTCTGTGTAAATCTCCACAAGCTCATATTGATACATAAAAGCCTTGAAAAAGTTAATCACTGTTGCTTTTCACTTTAATGACTTTGTGCTTTTCAAATACATATTATTTTAGCTGCTTTTTAACAAAAAGACGGCTTTTTAAAACAAAAAGTGCTTTAATTAATACAACAAATTAAAGTAAGTCAAACTTGATGACTACAACACTTAACAAGATTAGATTTTTAAAAGATGTTAACTTTGGTTACCCAAAATTCTTTTTTTTATAATTTTTAAAGCAAAATATTATTTTTGTTACCTAAAATATTATTAATCTATAACTTTTGACTAAAAATAAATTTTTGTTACCTAAAACTTTATATTTCATACATTTTAGCCAAAAAAATATATTTGTTACCTAAATATTAAAAAAATCTATTCTTCAGCATTTTTGTTACCTAAAAATCTCCACAACCTTAATATGTGACCGAAAAATGTTCAAAAACACAAAACGTTACCTAAAAATCTCCAAACCCTCACAATATTACCTAATAATCTCCAAAACCTCAAAATGTTACCTAAAAACCACAATACCACAACAAAACCAACTTACATAGAAAGGCAAATGCAGAAACTTGAGATCTACTGAGCTTTTCGATGGTTCTAATTCGGCAAAAGTTCGTTTCGGTGGAATTGATGATGTTTTATGCGCCTTCTCCCACCTGTCTTCTGTCTTTGGCTCTGTGTAACGTGAGGTGCTGGCTGAGGCACAGTCCAGTTCGTTTTCGTTCACATCGACCAGTCGACCTTCGCTTGTTATTGAAACGGCATCTTTGTGGCATGATAGGTCTTTATGACAACATGAGGTGTCTTTATGACATGAAGTAGTGTCTTTATGTGATGAAGAGCTCTGTCGTCCCATAAAGTTGGCTACCAGACTGGTCGGTCGATCTTTTGTGGCCGAAGGGAGGGGTGATCTGAGTTGAACATGGCTTGGCATACTCTTGGTGTGATCGTCGAATGGCTCCACACTTCTGATGCGGCCCCACGTCGTTAGGTTGCCATTTGGAGCTTCTAGGCTTTCATTGCCATAGCTGGTCCGTTCGTCCGACGAGAACTCCTCCAGTCCAGTTGTAGCACCGTTGCTTGGCGAAGCGCCAGTCCCGAAGCCGCTCGTCGTCCATTGGCCCGAGTCCTCAAACGCTATCTTGTAGTCGTTCTTGTTGGTCTCGCATCGCTGACGAAGCTGCTCCATGTCCAGCGAGTCGGTGGATATTAGGGCTACGTCGAGGCCGATTGAGGAGAACATGGACTGTTCCTCCATTAGGGACGAGCCAAAGTCCAGTTCGGCGATTTGCTCGTCCAGCACGCTGAGGGGCCAATGATGCGGTCGGGCAAGATATGCCGCCCCATCGGGGCGGTTGTTGGCGTTCATGAGTTCGAAATACTCGACCATTCCCTCAGGCTCGGACGAGCCCTAGAGAGGACGAAACGATGTGTTCGTGGTGCAGATGCTGAAATGAGATTCGGTAAAATGGGTAGTACTTTAGGTATAAGATAATATTAGGTTGTTCAAATAATTATGTGCCTCTAACAACGGATATTTGCTTTGAGTGGGGGGGGGGCACAAAATTAGTTGAAGAACTTTTTTTCAAAATTTAAACGCGGTCCCCTCTATAAACTCACAATTAAAAAATTTTTTATTCAAACCCTATACCTCCAGGCCAAAATATTCCGCTCAGCATCACTCACTGTCATAAAAAACCCAAAAATATTTTAAAATCTTCAAATCTCTTCTCCAAAGACCCAAAACACAAAAAAAATTGATCTCATATCAAGTTAAAGATGACCATTCCCTTAATAACTCATACCAAGACGAAGATATCCAATCACTTAATAACCCTGCTCAATGCAAACAACATCGTGGCGTTAAGAGATGGGGGAAAACAACAAAAACAAACGAAATGTAAGACATTCCGCTGAGCGCACTTATAAATAACGGAAAGGAATTTTCAAAATTAATCAAATCTCCCACGGAAATCTCTTGTTTTTTGCTATTTATCCACCAGATTTGGGCTTTGACAGCTATAACAACTTGAACAAGACGTCATTTTTTAATTTTCTAAAGTTATGACCAGAGCAATTTATTTAAATACATACTAAAGAAATTTCACTGTATTACAATTTTAAAAAGTCTTGTCGTTTCTAAACACTACACACAGTAGAAAATAACGACAAAACTTAATTGTAAGTATAATATTCGAGATTTGTATCACTAATGTTAATAAAAAAAAATTCTAATTTATGACATAAATCATCTATGTATAATAAGAAAAAAAAGACAAATAATGTCATTAGAAACCTTCCAAATCAATTTACGGCCAAATAAAACAGGTTTTTAATTGAAAAAAAGACACTATTTATAGTATATTCTTAATGAAATTAAAACAAAAAGTTTTTTTTCTATAAACAGAAACGCCTATATAATCATGTAAAGACCTAAACTAGTCCAATAATCTCTAATAATCGTGTAACAGCCCAGACTGCTCCAAAAACCTCATTTTTAGTCCAAAAACACCCCCTCCCTCTTTTCTTCTCAATTTTGAGTTGAATCTACGCCTTATAAACAAAGCAAAGATCCCCATCTCACCTTACCTAACCTTCCTCATTTCCCTGATCTTATCCTACCCTACCCTAGCAAACCTACCCCAATCACCCTACCCTCTCCAATGATTTATTACTCCAACCCTAATCCAAAAATTAGAGACCAATAACCTCTATAGTTCACTTGCTTAATGCAACCTCCACTAATTCTGTAACCTTGTTTTTGATTTCGTCCATCGATAAAAGCCCTTTCCCTTACTTTCAAAGGTCTATTTTCGCTTTCCACCCCCAATTCCAAAGATAAACCTATTACCTAAAAAGCAGATGATTTTTAAGACCCTAAAGGATTGGAAGGAGTTTTCATCTGCTTCAATTTGCGTATGGTTTCAGTGGTTTTAATCGTTTGAAATTTGGATAAATTTATTTTTCTAAATCTAGGAATTATAAAAACTGCCATTTGCAGTGGAATTTGATGCTCAAGACCTCATAATGCAATCAATTTAATACCTAAAAATAAAAAAAAAACTTTAGAAAAATTTTAAAAATTCAAAAAATCAAAATTTACCTATAAGTTTACATGAGAATCACCTGTATAACCCTCAAAAAGCCCATTAAAACCCAAAACCGTTATCTGAATCCTCTCCAAACCGATTCACAACAGATTTCTCTTTCAAATTAACTCAGTAACGTTAACCTTTTTCATCTTTTCGAAGCTAAAACCTCATCTGAACCTAACTAACCTTAACAAAAGCTTCTTTCTGTAGATAGAGCTAGAGAATTCATTAAGAATTTATAAAAAATGAGACTTTGGTCTAGAATAACATGAAATTCCTTGAACATTAAGTCCTAATAAACCTTATCAAAGATCTTCCAATCTTACTAGGCTTAAAAACATGTCTTCCTCAGTTAGCTTTAAAAGAGCCCTTCTCAGTACTTAAAAATTGAATTTGATACTACTCCACCCCTAACCTCAACACAATCACTAAAAATCTTCATACAAGCCTTCCACCCCTTTATCAAGATTAATATTAACATTCCCTCTCAACAATAAGTCTTCACACTACCCTCAACTTTCACTACTTCATAAACTCCCCCTTCCCTTCCCATTCAAACGAACACATCAGCTGACATCAAGTACAATACCCAAACACGATAAAACAAAAAACGTCGTTTTGGTACAAACAACTGTTCTTGATCCTGGAAAACGTTCGCGATACAAAAAGAGTGTGAGAAGCCGTACGGAATAGTGTTTCCGATCAGCCGGAAGTCTTCGAAAACAATAGCCAGAGGGGCGGATTGCGCAAGCGCCCGCGGCCATAAAATTAAAGGAAAATCGATGAAAAAGTGCCGTGCCATGGGGCCCGGGTCCTGGGGCTTGCCTCTCGAGGTTTTGCGGCGAGAAAAGGAAATCTTCAGATTGTAGAGGAAGAGAGAGAGAAAGAGGGGTTCAGCCAGCGATTCTTTCGCCTCTATCTGTTTCGGCGGGTCTCTTCGAAGTTCGTAGTGTCTCTTCGGGTCGGGAGGGGTAGTGCATAGTCTCTCGCGGTCTTTTTTCCACGTCTCTAGCCTTTTTTCTAGTTAACTCTGGTCTGTATTACAAGTCCTATCTCTGCCCCCGAGAAACCCTCTCTCCGCCACCCATTCCCCCTCCTTCACTCTACGTTAACATATAAAAGTAAGGGACGCACTTCGGAATCGACAGACGAGCCTGTTTCACGCTGGGCCGCCTGTCTTCTTCTTCTGGCCGGTGGGGGATTTGCTTTACTACTTACTCGTACTACTTTCTTTTAACAGAAGAGTGCTGTGACGAGGGATGGGGTTTGAAGAGCCGCAAAACCAGAAGCGACCTGCAAATGTCACATTTAGAAACATAATCTTGAACATGAAGGGGATTGTCACTCCGCTTTACAATTACTGTCAATCGAAGATGCCAATCGACCCCCGGGGCATACGTATTAACAACAAAATAGATCATAGGAGCAGGTACAGCGGCATAAAAGAGCCAAGAAAGTATAGCGTCAAAAACATCCCAAGGCACACGTACTAAAGCCAAACGGCCTTAGGCAGTGCTGAAGGGGTAATTTTAGTACGAACCGGTGAGAGGAAATGAAAAAAAGTAAAATCAACCTTTTTTAAAAACATAAAAGAACAACATGTTCATTTTGAATTCAAAAAATTTTTAAAAAAACAACCCCCCCCTCCCACTTCAATCCCTTCAATCCCTGTGAAAAAGCGTGGAAAGACAAATTTCTCCCCAGGGCACAAGTACTATAAACAACCTCCGCAGGACACACGTATTAACAACAAAACGCGAATTAAGTTTCAAAATTTCAGTTTACAATTTCAAAAAAGAATTTTGCAAAAAATACGACAAAAAACAATTTCTCGCTGCTGGATGAGTAACATAATATTACGGCTTATGGATGGGAAAAGTTCATTTTTAAAAGGCAAGAACTGTTTAATGAGAAAGGAATTCTTGCTTTAAAAGCAAATATTTTTTTAACTTTCAATTTGATAATCATTTTTATAAAAACTATAATTTTCTGGCCAATTTCACCATGGATAATATAACATTTTAGACTGTAACTCAAAAGCCGTTAAACCAAACTAAATCAACTTTAAGATACATTATCCTAAGACTACTAAGACATCAATTACTAAGAACCAGAGTTTTACTTCGTATCTTACAAAAGTTACAGCTAAAAATGTTTAGCTCATTAATGCCTTGAATAATATCGTATTTTTTCCTTACATGTGACTAAAAATTCGACGCGCAAAATTGAAAAAAAAATGTCCATGATATTCTTTTATTACTCAAGGTACCAGACCGCGTATTTTACCCAATGAAACCCAAAAATATTATCAAAGAATCAAAAATTAGTACAACATCAATATAAGGTCGAAAACAAATCAAGCGACTCAAATCCGCAAATATGAAACTAATGAAAGCAACAAAATAAGCAAAAAACTTTTCCCAATCCATCTGAATGTACTTTTTATTCGGCCGAAACAAACAACAAAGCCTTAAAACAATATGAAACAAAGTAGTCAATGATAATATCCAACGAAAGACATGAGAACAATACTTAATAGAGTCATTATTGAAAATATCTTGTCATATATCAAACGTCGCCTGAATGTACTCGCAGTTCTCCGGTGATATACTATGTCCGGGTCGACATTCCGAAGCCATAGGGCATTGGAAACAAGGTGTTGTTATCAGTGGTGACAAGAAGGGTTTCTGTGGTTTGGCACGGTATTGACTTCCGATTCTTTTCTCCAGTTTTCCATCTAATACAGCTACGTCCAGTATGCTTTCCACATCGCCAACTGACAGTTCCACCTTGCTGATGGCTTTATCGTGAATGTATTTGGCCACGACATCAGACGCTACAAAGGCATCTTCTACTTGCCGCCTCTTGTCTGTCGGGTTATTGTCTTCGGCTGTTTGGCGGACATTCTGAAAGTTGAATTTTAGGTATTAAAAAGGAATAAAATATCCAAAAAATATTTTAAAAAGCATAAAATATCCAGAAAACATACAATAATATACAACAAGTTCCGTTCTATCGTATTATATTAAAATAGAGTCAAATAAACTAAAAAAAACCTATCTAAAATATCAAAAAAAACCTTATATAACACCAGATTTTAAAGTTTAAAATCCAGTTACCAACTTTTTTTTCCAAAAACTTCAAATTTGTGACGTCAAACTTATAAAAAGACGTTTCAAACATCATTACCCATAAAACGTGACGTCTTTTGCAAAAAAAAACGTTCAAACCACCTACATAAACAATAATATATTCATTAAACTCCCATTAGTTTATAAATTACCATAAATAGGCTATAACACCATCCACGTACTTTAGCTCTCTTGAGAATAATATAGAAGAGATTAACAGTGAAATGGCTATGTAAACCAGTTTTTTAAACGAAAAAGCTACTCTGCTATCTAGATTATTTTAAAAACTTAATAAGCTCATTAAATTTCAAAAAAAAACCTTCACTTATCAGCTATCAAAAGCCCTAAATTTCCACCGAAATCATCAAAAACCTCAAACCAAAACAACAAGTTACCTGAAGCATAGCCACACAAACTTGGATCAAAGTCTGAACAAACTGAGAATCAAGTTGTTGATCAGAATAGAACGTTCCACCCGTCAAACTATCTCCAGCATCGATATTGTACAAGATATAACACTTTTTGGTCGTTCCAACAGCTTTAATCGACTTGATCAGCCTTTTCTGTTCTAATGACTTCAATACCCGTCTCAACTGCGTTTCTGACAACCCTGATTGATCTCGAATGTCTTTTATCCCAATTCCATTCTTGTCCGACTCTTCTACTATTGAATATACCTAAAATAAGGTTGATTAACGGTGGTATAGCATGCTGTACTTAAAAAAGTTTAAATAAATGTAACGATCGGATTTGTGAGACTGTATAAACAGTATTATCAACAAAACTATCTAGAGATAGGTATGAAAAAGTAGAATATAAGCCGATAAACCTTATCTTCTATGTAAATTCCAAAAAAAAGACTTCAAACATCGCCAATAAGATCATCTAAACCAATAAAAATCAAGCAAACTTCAAGCTCTTACCGAATGTTCTTCAGGCGGCGCATCCGAAGGTAGCGCCGTCTTCTTATATTTGAGGTAAAAGTCCTTGGACCCACAAATTTGAAGCATTTCAACATCTCCGGTGGACAATATCTTGTTGATCAGCTCACTCCGGCTTTTCGCATTCAAATGAGGTGTAAGTTCAGTCAGCTCAGAGTTGGAGATGCCTTCCTTTCGGCCCTGAAGCTGCTTCATCAACTCTGCCTCAACCTTCTTATCCACCAGACTTTCCTCCATGTTTATTACCTGAAACAAAGATAATATAAACAAAAATACTCTTGAAAATTAAAATATAAAAAAATATTAAAAAGACTAAACTAAAATGTTTTCGAAAAGTGTAGAAAAATGACATCAACCCAAATCTACACCTCCTTCCACAAAAATATATTTATTATTTTGCGCGAGCTGCCCCCAATTTCTTTTCTAAGAAAAAATTTGCCTCGCAGACTGCAGTTTATTTTTCATACGCAAACGTTGTCAAAACAAAATTTTAAAAAGGGTAGAATAAGTGATATTAAATATGATTCCTTAATAAATTTAAAAAATTATTATTTTTAGAAAGCAAAACATATAGTATCTAAAACTCAGAATTATGTCCGACCTAAAAATGGCAAAGCAGATTGAATGCGTTGCCTTTATATTTTCCTATCTTTGTCTTATGCGTTCTTTATAAATCACATCTCGTAGTTTATACATCATCAAAAATATTTGGATAAATGGTTATTGCGTGTTAGTTATTAAAGCTTTTACAAATTTTACGTTCAAGTTGTAACCAATTCGTAAACACCAAAGTGAAGAAATAAAACTAGCTCTCTACTAATAAACACAATAGTAAAATGGCAAAAAATTAAATTACCATACATAAAATTAACCAATAACACAGGTAAAGTAAGTTTATTCAACAAAAGATGTCATCCTTTACCTGCAAAAAAAAAGTATTTTTGATCAAAAAATAGATGAGGTTGTGTTGTTACAACAAGAGTCAAGTTCAAGTACAACAGATACTATTTCTATTTTAAATATTATCAATGAAGATATTATTAAAATTAAGCTTTTTACAACAGAACCATAGATTTAGTCAACCAAAGTTTCGTGTTTTTAGCCATAGACAATCTTATTATAGACGTTATAAAGTCGCTACAAACAACGTTTGTAAAAAATATAATAAATTTTTGAAAATACTTTGTTATAGTCTACTTTGTTTTGAAAAAAGCAGTAAAATTCAAGACATTTTTCTTAAGACAATATAAAATTTTATTAAAATTTAAATTCTTTAAAAATCTACAAAAGTAAGACAATCTTATACATATTTCAGTCTACAACTATATGTAGCTCAATATACAACCTCATATCGACCATAGTATTACCAAAGTAATGTAGTATCACTATATTAATATTAGCAAGTACTGTAACATTACCCAAGTAACATTACTAGTAATAGTACGTTACTGGATTAGTATTACCAAGTACTATGCCTTAATACTGTAACATTACTGAACTATTATTAGTATAACAATAACCATTACTACAGTAACATTATCTATCCTCTACGGACTCTGCCCGAAATGCCTAGCATCATTTTCCTGTTGCTTCTGAATCCTCTGATCTGACAACATTCTGGAGAGTTCACAATCGGAAGGATTGGCCTTGTTCAACCTCACATTCACTCCTCTGTTCTCATGTTCGAAGGCTTCAACTTGAGGTATCAGACTCTTAGCTTCGTCCATCTCAAGGTCAGTGACTGTTGTGAATAAGCTCTGTGATGTTGGCAGATTCTCTAGGCCTGTCTTGGCAAAGAAGTTCAGGACGTTTTCAATGTCACGAGCCAAGAATTCCAATGCTCTTGGATGAGACACATCGACAGCTTGAGCTACGTCAATGACGTAGACTTTGTTGTCGTTGTAGAGCAAATTGAACTCGCTTAGATCACCATGAACAAGTTTGCATTCTCGGAACATGCGAATGATTATCTGAAAAGTTAAGGATCATAACAATACCGCCAAAAGTAAAAATAAAAAATATTACCTAAAAACTTAAACTCTAAGATCAGTTGAAAAATGCGAAAAAATGTTTCAAACCTTCAATAGGTTGTCTAAAATCAAAACTTAAAACATAGTTAAGCCTATTTTTTATAAGATTTAACTCTATTTTTAAGATCTTTAAGACTATTTCTAAGAAAAATATTTAATAAATACCTGTTTAACTTGTTCAAAAGCATCAGCCAACTCTACTTCACTATCCCAAGCTATATCGCGCAGCTTTTTAGCTGGACCATCAGTACCAACCATTGTCATCAAAAGTACGTTACGTTTTACGTGTAACGGTGTTGGGCAAGGCATCTCAGCCCGGTTTAACCTGAAAAATCCAATTTAATACCTAAAAACGTAATTTTCTTTGATTTTAAGCCATATTATCATTGTTAAGAAGATATGACTTAAAATTAAACAAAAAATATCTTTTACTTAAAACAGACAATCAATCTTGACCAGAAATACAATGAATTTTAGACAATAAACCAAAAAATTTAACGTATTTTACAAAAAAAAACCTCCTTCCTTACCTCTGTAGGTTCATGTACTCTTTTGTAGCCCATACTTTCAGAATGTTTCTTGGATTCTTGAATCTAAAGTCATTTTTGATATATTCACCACGATTCCTGAAGGCATTCAAAGACTGCTTGTAAACCTTAATCGCAAAATGTTGTTCATCCAGGTTTTCACGTTCAGACGTTCCTTGTTCCGAAAGCTCGTCCAGAATACCGTGAAGTACCGTAGATTCCTATAAATATGTTTTTTAGCTCAAATATTGTGTAGCCTACTATAATATACTAATTTTTACTACAGTTCTTAAGGTTTTCAAAAATATTTAAATAACGAAAAAATGAGTTTCTACGCACTTTTTGACCACATAACAAAGAAGTTTAAACATCGTGCCCTCCCTGTATCAAACACAGTAAAAGTTCTTACCTTTCCCATAGCAACAACCCCTTCAACTCTATCAATATCTCCATTGTTGATCCACTTCAACAAGATCAATCTGCTCTTAGCGTCCAAAGAGGCATCGCTCATGGCCTTTTCGTCCTTATCCTTCAACCTGGCCTTCCTCTTCATCTCCATATTGCCAAATCTCTCCAATTCATTAGCAATTTTAGTGTTAATTCTCTCTCCAACTAGATCTCCACTCTTAAGGCCAGATGATGACTAAAACAAACAAATTGTTAAAACTAGTACCTTTAATAATGTCATATATGCAATAAAAACTCGTCTAAACATCGCCCAAGCTAACACCGACAAGTTTTCAAGAAGTTTAAAACATTTGATACCTACTACAATATATATTTTGATCTCCTACTCAAACATGTAATAAATACCTGAAACAGTCGTTGACAATTTCTTCGATCGCTCATTTCCTTGTTGTGTTTCGTAATAATCTCTCCATTTTGATTACGTCTAAACCCACACGGTGGGAAAGTTTCTTTTTGGTATGAGTAATAATCATTTGTAGCTATTTCACGACATTCGTCTTCATCAAAACTGTCCTCATCACTGTCATCCAACTCAAATTTTTCGTAGTCATGTCGTGTGCTTATTAACCCAACTAAAACAAGATCATTAACAAAATTAAAATTTTTTGTTACCTAAAATATATTTAAATCAAGTAAAACAGCAAAAATATCAATAAAATTAGCAAAAGAAAATCAATATTAATCAAAAAATAAGTAAAACAACATAGAAAATTTTATTTCCACCTAAAATTAAACAAAAATTATATTAAAGTACCTGTGGTTGATCCTCCACTTGTCAAACCTTCTCCCAACTGCTCGTTCAATTCATCTTCTCTATCAAACTGCCTCTGCAACTCCAGTGCCATCCTTTTGTCGGCCGAACAATCCGGATCTTCGCTCAATTGCATAGCCAGAAGGCGATCTTTCGTCTCCTGATCAAAGTCTTCGGCTTCGAATTCCTTCAAACTGGCTTCTAAAGCCTCTTGAAGCTGTTCGAACTCGCTCATCTCTTCCTAAACTCAATAAACAACAAGTTCAAACACTTCACTTACAGTTTGAAGTTGTTCTGCCAATGTTTCACTCATGATCTCGGTGAAGGAAGCTACTGGAGGAGTGTCGTTTCGAGTTCTCGCCTTCGGTTCTGCCCATTTTCCGTTCCAACAAGCCATCTTTGCTCTTTCGCCTCAAATTACAAGTAATTAACCGTATTTTACAAGTAAAATAACACGTTATTGTACTCATGTCGCGCCTTCTTACGTTGTTACTGTCAATCGAAGTGTTTTTGATCAAGAAAAATGTGATGCAAGTTATTTACGAAATATTATTGGCCTTGTGTCGTTTTCGTGATGGGACGCAGAGGTAATGCGTATGTTGTTAGTTTTGAAGGGTTTTTCAGGTGACATCGCTGTAAATTGATCTATTTTCAATTTTAAAAGCATTACAAAAGTATGGACAACAATTTTAAAATAGTTTTTCATTTTTATATAAAGGTATCTTTTGTGTTACGTATTGATATCTTCATGAACGGTTTAGTGATAGTGCAACTTTGGTATCTTTCCATAATCTTCCTATACTTAACTCTCAGAGTTCCTTATTCGTTACCACTGTTTTTCATTTTAAAATTGACCGCTCAACCTTGGGTATCGAGTAGTACTCGTGCGTGTACGAAAAAGCTTGGAATAAATATTTTGAGATGAAGGGATGGGCCTTTCTTATGGCGCCGTCTTCTCCAAATCTTTTTGGCGCCGCTTTTTGCGCTCTGTTGCTCTTGAATTGCTTTTGGTCTTTATTTGAAGCCTGAAGAAGCCCTTCGGAGAGCATGATGAACTTGACAGCATGTTTTTAATCAGCATTTCGGCCGGCGTTCGTTTGTTTTCGGATTGGATTTACATTTTCTGGAATGGGAGTATGGAAGCATGGTTGATATAGTAGGGTGTGGGTTGTGGTAGTGTATGATGACTTAAAATCTGGAACTTTTAAAAAAGTTTTAATTTTTTGCGTTTGAGTGACGTTTTTTAAATTGGGAGTTTGAAGTCAAGGATAACATTGTACGGTGTGAGTTGTGGTAGTCAATAATGCTTGAAAACCTAGAACTTTAAAAAATCTCTGTTTTTGGGTTATATTTTCGCCTGGGATGTCATAAACTTTGATTTACGTGTTATAATGAATTTTGTTTCGTGGGGTAGAGGGAGGATTCAAAAAGTTTTTGTAGATGCAAATCAGGCCTTTTTTATTCTTTTTTTGAATTTTTGCAAAAAGAGAGAAATACTTTTAGAACAGTAATTTAGTCAACAAAAACTCTTTAACCATTTAAAATTACAGTACTACCACAGTAAGACCATATTTTGCAATTAAAAATTCATAAGTTTCTTTTTGGCAAGCCTAATAGAACGCATTACCATGTCGCCTTCTGAATATGTGAATATTATGAATAAAACATGCCTTCTGAAGCCGCGTTTATGACGCTATTAATAACTTTTTTCTTGCTGAATTTCAGTACGTTTCTTGACCGGTCATTTGTAATATTGTTTTGCAAGATATTTAGAATACAAAAAGGGATATAACAAAATCTATTGTATAGTACCTTGAAAAAGACTTTTAAAAAAGGAAGTAGTTTTTCAATTTATGTGACAATTTATATGATTTTGGGGCTTGTTTTTAATTTTTATAGGATTATTACTTTGAAAGATGTGTTTGGACATCACTGTTAATATATACTGTTGGGTAGGGCTGGGTAGAGCAGGGCAGGGCTGGGTAGAGCAGGTTAGGGCTGGGTAGAGCTGGGTAGAGCAGGGTAGGGCTGGGTAGTGCAAGGTAGGGCTGGGTAGAGCAGGGTAGGGCTGGGTAGAGCAGGGTAGGGCTGGGTAGAGCAGGGTAATGTAGGATAGGGTAGGGTAGGGTAGGGTAATGTAGGGTAGGGTAGGGTAGGGTAGGGTAGGGTAGGGTAGGGTAGGGTAGGGTAGGGTAGGGTAGGGCAGGGTAGGGTAGGGTAGGTAAATCCAATAGAAAATGAAAAATAGTAAAATCGCTTCGAAAAGCCTATAATGCACTTCAATTGAGTAAATTGTGTTTTGTTTTTTAGTACCATTAATCATTTTTTTTTCAGTTTATTAAAAATTTTAATCCGGTTTTTAAAAACAGGCGTTTTTTTTTGTTTTTCCGCCACTTATTTTATTCCAAAAGCTACTGCAACTTAAAGTGGTGTAGCAGTGGTTTTTCGAGTTTTTCTAAATAAGTTAATTGGAGCCTAGCCTAAGTCTGAGTGTAAGCCTGAGCCTGAGCCTGAGCTTGAGCCTGAGCCTGAGCTTGAGCCTGAGCATGAACATAAGCCTGAGCTTGAATCTAAACCCGAGCCTGAAGTTAAGCCTTAGCTTTGTCTTTAGACTTAACTTATACAGTAGCCTTAGCCCTGTTCCTAACGCTAACTTAGTTAGACCAACCTTATTTACTAAAACTGACAAAACACGTTTTGGGGGTTTTTTAAATCCGAGACAACTGTTTTGGAATGATCGCCGGGACGACCCGGAGGGGAAGTAGGCTCTTCTTATGAGCCATTTATGTTTTTTCGGCCCGTTTTCGGCTTCGTCTTCCGGCCGCTTCATCGGCTTCACACATCTGGTCATTGTTTCACAGTGACACGTAACAGTGCGTGTTATGTTGTATTGGTTTACATTACATTATTATAGCCTTTCAGCGCTTTTATTTGACCAAGAACGGCGGTTTTGACTTGTAGGAAGGTATAAAACATGCATATTGAAAAGCTTGCTTTACAGTAGGGTAATGTAAGTTTAGCTATGGTAGACTATGGCTCTGGGCTAGGGCTCTGGGCTAAGACTATAAGCTAGGGTTCTAAGGTAGGGCTCTGGGTTAGGGCTAGGGCTCTGGGCTAGGGCTTTGGGCAAGGGTTCTGGGCCAGGGCTTTGGGTTTAGACTCTGGGCTGTTAGTCTTTTGTATTAAAATTTTAACACTACTGTAATTCTTGTCGTTGCGCGTTTTACAATTTCAAAATGTGGTATGTAGCACAATATATTGTATTTAACTAACAATTTTTCTGTTTTTTGTACATTTGTTCACTTATCAAATTGTATATAATAATATGTTATTTTACTCTACACTTTTTATAATATGCTTATCTACACAACTTCTAAATGCATATTAAGTTAGCACAAAAGTCAACTGGTTTACCTAATTTTGCAGTTTTTTTTCACTTTTTTTGATTTTATCATGAAAACACAGCTTAAAATTTTTGCTTTTTAATGTAAAATACGTTATGAACTTTTTTTAACGTCTTATAATCACCGTAAATTAACCTGTAAATTAAGTTGATAAATTTACAGTTTCAAAAAATTGAGTCAATAACTTTTTAAACCAAGGTAAAACTGTCCTAGAACTTTTGTGCCAACTTCGTATGCAAAATGCAAGTTTTTTATCCTTTTGTTTTAAATATGCAGTGTATTACCTATATAACGAACTCTTTTATATCTAAACTCTGTCAGTGACGAACAAATTTAAAATTCTTGAGAGGTTTGTTATAGAGGAGTTACACTGTATACGAAAGGTCTAATTTATTTTGAATTCAATTTTTTGTATTATTTTAGTGGTACCTAGTTTTTACAGTAATATTTTACATAAACATTTTTAAAAAAATACAAATAATTTTTTTTTCAGGATGTTAGCAGCGCGCGGAGTATCATTAGGCTTGGGGAAGATCAACTTGTCCGAGTTGAATCAGCTCCCAGCTGCTGATCGTGCCCTACTCGGTAAGATCCAGAAACTCAAAAAGAAGGCTCAAGAACGGCCGAAATTGATCGTCAAGAAGCATGTGGATAGAAAGGTAGGGTGATATTACTCTTGGTCATATTGAAGACTAAACTTAAAAATAAAAAATTTTAAAAGTTTTTAAAAATTAAATATGTAAGTATAAGTTAGTGAATTAAAAATTTCATGACATATTATTGGTTTGGGAGAGGTGAGGCAAAGGGAAGAAAGGGTAGATCTAAAAAAATTTATAATACTATAGTATGTTTAAATAATTATGTGCCCATATCAAACCAAATTTTTAGAGGTAAGGGCACAGAATTATATGAACAAACTAAGAAAATGATTTTTATCCGTTAGTTTTTGAAAATTTATATAAAGGTACTATATGGTTCTATATTATGGTACTCCTAATGAGGTGTCATTAGGGCTGTTAATTACTAAAGCCTGAATTTAAACAAAAGTACTATAACTCACTTTCTAGTAGTACCAACAGTATCAAAGTACCTAAAAACAAAAAGTTTTATAAGTGGCTTATAGCTAGGGCTAGAACTTCCTATTTATATAACAGTACCATTAGTCGCAAATCGTGGGGCTAGGTCTAGAGTTTTTTCGGGTCAAATTCACTCCCAAAAACCTAATCAACGTAATTTGAATAGTTACTTTCGTACACAATTACATCGTCGAACGTATTGAATTACCGGTAAAAACTCAACTGTTTCTGTCTTCTGGCATTTTTCGAAACAATGAAGTCATCTACACCTATTCTGGTGATTATTCACGGTAACTGACGTTGCTTTGTCTTTGGCATTATATTTTAGCTACTTGGTTTAACTTTGAAGTTTTCTAACTGTCTTGAGGCATTTTACGTGAGCTAGAGCATTGCTACATTACCTAAGAAATTTTACGTTACTGATTCATTCTAAGTTGCCTAGAGGCATTCTACGTTACCTGGCGCTAAATATTATATTACCTTTACTTTGACTTTCTGGCAATTACCTATAACTTTTGACTCTCTAAAACATATTTTACAATAAAAAGATAGTAGAATAGCTACCCGCCTATGATAAAACTCAGTAAAACAGTTAACCAGCTTATGACATAAGCCTATAATATCAAGCTTGAAAGTTTGTACAAGGCATTAACGCTGGAATGAACATAAAACAAGAGGCCCAGTCCGAATCGGTCTAATCGAGTTTGTGGGAAAGTGGGCTCCAAATTGCTTTTTTGTCGCTAATGGACCTTCGATTCATGAAGCTACTGGCGGAAAAGGTCGAGAAAGAGGTAAGGCTATCACTGATTTCAATTTTTGGAAACTAGGCTGATGTTTTCAAGTTAAGTTACTGTTTTGTGAATAGCCAGGAATCTTTGTAATTGTAAGCATTATGAATGGCTCGAAATTTTAAATTAAAAAGTATTAGTTATAGGAAGAAAATGACTAAATTTGGTCGTTTAATGACATTAAAAACGTCGTAAAAGTTAACGGAAAATGAAATTTTTGAAATTAAACTTTCTTTAGTATTAAATTTTTATCTAAAATGGGCTATCAAAAGTCATGTAGCTTTTTTGAGAATGTAACACAAATGTTCAAAATGCCTTTCAGAGTACTAAAAAAACAGCATGAATTTTGTTCGTAATAGAATAAAACTCAAATAAAAGCTTCTTTTATCCAAAAAAGCTTGTAAACTGCCATTTTTTATTATAGAAAGGAGTTAATAAAATCGTTTAGTTTTTTAAATTTTTTAAAACATTGGTTTATAGTTAGTAACTGTGGTCTTTGAATAAAAAAAATCTAAAATTTTTTGTTTAAAATATTATCGTTTTTTAAATTTTATTTGTTTTTGACTTCAAATAGGATAATATGATATTATCATACTACCAAATTTAAAAAAAGGTTTTGGTAGTTTTTGGCCGTGCAAATACAATTGAACTCCTGTATAACAAACTCTTCGTTGACCAAAATTCCATGTATTGTGCCGACATAAAGAACCCGTTATTTTTCACAAGAAATTACAGGAAAAGTATGGCGGGTTCTTTATGTCGGAACTTAATAACAAACAACTTTTTAATCTGACATTAAACAGTAAATTTAATACTCCTGCGTACCAAAATATTTTAATAAGTTGTTGGTTATACAGAAGTTCCACTGCATATATAAATAAACGACAATTCTTTTTTGGAGCGCGGAATTTAAAAAGCTGGTTAAGTTCAGGACTAGGCATAGCTTTAGTGCTATGGGAAGAGCCCGCTTGGAAGGGGAAGGTAATTATAATCTTTTTTACTTTTCTCAACTGGGACCTTTATGCTGTTAAAGTGCCAAAAATTCAAAACTTTTTAATTTTTTCAAATTGAATTTCTGAGCCTTTGTTCCTGTAACATACCACAATTTAAAAACCATACTTTTTTCATCAAAAAATGTTTTTCCACATATTTTAAGCCCGAAATTCATTAAACGAAAGGGAAAAGAAGGCCGAGTTTATGAATAGATCCTCCGAGAATTGCCTTTTCTGATGGTTTCTATGATAATATATTATATATATGAAATATATGTGATATGTACATATACATATATCACATCTGGCTGTTTTAAATTCCTCAAATATTTCGCTAAAGTTGTATGGCTAAAATACTAGTCGGGCTGTTTTTGGATGTTTAGGAGAACTTCGGGTAATCCTATTACTTTGGTAGGTTTTTAATTTGTAGGCTTGTCGTATTTTTTAAATTAATTGAGAACGGAGTACTTACAATAAAAATTTATATAAAATTTTTAAATTTTGCGAAAATGTGGCTTTTAAAAAAATTATGATTGATTATAGTGTGAGCCAAGAGTACGTTAATTTAGGTAATAATAGGGTTCAAAAAGCCCAAAAAATTAAAAAGTTTTTAAAAAATTTTATTAAGAGCAGTGTTTAGAATTTTTTTAAAGGCCAGTCCGGTTTGCTAAAAAATCAAAACAAGCCGGGGCTAAACTATGGTCCCCGGGCCCGTGCTGGGTCTTTTGCTTTATATAAACTTCTGGACCTAGATTTGTCGTATAAACAAAGCAAACTTACTATAACGCTTTTTTACGGTACTAACTTAGTCATAGAATGCTATATAGAACAACTTTGACTTTTAATTACGTTCTTTCAAACCTTCTTATGTCTACTATAATATATTATTGATATAACGCATCAAGAGCACTCTTATTAATGCATTTTACTTTACTTTGTTTCGAATTTCGAAGCCGTTTTTGAGTATTTTTTTGGAGAACGGAAATCGGAACCCAAACTACTTGGCCCAGTTTTGTGGCCAAAGGGTCGAGCAGAGAAGAGGGTCGATTATCATTTTAATATATAAATAACGTCACTGTAATCAATTTTGTACTTTTACAGTGCTTTTTATTGCTGTAGGGTAGGGTAGGGTAGGGTAAGGTAGGGTAGGGTAGGGTAGGGTAGGGTAGGGTAGGGTAAGGTAGGGTAGGGTAGGGTAGGGTAGGGTAGGGTAGGGTAGGGTAGGGTAGGGTAGGGTAGGGTAGGGTAGGGTAGGGTAGGGTAGGGTAGGGTAGGGTAGGGTAGGGTAGGGTAGGGTAGGGTAGGGTAGGGTAGGGTAGGGTAGGGTAGGGTAGGGTAGGGTAGGGTAGGGTAGGGTAGGGTAGGGTAGGGTAGGGTAGGGTAGGGTAGGGTAGGGTAGGGTAGGGTAGGGTAGGGTAGGGTAGGGTAGGGTAGGGTAGGGTAGGGTAGGGTAGGGTAGGGTTTATAATCATCTCTATTTCATAACATACCTACTTTGTCATATACATTCTTACTCCATAACACTATAAAATGTATGTTTTGTCACATACATCTCCATACCATAACCTATCCATCTTCTCTCGATCTTATGTAAGCCCGAGGCATTGTTTACCATCCTTAAATTCCATTTTACTGTAAACCGCGGGCCGTAAAATAGTGTCAAAATGAGATTACTCGGCGGGTTCCGGCTTTGATATTATGTCATAATAATAAAGTAATACGATTGTTGTGCACAATGGTCCGCTTTTGCGTGACTCGTCTTCTTTTCGGCCCGCAGGCGGCTTTACAATCATTTTACAAGGAGTTGTACAGTTGGTTTACTAGGATTAGGGCATGGTTTATGTTCTTTACTGTTGCATCTTTTGATATTTTAAGCTACATATTGATGTACTATGTTGTCTTATGTTAAATTGCTAAGTTTAAGTTGATTATATAGCCCTGTACTAGCTCACAATATGTTATAGATAGTGTTAAGTGTCTTGCAGTTACTATGTTATACCATTATGTAGCTTACTCCCGGTTTGAAACAGTATAAAGCCCACTTTTGCTTACTTTTGTTTCAATAGGATTACTATGTAATTAAGTTTCATGCTACTAAAAAAACTCTTTTTTGTACTTCCTATAGGCACAAAGTAACATAATTTATCAGACATACATGTGAGTAGGGCTGGCTGAAATTGAGCTCTAGTGAGGGTCAAGCCATGTAGAGAAAGGTCTGTAAAAAGGTTTAGTTCTGTTTGTTAAGTTGTCCACAAAATTCTGAGCTAATACAATTTTGGAAAGTTTCTTTGAATGGGAGCAAGGAACTATTTGAACCGACCTAATACTTAAGGTTTTTTGAATTTTTTGAAAAAATTATATGTTTAATGGCTCTTTCGGGGATACTTTTACCACCCTTCTGATAGAAATGAGCAGGGCGGAATGAAATTTACCGTCTTATATAATATATATATATGTAGGCTGTGGATTGTTTAATGAAACAATACTTTAATTGTCTCATGTGTTTTCCCATGACTATTACTTTAGTTTTTTTTACATTATAGTAACCATTTTATTAGGTGTTTTATGGGTTTGTGTTAGCATTTTTTTCTTATGAGGTAAATAAAATTGAATATAATAATAGTTTTCTAATGAAAACTTCAAATGGCACGTTAGAAAATACAAAAATCTTACATCTTGTTAAGTAAAGTGGCACTTTCGACCGTGAGGTTTTGTAGGGTCACGCAAGACGTTTTTTGAATACTAAGGTAATTTTGGTTTTTTTCAGTATTATATTAAAGATAAATTTGAATTTTTGATTATTAGGTGCCGACATAAAGAACCCGTCATACTTTGCCTGTAATTTCCTGTAAAAAATGGCGGGTTCTTTATCTCGGCACCTAATATAATAAGATTAGTTCGTTCACATAATTCTGTATTTCCTATATAATCCTAAAAGTTTGTTTTGAAAAGGAGCACAAAATTTTTTTAACAACCTAATATTTACTTATTCTGAAGGTTTAGAACTTAATGGTAAACATTCTTGGTCTTATAGCTTCTTTTATCTATACCTTTTTATAAAAGAGTTCTACTGTACTTCAGTTTTTTTACTTTTTATATTATACTTTGATTTGGTTGATGATATCTTATCGTTCTCATACTCATCTTTCTTATACTTTAGACAGGTCCAACAATGGTACCGTAGCTTAATGTAAATTACTGTAATGTACGCGCCTCGGGCTTTGCGATCGGCTAGTTTCCTGCAGCCTGAGGGGTTTACACTCTCCGAATTAGCGGCCAGGCCACGAATAAACCAGGTCCCGAGACGGGCCTTATCACAACGGGCCTACTCCTACTTTCTCAAAACTTATTATCATCGAAATCGAGAGGTAGCCTTAGGGGTTTTAAATAATATTTTAAAAATTAGTTTTTTAAATTTTTATTACAGATCTTCAAAAAAAGGTAAAATACGGCAATATAGTTGTATTCTATTTAAATTTAAGAAACTGGTACTGTATGGTACTATTTCACAAAATTTTTAAGAAGATGGTTCTGTTGGGTACTAATTAACACAATTTTAAAGAAACTAGTGCTGTATGGTACTATTTAACCAAATTATTACACAAATAGTACTGTATAGTCCTATTCAAAAAAATTGTGCTGTGCAGTACTATTTTACAAAATTTTTAAGAAACTAGTCTTATAGTTACTAAAATGCTAACAAAAACTGTTACAGACACTATGGGCAGCATGCAGAGCAGTTGTGATTGGTGCCATTATCATCTGTTTGGGCTTGTTCATGACTGTGCTTGGCTACTTTGATCGGGATTTAACAACGGTAAGTCTAATTGCGCATTAGACTTGAAAGGTAGTCCCGCCAATAGGTCAGGCTCGCTGAAGCAAATTTGAAAAGGGCCGGGCCGGCAAAATACAGGGCCCGAGAACCGGGGCTCAAACCAAGTCCTCAAGGGCCCAATGTGTCTTTAACTATCCCATTTTTTCGTAAAATACGCCACCAGACCAGGTTCCTTTAAAAAAAATATTTTCAGAGTTCCATCTACAACATGACGACAGGAGACGAGATCGTAGTGATCGATGCTTCACTCCGATACAAACTCAAGAGTATGCAGTACGTTGGTCCTGTTCTCATGGGTCTGGGTACCTTTTTGTTGATCATTGCTTGTGTTATCACGTTAGAGTCTCGGGACAGACATGCTCAAATCATTCAGGAAGAATCGTCAAGTCATAAGAACAAACGAGAGATGATCAACTCGTCGACAAAGTTTTCGTTGTTACCTAATGATACGACCGAAGACATGACGATTCAGAATCATGTTGTTGATGACGATGGGTTGTTGAGTAAGTGAAAGTTTTTGATTTAAAAAATATTTTTAGGGTTTAAAGTTGGATTTAAATTTAATTTTGGTTACTTTGTTATTTTGACTTTCTGTATGATATTATAGTACTTTGAGTCGTTTTATCTAATAAAGTCGCTTTAGCTCAAAGAACAGATCGACCATCGATTGATTCAGACACGGAGATTGAGAAACTCAAAGGCAATAACATATTGTAAGTTTTTTAAATAAAAAGATGGCGTATTAAAGTGGAAAAAAAGTCTTGTCGCTTTAATACGTGAAAAGTATAGTCAAATTGTGACAAAATTTTTTGAGTTTTCTAGATATTGAAAAATACAGTTGTAAGACATCTGAAACATGTTTTATTTAAAAAAGTAATATTTATTGTAAAATACGTCGAAACCCGTCTTTGAATCAAATCTAAATTTGATCTCTTCAGAAACCAACAGCACGTTGAAGCAGAAGTCCATCGTACGCTGGAAGACGAAGACCAGCCCGGTCCAAGCGCTCGCAAAACCCAATCGTTCCGTGAGTGTTCGAAAAAGAACGGCGGCCAACGTCTCAGCTTGCAGAAGCCGCCGCTGCCGGAATCCGGGCTTCTGTTGTCGACGGTGCACTTAAAGAAGCCCAAGGGTCCGGCTCCAATTGCACACTTTGACTCTCAACTCGAAATCCCACTGTCTTCGGCGTCATGCTCAACGTTGGGCACCAACAATTACAGGTGATCATGTTCCTCAATGTAAAATACGGGTCTTTTGTAATAAATTTGACAAAGTTTTAATTGAAATTTGAGGTTTATTGAGGTATAATAAGGTTATCGGCAAGAGTTGGTGGATAAAAATCACAATTGTATAAAGAATAAAACTAAAGCTTAAACATGGCACATAACACGCATCGTAACACGCGCCATTCTTTTTGCATCATTATGACAATGACCAAAAACGATCACAGTATAAACACGTATCTTCCCAAAAAATAACTGTCAAAACTAATGTATACCCCTTTTATAACTAGACATAAACACATACAAGTCCAACGCCACAGTAGGACCAATTCCAAATATCAATAAGTACCAAAAATGCGCCACAATATGCAAATCAACCACAAATTTAAGCAGCAGTAGACAACATATAGTGTGGGATAACAAGGAGAAGAAGATTTGTTTGTCGCTCAACACCTGTCGAAATTTGAATAATATTTCGGTCGCTAAGAGACTGGCAGAGATGATCAAGCACAAGATCAGAGATCCTCGACTGTTCTCTTCCGCTTCGGTGCCAATATAGTACTCGCCTATTGAGGCTTGAACGTGGTCTTCCTGGAAGAAATTTCGCTATTGATAAGCCATACTTTTACATAATAAAAGCTACGGCATAATAAAAAAGTAAAGTAAACACCCAAAGTTACTATGAAAATACCCAAAACTTAAAAAAAAGTTTTATAAAACTTACAATATTCCAAAAAACACAAGAAATAATTGTAAAATGTGCAGTTGTAGCCAAGAAAAGGCCGGTTACCAGATACATAGTATTATAGAAACATATACAACAAAAAGCCGTTCGCAAGGCCAATGTCCATTTCTTAAACGCAAAAACCAATCCGTTTTGTCACCATGACAACAAGGACTCGGCGGTAAAATCGGAATTCAAATTTAAATGTTTTAAAATTTCTATAAAATTACTTACCAATATATATTGAATAGTAATTATAAAAATGGCTTGTATTATAATAATAAGTTTCGTTTTGTAGAGTAAAAGTATTATATTACTGCTTACATCGGAATGTGTTTGAAATTGAAGTTATAAGTTAAAAGTATTTTCTAAAAGTCCTAACTTTACATTTTCAATAGTTTTCAAAATTGTTATTTATATTTTTGTGCTAAAAAAATAAATTTAAATATCGTCGAGGATTCAAAACGCAAAAAATAGATAAGGTAAAGCTTTAAGCGCAATAACTTCGAACCCTATCTTTAATGCGTTCGAATCTTGTACTCGGGGTCTAATCATTAACCATTACACTTTATAAGCTTTATGGAAACATCTGCCGATTCCGGATCATATAAATACCCAAAAACTTTGACTTTCTTCATTAACTTTACACAGTGCGCACTCTTGTGTTTCAATCAAAGTACGTTAACCAGCTTTTATTTATATCCTTCAATATTTTTTTCTGTTTTTATGACTATTTTATCAATTAAATTACTTTATAATATATCTTTTTTCATTTTAATGACTTTTTTATTTTAGATAATTAAACTTCAAATGGCTCCACTGAACGCCACTCAAAATAATGGCATGGCCCCAGCTAGGCCCCAAAGACCAGTCCCAAGAGCGGCTGGAAAAGACATGAAACTGCTGATAAATTTGAAAGAAAGGGTAGAAGCCGCCCAACAAAGCCCGGAGCGACCAAGAAGACCCATACCAACTGAGTCTAGCCCACCCATGTCATCTGGGCCCACTACTACACAATCAACCAACTCAGTCCCAGTAAGACCCACGAGGCCTTCGCAATCTCGTGGGAAGGACATTAACCGACTGAAGGCTATGAAAGCTTCAAAATCTGATTCGAAGCCCCACCAAGGAAAAAAGAGAAAGCACGATGGTGACTCGGATAGTCAAGAACAACCAAAGAAAAATAGAACATCAAGGAAGTAACGTTTAATAAAGTCTTCGAAGAATAACATTATTCTATTATGTTCATATTTGTAAAATAACTATGTAACTTGACAATGCAAGCAAATACACAAATAATAAATTGTATACCTTGCAGTAAAAATATATTATAAAATCAAAATAAATCCTTGAACACTTTTTCCATCGTTCAAAAAATCCAATGAACCGGTTGATACAGTGGCGGCAAGAAAAAATGGGACACGACGGTTTTAAGTATAACTTTCTTGAAACTAAAAGAGTAAGGCTTAAAATTTTTGTGATTTTACAATATTCTTTTTAGCAACGAAATTGCAAAAAAAAATGTTTTTTCTTGTTGATTCAAAAAAGTTACAGTAATTCTACCGTACCCTGCACTTCCAAAGTATTTGCATAAATTTTTTTAAAAAAATTGAAGATGTACGTTTTATAGAGCATAAAAAGTTGTACAAGTTCAGAAAGTTTTATCTTTCAATTGTTTTTTGTTAATGAGGTAGGGGCATTTAAAAATGTTCAAAAACCAAAAAAGTTCGATTCCGCTTGAAAAATCTGAGGTTTTTTTAAATTTTAAAAATCTGTAACTCTTTTACCATTGGAGATAAAATATTAAAACTTTCTGGTCTTGTACAACTTTTTATGCTCTATAAAACGTACATCTCCAATTTAAAAAAAAATTGTTTTCAAATACTTTGGAAGTACAGGATACGGTAGAATTACTGTAACTTTTTTGAATCAACAAGAAAAAAAATTTTTTTTTGCAATTTTGTTGCCAAAAAAAATATTGTAAAATCACAAAAACTTTAAGCCTTACTCTTTTAGTTTCAAGAAAGTTATACTTAAAACCGTCGTGTCCCATTTTTTCTTGCCGCCACTGTAGTTGCAAAAAGGAATAACTTTTTTAACAATGAAAATGAAAAAAAAAATAAAAAATTTTGAAAAAGTCATGCAAATTTCAGTTTTTGACAAAAGAAAACAGGAAATTTGTCCATTCCACATCTTCAAAAGGCTCGGATACGGTTGGTGAGCCCACCATCTGTTTAAAATTGGCGTTCACTATGTCGCAAAATAGAAGAATCAAAGCGAGCAGAGGTAAGTGTTTGAGAAAGTTTAGTATTCTATTCTTTAGGTGTTTTAATACATCCAAATTACTGTTTTTTTTCAAAAAATTGAATCAAAAGCTGTTTAGAAACGGAAGCTTATGAAAACTTCTGCGCCACACGCAGCAATAAGCGAAGAGAAAGACAAAGTAGCTCCAGTGTTGACCCGAGCGAAGTGTCATGTTGTGTTCATGGAACACCGTGTGAAGTAAGTTGAAATTAACGGTTTTAAAATGTATTGAAAGGTCTAAAAATACTCACACGTATCATAACAGCCTAAAACGTCTATTGTTTGAAACTGAAACGGTGTATTTGGTTTTTAGTGTTGAGTGGTTGGTGGAAGTCAACATATCAGGTATCTAACTTATGATAATTCCAATTTTAAACTTTCAGACCAGCAGATCGATGGGCAGCACCGGCCGCTCTCGTAGAGAAGTGAGACTACCATCCGAGAAAAGCGAAGACAAAGTGCACGGAATGGGAGTGGCTTACAAAAGACGTCATCGCTATCAGAATGCTGGTTTGACTGGCCCGGCTGGTGGCGTTTGTCCTCCCAAATCACCCGCCACATTGGCATTGACGGCGTAAGTTTTTTGAAATTAAAATTGTAACTTTGGCTTTTAAAGATGTTTCACTTTTTTATGGTGGACTGCCTGTGTAAAAGTACAGTTTTAACAGTAGTTTACATCTTCCATACCTCAATATGGCCTTATCGTTTCAGAAAAGCCGAGAAGCTTCACCCGAAAGTGGAAAAGTACGCGTTGGAGCGGCCCAGCGACGCCCTCCTCAAGTATTATATTGGAAACAAGAGCAAGCGAGAAGCCGAAAAGTTGTGTTATCATCGAGGATCATTCCGCATCTATCATCGTTACCCAACCGGCAAGCTGAAGGATTTTGATTCGCTTCTGGGCCAAATTCCCTTGTTTGTCGCTTATCGTGGCGTGAATGGGGCTAGGAGGTAAGGGATAGAACGTTTGTTGATCTTTAAGCCATTTTTAATCAAATTAACATGCATAATATCACTCTCCTTATCAGTATTCTTTTTTCAACCTTATAAGGCACCATGGTCCCCACGTTGGTCTGGTGCACCAGACCAACGGGTGCCCTGCGGGCATCCTATGGTTTGAACCCTTATAAGGCATTGCCGTTTTCTTACTAATATCTTACCTTATAAGCCCTTCATCGTTTTAGGCACTGGCCAATCCTAACCAGACAACGCCCATACTCGAAGGACCAGCTCTACGTGGGTACCAAGATAACACCACCGATCTACTTTGACACCCTGGCTGGCCTCGTCTTCTACTATGCCAAATGTGTAGCCATCTACAAGAATGCGCAACAGAAGTTACCCGACCGTTTCCCGGTTTGGCTGAGTACGGACCCCGAAGAGGTGACGGTAGCGTGGGAGCCTCCATCATTTGCACAAAGCGTCTGAATCCTGATAAAATTGTTTATCACTAAACTGGTTTTACTCACCTTTGCTTTTTGGTTCGAATAAAACTTGCTGTAGTAGGTAGAGTCGATTAAAGCTAAGTTAGGACTTAATATTAATTGTTATAGATATAATTCAGTTATAAATAAGAATAATTATAGTTACAACCAAGTATATATATTGTTATAGTTATCAAAAGATAGGAATAACAACCATAAAAAGCTCAACAACTTTCCAAACCCTCCAAAATTATCTTTATTAAGAAAGTACGATAAAAGAAAAACAAACTTTATAGTATCCGGAGATACTTTTAGCAACACCACGAAAAGACCTTGTAGAATGTGTGCAAGTGTTCAACAAAAATATTACGATAGAAATAACATTAATATACCCATATATAAAAACTTAGAGAGATCATCCGTTGTCGCGTATGAGATCTTGGTATCGTTTTTGTATACTATGCTTAATAGGGCCCATAAATGTGTAAAAGTAGAGTATATAGTTCGATAGTACTGTATAGATCTAAATAGTACTGCGGAAAGTTCAATTTCCACGAAGAAACAAGTAGACAACCAATAAACAATAAAAAAACAAGACAACACCCAATATCAACACTTTAAGCTCACAACACCTCAAGTGCTGTGATCCTCGTTCACTTCGCCGATCGTATCCAGCACATGCATCAACTCGACGTCGCTGCTTTCGGCATTTGTGTAGCCAGGAGTTCTTGGTTGTCGAATGGTGCCTGGGGGTGATTGAGAGATTGCTGGTCGAAGTCTTCTCGAATTGCGCGATTCATTCATGGAGCCGTCGCCGGAGCTGGCGTAGCTGATAATGTGTGGGTTCATTGGGTTGTCACCGGCGTTGTCAATGTGATCGTGAGCTGGTTTTCGGTTCAGTGATTGGTGCAGGTACGAGTTGTTGGTTTCTGTTGTGATCGACTGTCTCGACAGGCTTTGTCCTGTAAAATTTTGATTTTAAAATTTCAAAGTTGAAGAAGATATTTCAAATTTAAAGTATCACTTCCTACTCTTTTTACCTAAAATTAGTTTTATACCTAAAATTCAAAATTTTAATACCTAAATTTACTGTAAAATACCAGACTTCCTGTTGTGAAATAAAAAGTTACAAAAGATATATATTTTTACATAAATAAAATGCAAAAAGCAAAGATAAACGTACTGTAGCGTTGAATTTGAGCTCTGATACTCCCCGAGCCAATCTTATCCATCAAGCTTCGGTTCGAGCCTCGAGAAATGTTGCCAAAACTGATTCCTCTTCCATAAGCTGCAAAATACATCAATTACAATGTAGTATTATTCAAAAAATGCAAAACAAATTAGTTGATGGCAATTAACGGTTCGACTTTTTAATTTTCCAATAAAAGCTCACCTTGCCCAATAATCGACCGGTTATCGCCTCTTTCCTCGTCAATCTTGGCCAGCCTTCTCTTCAGCTTAGTATGTTCTCTCACAAAACATGCGTATGACCATAAACGAAAGTCTCCGTAAATAATGTAGATCATCAGTATCATGAATACAAAGAATGGCATCAGTCCACCAGTGAGAAGTGATATGAAGGTAGGTAAGCTTGTGGAATCAACAAAAACACGCAATTTTGCATCGATTAGCACATCGTAGAGGTAGAAGATTCCCAGGGCAAAGACGAATAACTAAAAAGTTATTTTATACCTATTATAAGAGCCCAAAAAAATAAAATCTAAGTAAAATATTTTTACCTGATGAACAAAAAACAAAGATACAAAAGGCATTGGCGACAGCTGACAGAATCGATCACGATACCCGGAAGAAGTCATGTAACGCAACTTTTCGGTCCAATGAAATGCCACAGATGACAATACGACACTGAAATGACAAAATATAAACTCACAAGAACAATAGTGAAATGTGTAAAAATGTTACGCTCGAACAGTCAGAGACGCAGCTAGAAGGGGCTTCGAACCATCCGCAAGATCATATTCATCATCTAAAAACCCATAAATAATGAAAAAACATACCATACAATGCAAAATATAGCCAAGCAAAAAAGCGACGTTTGTATGATTGGTGAGTTGCGATTACCGAACAAATTCTGAGGACAAGCCGAATGATTTCCACCGCAGAGCAACAGTAAAGGGACGAATGTGTACAATATTACCACTTGTACCATGGCAAAAAAGTGCTAAACATATAATGTCAAAACTGCTACACATTATGGAAAAGTTTCTTATTTCAAACCCTATTTTAGTAACGCAAGTCAGTCTAACTTCCAAACGATCCAGTTTTAGCCCGACAACACCACAAAACCGCATCCGAAACAAAGTTTACTGTCTTGTACAATCCAAAAAAAAACTTACTCTAACATGAATAAACCCAAACAGCCACCTAAACCTAACTTGCTCATAATCGGTCTGTTCGTCCAACGCATTCCTGATTGTTCCTCGTCGACTATCGTACTCCCTGAACTTTGTATGCATCGAACTCATCCGTGACACCATCACCTAAATCTTAACTTTCTTTTAATTAAGTTTCCTAATAATTATAACACGAAAGAAGCGAAGAATACTCAGACAAATAACTTAAATTGAGCCAAATGTCTAAAATAACATAAAAAACGACTAAAAAATTAAGCGAGAAATCAACTATAATCAAAAAATTAAGAAAAACATCAAAAATGTGAAAAGACAAAAAAATCATAGAAAACTCATCAAAACAGCAAAAAATAACCATGAACAACATAAGAAAAGACAAAATTAAACAAAAATCAACAAATTCAATCGCCAAAAGATTAAAATCTCAAAAACTAATGTAAAACAAATCAACGACAATATCGAGCAGTTTATTGTTTAACGCCGACCCAATCTTCTGCGACGATATTGACTCCAACGCCAGATAATGTCATCCAAGGAAAGGAGGCTGCACGTCATACAAAAGCACAAGCAGCAGAAGCCAAAGTTGATCAGCCCAAAAGCCATTAAAGCCCAGCTCCAAATTATTTGAATCGAGTCGAAATACAATGGCAAAATCACAAAAGTTTCGGCCATAGCGTGAAGAAGAATGAGCATCTAAAAAGGTTGATTAATATAAAGCCTTGCCTTCGTCATATTAGCTAATATATTGGTTGGAAAATAAAGTAAGTATCCTAGTATGTATTAAAAACAAATCAAAATAAATAAAATTAACAACCTTAATCAGGTACGTCTGGGGGGGGGGTGGCAGGGGAGGTCGTTTGGGGGGGGGGGACCCCCCCAGAGCCGATCCGAAAAAAAATTCCACAGGTAGGTACCTGTACGCGGAAAAACGAAAAAAAATTTTGAAAAATCGGTCCACAGGTTCTGATTCAAGACCAAAAAAAATTTTTTCGACCTCCCCCCCCCCAGAGAAAAACCGTAGCGATGTCCCTGACCTTAATCAATAAACTAGAAATTTAAAACAGAAAAATAAGATTACAACATATTATTCAAGTTACCTGTGGAACCAGTATAAGTCTCACTACCTTTGAAGGTTTACGTTTGAGCCCTTTAGACAATTTGGGAAAATAAAATGCCACTAATGTTAGTGTATGAATAACAAATGAGGTAATCGGAAAAGCGATGAAAAATACGAAATCCACGATTGTTGCAGCCCCCTACAATAATATCGTAGAAATTGAAAAGAAACTGCTTCTTTTACACTCCAAATAGAAATAACTTTTTAATAATAAAATTAGAAAGTGTACTTGTTATTCAAAATGTTTAAAATCACCTAAAAAGCGAATACTTACAGGATAAATCAAGTTCAACCACAATTGATCAATTTTCACTTCGTAAAACAAGTCAACGAAACGAAAATACATTCTCCTGATCCCAACTGAGATCACAAAAAGAAAGTTCAAGTAGTATATAAGCTGAAAAACATTATTTGAAGCAGCCAAACATCAAAAAATTACATTTTTCAATCAAACAATCCGCTAACAATTCGCTCGTCCCGTCTCATACCTAAACTCAAAAAAAAACACATAAAAAACCTTACCTGAATCACTGCAATAGGTGTAATACCAAAGCGAGCACATATTACAAACAAACGTTTCATATGTGCAGAGGTTATATCCTGCTGATCTTCATTTTCCTCCAACTCAAGGTCCATCTGACGTTCTCCATCTAATTCATTCCTTTCTTCTTCTATCTCATCAGGCAAAAGAAATTCACCATCATACACATTGTTGTCCGAGTTTTGTCTAGCAGTTGTGTGATCAGTTTGAGTCGAATCCAGGCTTTGAGAGGACAAATCCGCTGAAACGTTATTCCTCTGCTGGTTTTGATCGGTCATCGCTTTTCGACCGGTCGAAACAACCGTAAAACAAAGGTGAAAAAAATAAATGAAATATGAAACAAATACAAAGCTAAGAAACAAAGTATTTTTAGTAAAAGAGAATTGAGACAAAGGATAATAACAACATAGATAATATCTACAAGAACATCGCTGTTATGAACGTAAACGCTAGGACCATCAAAACATAGATTTTAAAAAATTGCTGAAAAACGAAATCTTGCTAAAAATTAAAAAACGAATGTTGAAGGAACTTCATTACACTTTTTCCAAGCGTTTTACAGATTTCTGTAAAACGGCCGATTGCGGGCGCTTTTCGCGGGTTGTTATTTCTGCAAGCTGCGAAACATAAATTTAAAACTAAAATTTCGTGGATTTTTCATGGTTTGTAAAATAAATTTACAGTCACAAAATATTGTACTTTTAATTTATGTCAAAGAATCAAATGTTTGATCGTATGCAAATTTTATCCAATTTCAGAAACAACTTGATTCAAAAATGCAACCTTTCGACTGTTACCTCTCATTTGCGATCAGTCGCTTTGTATTTTACTCCAGGCTGATCGTGTTCTTGCTTCAAGTGTTCACAGAGTCAAGGAATGATGAAGAAGGACACCAAAGCTTGTCCGATTGCCCACGAACCTTATTTCCTTGGAGTTTTGCCTAGAATCAATGCTGAAGTGAGTTTTTTTTGTTTTTCTTTAAATTGTAGGAGTTTTGGAAGCTTTTTGGATATTTGGGAAAATCCATAGGCATTTTTGGCAGCTTTTTTACAGTTTTAAACGATGGATAATATCTTTTAGAGCTGTCTGTTAAAGAAAGGCGACTTCGGAGTCCGTATCGATGTGAAGAAGAAGTCGTTTGTGACGATGATCAAAGGCGAAAGCTCGGTTCATCATGAAAGACTGTCAGATGAAGGCGGTCGATGGTTTTCGGTTCGAAAACCTAAAAGAAAATTCAACACAATACAAGAGTTTGTGAAGCATCACAAGAAGAATGCTTTTTTGTTTGATGGAGAAGAAGTGACGGTCAGCAATGTTAACACTCGACCGTTCTGGATGCTGCCGAAGAGCGAGTTACAGTTGGAAAAGACTGTATTGGGTAGGATTTTTTGGATTTTTTTAATTGGATGGTTCGTTGAGATGTTAGGGTTAGTTTGTTTATTATTAGGGGTTGTAGGTATGTTTTTAAAGCTAATATAAGCTTGATGAAATAAAAATTTTTCTTTAAAGGAACTGGAGAATTCAGCACAGTGCAGGCCGGAAGCTACAAAAGGTTACTGAAGTTGGCAGTGAAAATATGCAAGGATACAGGCGAAGGTAAAGTTTTTTTTTGTTTTATTATTTAACAAATGTGTTTCTGTTACTTTAAATTTATTGTAAGGTGAGTTCTTTGGTTTATTATGTAAGATTATTGTATTTTTTTTATGAATTTGACAAAACAAAACTCAATATTTAGATGACGAAGTTGAGGAACAGAACGCTGAAATGGTCATGGAAGCTATTGTAATGAAGGACTTCAAACATATGCATGTTATTAATGTAGGTTAGGTTATGGAAGTTTAAAATTTAGGTTTGTATGGTAAGATATGGTAGGGTAGGGTTAAGTAGGGCAGTTCAGGGTGGGGTAAGGTAGAGTTGGGTATGTAAGATGAGTAGGGCAGGGTAATCTAACAGGCTTCAGTTCAGGGTTGGGTAGAGTAAGAAAGAGTAGGGTACGGTAAGGTAAGGTACGCTACTTAAGGGTAGGGTATGGTAATTAAAGTTGACATTTTTAGTTTTACGGCATTAGCTGCGACGAGTCTCCGATTATGATAGCCATGGAGTTCTGTCCAGGTGGTTCTCTCTCATCTCACTTGAAGAAACAACTTGATGCCATTACAGTAGGAGAAAGAGTACGGTATTGCTACGAAACGGCAGTGGGAATGGAGTTTTTGCACACAAAGTAAGTATCTACTCGAATTTTTAATTTTACTTTTTATTGGATATTATAGTCAGTATGGTACCTGATAGTACTAGATGGCAGTTTTTAGTGGTAGATAATACTGAATCTTTAAGGTTATAGGTGAGTTTGGGAGTTTTATGATTTTTTATGCGTTATGTTATACAAATAGGGGTAGTTTAAAGCAAAATAAAAATTTTTGTTGAGAAAAGTAAAAATTTATTCTAGACAACTAATCCACCGTGATTTGGCAGCCAGAAACGTGCTGATCAGCCAGTATGGTCTGCTGAAGATTAGCGACTTTGGCATGAGCAAGGTCGTTAACGTATTGGCTGGAGAACGAGTTCGAAACCACAAGAAACCGCTACGTTGGACTGCTCCAGAAGCGATAAGTGATGATGCACCTTGCTATTCGTGGGCTAGTGATGTTTGGTAAGAATTGGGGTATTTTTCTAATTTTTCTGATTTTTTAATTTTTTTATACCTAAAATTAAAAAAATTTTTGATATTAAAATTTGGAAAAGTTTTGTCGTTTTTATGTGTGTTGTTAAGTGTATAGTAGTGTAGGTAAGTGTTGGATATTTGATGTTTTTTTGACAATTTTTAAATTAAAAATAAAAAAAAAACTGACATTTCAGGGCATGGGGAGTAATGTTGTACGAGATTTTTGGTAACGGTGCACAACCTTTTGCCGCAATGGACAACAACAAAGTAACGGATATGATTGGCAGCTGCAAGATGATGCCTATGCCAGAGAAAACCCCAGAAGACATTCAGGAAATGAATAAGAAGGGCATCTTTGTAAAGGATACGAAAGAACGATTGACATTCGCAAAGATTGTCGTTTTGCTCAAGAGCTTGGAGACCAAACATCCACCACCAGCGCTTGGGCAGGTAAGAGTCGGGTTGGAGATGGGGTTGGTAAGATGGTTTTTTGAGTTGGGGTGGAGTAGGGTAGAATAGGTCTGTGCGAGTTAAGTTAGGGTAGGGTAGAGTAAGATTAGGTAGGGTACAGTAAAGTAAGGTAGTGTAGGGTATGGTAAGGTAAAGTAGGGTAGGGTAAGATAAAAACGTTTATTACAATTTAGGTACTTATAAAAACCATTTTCAGGCAACAGTATTCCAACTGCCCGGCGTAGAATCAATTGACCCAAAAGACCTAGAGCAAATCCTCAAGGGCATCAACCGTCTCTTCAAAGACAAAGCAGCGGCACAAGCATCTCTAGCCCTTGGCAAAACACCATCAAAAGGCACAGCACTATCAAACTCAGCAGAAGACCCAAAGCAACCGCGGAAGAAGGGCACCTCTAGTGCAGAATCCTGCAAAACCCAAGTTTTGATGTCCAAAGGCATGAAGAATCGAAAGATAAAGTCTCCAGACTCGAAGAAACCAAGATCTAAAACAAGTAAACCCAAGAAGAAGTCACTTTCGTCCACAGCATCTGATGAAGACGCCAAAGGGAAGCAGAAGAAAAAAGAATCTCAAATAAATGACAAGGGCTGATTACGCAAAGGTTCATGTTGTGATGGAAGAATTGACGAATACTATTTTGTCTTGAATAAATTAGTGAGATGTGATTGGAAAGTTATTTTGTATGCATTGTGTGATGGGTCAAGTGTACCGTCTATTCATTTTGTATTTGGTCAAGTGTTGCATTGGTTTTTTACTGTCATTTAGTGGTGGAAGGTGTGGTAAACTTTTTTAAAAATTTGGAAAAATTGTGGGACTACGCCATCAGGCTGCTCTGAGAACTTGGCTAGGACAGATGGAATGTTTCAAAAACGATTTTTTCTTGAAGTACCAGAGCTCGTCAATTGTAGCAGCCCGCTCTTTTTGCGGGCCGATAACAAATTAACGAATTATCAAAGCAATCTTGACCGCCTTCACTTTGACGTGCAGAGTAACTTTTCGTATCAAAATTACCATCCTGGTACTGACGACTGGGTGTAGACCTGAAAGTTTATCCCGCTAGGCCCAGCTCCGGCCCAGCTCTAGGACGAGTTGAAGCAAGTATGAGAGGGGCAGAGCTGAAGCAAGTTTAAGACCCGGCAGGTCAAAAAATTTGGGACCGGCCCAGCCCTTTTACAAGTTTTCTGGGGTGAGGTATTTTGTAAAGTATGGTTGTTGGTTCAGTTATAGTTCGTACCAACATAAAATAGAATATATACTTCATTGAAAGTTTATTAAACTGAGATGTGATAAGTTACTTTAATGTCATTTCACCAAGACAATATTTATATATAGAGCAAACTGAAATATGTAAAATGTGATAAAAACAATCAAAAATTTTAAAAATATTTAAAAAAGTATAAAAATATCAAAAAACGACGTAAAAACCAATGTAAAACAAAGAAAAAAGTACTCAAAACAAATAAATACGAGATTAAAAGCTCCAGGAAAAGTGATTGAAGATCATATAAAAGATATGTTGCAACATTATACAGTAGGTTTATTATGATGACTAGAATTGTTCGAAGGAAGACGCAGTCAGTGGACTGGACGAGACGGACTGGCCGTTGTTGATTGAAGGAGAGACGGCTGTTTGTGATTTGGAGAGGTTACTGAGTAGAGAGCACAGTCCGAAGGCCATTAGGGGGTTGGCTGGCATCTGGAACATGGATAATAGAAGTTTAAGGCATTTTATTCAGGTAATAAGCAGAGTATTGTAAGGAAAACGTTGGGTATGTTACTGAAAACTGCAATAACTTTCTTTACAGTAAGCGAAAATGTACAAATTTTCTTTACAGTACTCCAAATCACTTACATCCTTAAAAGCATTGATATTGAGATTGCCACTGGTCGGAACAGACCCAATCAAAGCCTGTGGGAACTGTCGTTGTTGATAGAGCGTCGACAGAAGCCCTAAGGTGTTGAAGCCTTCAGAAGGCAGTGAAAGTTGTGGCGCCGTCGCTCCGAACAGTTGGTTTTGTGACAATTGTTGTAGACATTGCAGTGCTGATGGCTGGCTAGCTGGTTGACCACCTTGAACTGGTACTGGCTGTGATACTGGAGCCAAGAAGTTCTTCTCGATCTGAGGCATGAACTGGGCTGGATTGGCGGTGTGGACGGTCAGGTGCTTCTCCATGGAGGTCTTCTTCTTCGAGTTCCAGGAGCAGAACAGACACTTGTAGGTAAACAGACCTCGTGGAGGCTCGTGGCCTAGTCTATGTTGTTCGAATTGGTCTTCCGAAGGCGAATGGAAGGCACAGTCGCTGCAATTGTGCTCACGTTTCGATTCCAGATCACTTGAAGCGCAGCTGGAGACTCCTGACGAAGCCGATGAACTCAGAATCCCATTCGACGATGAAGTCACGAGTGACGATAGGCCAGAAGGCAATCCAGAAGCTAGTGCATTTAATGATAGGCCAGAAGTTAATGACGATACACCCGAAGTCAACGATGACACTCCAGAATTCAGGCTAGAAATTCCAGAATTCAAGCTCGAAACCCCTGAAGTCAGGCACGATACTCCAGAAGTCGAAGCGTTTTCCGAATGCACCGAAGTCGACACCGTCAGCGGATTCTGAGGCTTCGAGAACTCGCTAATGCAGAAGTTTAGCTTCATGGAGACGGCGCTACACTTGTTTTCAGGCTGAAGGAAGTGGGCCGACACCTCACGTATGTCCTTGAAGCTCGTCCGACACGATCTGCAGTCGAACGGTAGCTGATCGTGCCGTTCCTCCAAATGAATCTGCATTCCGTCCATGGATTCGGCTTCGAAGAAGCAGGTTTGGCACTTGTAGAATGGGGCCGAGGTCGAGATTGGCGAAACGGTGGAGGTTGAGGATGGTGAAGATTGGAGGGGTGAGGGGAACAAGAAGGCCGGCTGAAATGGGTGGTGATTAATATTGGCATTGGTAGGTAAATTTTGTTTATTATTTTCATTATTAAGTTGTTTAGAGCATTTTAGGACAAAAAATAAGGTTTTAATTTGGCTTTTTGACTATTTTTAGGTAATAGTTTAGGAAAATTAGTGAATTTTAAACAATATTTTTAAAAAATCTGCTTGTTTTAGGTAATATTCTTTAAAAAAAGTGTATTTTAGGTAATATTCTTCACGAAAAGGACGTAAATTAGGTAATATTCTACAAAAAAAGGCGTATTTTAGGTAATATTTTTCAAGAAAAAGGCGTATTTTACCTATTATTTCTAAAAAACAGTCAATTTTAGGTAACAAAGTCTCTAAAGAAATAGAAAAATTTTAAAAACTTGTCCCGCTCCAAGCCCTAAAGCACTGTTTTTCAGCTCAAAACCCTTTTGAAATCCAAATCACGTTTACAACCACGACTTCCAGTAATTGTAAAAGTTGTTTAAGGCGATTTCAAAAGTCTTTGGAACAATTGCGAAATTGTATTTTGTCTCGTTTTACAATTAATAGAGACGGAACTACAACAATATGATACAAATCTAACAATATCTACTACTATATGTACATTATGATGGCATTTTGACTAAAATAAGCTATTAAGTTGTTCACATAATTCTGTGCCCCTAGTTTCGAAAATTTGCTTTGGGAGGGGGCGCAGCATTATTTGAACAACCTTTAGGCTTATAACAAAAAAAAGTTTATATTAAAGTGGCAAAAAGACGTCTTGCCGTTTTTATACGTGGAAAACAATGTAAATTAACGACAAGACTTTTCGACCTGAAATTTTAGCAATTTTTACTGGTTTTTGATATTAAATTAGCTATATAAGTTAGAAAAAGACGAAACTAAAGATTTTACCATTTATAATAATGGTTTAAAAGTCTTGTCGTCAATTTACATTGTTTTTCATGCATAAAAACGACAAAACTTTTTCTTCTATTTTTAAAGGACAAGACTCTGTTAAAACATAATATCAGGTGGTTTAAATAATTCTGTGCTTCCTCTCAAAGCAAATTTTTGGGGCTAGGAGGCTCAGAATTATTTGAACGACTCAATAGAAGATGTATTGGCCCTTTACAAAGGCTGTAACTCAAGTTTTTGCTATTTAAAAATTTTTTTGTAAAATACTTGTTTTAAAATTTTAATTAAAGAATAAACATGGTATTACAACAAATTTCCATTTTTCTGAATGAATTCCTAATCACATCAACCCTTACCTTATTGTTATTCTCATCCTTTGGTCGACTGTCCTGGTCGGTTTGGGTTTCGAAGGCTTTGGAGCGGCTGTACTTTGACACGACACGAATACCATGGGTTTCTGTAAATGGCAATGTTAATTGTATTTTACACTCAAAGTTTGAAATTGTAACTTCTGATACGAAGTTGTAATGTACAAAGAAACCCATGATATGATCGTATTCTAGGGTTTACTGGGATGTAATTTTATATTTCGGGAAGATATTACTTTTTTGAAAGAAAAGGATACTGTATTTTTACAAAATGTGAAAATGGCAGTTATTTCCCAAGAAGAGGCGGGGGGGGGGTGTGTTTTTTGGGATGGGTAATGTAAGGTAAAGTAGGGTAGATTAGGGTAGGGCGGGGTAACGTAGGGTAGATTAGGGTAGGGTGGGATAGGTCATTTTTTTGATAGTATTGGCATGGAGTACCAAGCCCGTTCAAAAAAAATTTCTGGGCGGGGTAATTCACCCCCAAAAATTTTTTTTCTTGACAAACTAAGATCTCCAAGGTAAACCGAGTAAACTTACTGGCAACATGCCGAATCAGATCGGCCTTCCATTTGCTGGTCCGACTACAGTACTTGCATTTGAATGGTCGTTCGTTCGTGTGTACTCTCTTGTGTCGTACCATCTCGGAGACCCATTTGCCTTGATAGCCACAGATGGAGCACATTCTCGTTGATACATCTGGGTCTGTTTCGAGGCGCTGAAAACGAAAATTTTATAAGAAAAATGGATTTTTTGGGTCAAATTTCAATTTTTGAATCTGATTTTAAATATTTAGGCCTAAACTAAAGTTAAAACATTAAAATTTGAGTTAAATTTTTAATTCCTAAGCTTACAAGTTTACTTATAAAATTTTTCAAAAAGGTTAAGAGGGTTCAAAAAGTCTTGTCGTTTTTCAAGGTAGAACTTAATGTAAATTGGCGACAAGACTTTTTTATTTCAAAAAATCAATTTTAGCTTTAAAAACTAAAAAAAAAATCAATTTTAAAGCCATTTTTATGACCTTCAAAGCCCAAACCCACCTTCATTTCCATCTCATCGTTCGGCAGTTCGATGGCCTCATTCTCTGTCTGGTACCGTTTTGTATCTGGCCCCAAATCAATCCGTTTAGCCACAAGACCATCCAGAGTGTTGTCGTGGTTGCCTATGATTCTCCTTCGCTTCCTTTCCTTCTTGTTCAGTCCATCTAGAAAGCTGATTGGCGACAGAGTTGACATCTCCGAGTTGGGGGTGAAGGAAGCGAAGTTCATGTCGATGGGGAGGCTGGCGTCGCTGATGGCGATTGCGGCTTGACCCAGCGATTTGTCCGGGCTTTCTCTCATCTGAAGCAGCTGGCTGAGGGTGAAGGTAATGGCTGTAGGTGGGGGCGAAATGAAGGTATCGGCTGTAGATAAGGCTTCAGTGAAGGTATCGGCTGATGAGAATTCAATGAAGGTAGTAGCTGTAGATGAAGGTTCAATGGCCAGTGATGAAGCTCAAGTTGAAGGTAGTTGGAGACGTTGTGGATGCAGAAAAGATGACTATTGATGATCGTGATGATTAGGTATGGTGAATTCAAATATTTGGAACAAGTTAGCTCGGTTCTAGCAGGAGATTGCTGAAACTAGCCGCGCTGACTGGAACTGGTCTAAAAAGTGAATTTATAATTGATTTTTTACAAAAATTAGGGCAAAAATGAACCTCGAATTAAGAACGTCACGTTTTAAAACAAAAAAGATAATTCTTTTGTTGTAAAATACACATTTCAAGCCAAGTAAATGCAATAAAAGCCTTAAAAATATAAAATTGGGTCCAACAACGAAAACCTTTAATTTCAATATTTCTCTTACAAATTCTCGAAATATTTAGGTAAAGTACATTTAAATTTAACAAGTAAGTACAGCACAAAAAAATTAGAGAAAAACGTCAAACCTGGTCCCACCACGAAAATCCTGATTTTCAGTAATTAGCGTAAAAATGAAAAAATTGGTTTTATGATGTAAAATATGTTGAAGATGATAATAAAATGGATTTCAACTGTCAAGTGAACATTCACTTTTGTGGTCCCAGCACGAAAATCCTGGTTTTTAATGTCTATCCCAAAAATCAGCCTAAAACAGTTTTTTTTACTAAAATATGTTAACTTTAGTAAATCTGTATCATAAAACGAGTACACTATTAGAAACTAGACTCTGGTCCTGCCACGAAAGCATTGGTTTTTAATTTTTATTATCGTTGCCTTAGAAAAGCCCACAAAAATGCACTTGGCTCCATCTTGTCGCCAGACTGGAATGTCATTAACAATTTCGGTAAATGACGCTGGAATAACAAGTATATGACACCAAGTACATCCCCCCAGGTAATCGGTTATTTTGGCGAATGGGCGACTAATTACCGATCGCTTCAGGATTACAACCGGCCCGGGTAAACAATCTTCTAATCTGAATAGCTGTGTTATTGTTATGAGATAGAAATTACTTTCCGTCTTAGTCAAGATTTCTTGCAAATACCACCGAAATTGTGACTAACAACAAGTTCTGGAGCTTGGGGTGGGATACTGTAGGTAGGTAGGAAGTTGGAGCCTAAAGTAAGCTATTGCATGCAGATAGGGATCTGAAGCTTGGGAAAAGGTACGCTAAGGCCGTTAAAGAGTATAGCTAACCAACAATAAGGCAAGGAGTAGAAAAACAAAAACCTGGAGTGTCGGATGAGGTACTGCAGCTAAGTAAGAACTTAGAGCTTTAGGTAAGATACAGTAGCCAACTAGGATTTTGGAGATTAGAATAGAGTACTGTAAAACTAAGAAAGTGTAGAGCTAGAGTTAAGATACGACCCAAAATTGAAAGTCTGAAGACAAGGAAGGTACCCGACCTGCAACGCTCAGATTTCGTTCAAACTTTTTTAATTAAAAGGTCACATAATTGTAAGATGTTATGCAAAATTCTAAGTTGCGGTTTGCGGCCAGATTTGAGAAAATCTAGATTAAAAAATCGCGTTTTGAATTTTCCGCCAAGTTGGCACAGTGTTTCAAGCTTTTAAATTTGTCATTTTTTTAGTTTTAACTATTTTTCTTTAATATAATGATAAAAAAGCTTCAAATGAAACTGCAATTTTAAATTTGTAAGCTTATCTTATCTGGGACATCAAAAAAAGTGCTTGCAACACAATGCCAATTTTGCCAAACTGGCGGAAAGTTTAAATATATGAATTAGCCATATAAATAAAAAAACTTGTGAAAACAATTTTTTGAACTTTTTTAGTGTACGGCCTTTAAAACTCATGTAGTACATAAATAGCATTAAAAGAAGCCTTTGACTGTACTCAAATAGCTTAGTAAAAAGTCAAAGAAAACAAGATATATTGGTATGAAAATCGATGAATTGTGTAACAAGTAAAGCCAAATTCCCAGGAATTTTTACATTCAAGGCTTCTGTGCAGTCTTAACAGTAACGCTCAGTAGTTTTTTAATAACACACAAACAAAAACAATAAGGACAATCAACTACTTCCTTGATTATTTATAAAGGGCAAGGTTTACAGGGCTTGAAGACTTAAATTTACATAGCTATTATAATATATTACTCTTTTTTTTTAGTACCCCGCCCTTAAAAATACAAACTTTCTCACCCTGCCCACTCCTACCCTACCTAAAACAACCCCCCTCCCCCTTCCCTAACCACAATACCACTCAAACTCTCACCCTGCCCACTCCTACCCTAAAACAACCCCCTCCCATAACCCAAATTCCTGCACCAAGTACCATACATCAACTATTGATGTAGTTGCATTTAACTATTCCGTGTTTTTAATACAGTAAAAAGGATGTTAATCTAGTGCCCGCGGCCTCCCTTCGAACAATTAAAACCAAAAAATTAATTTTCAAATTGAAGGTTGTGGGCTCGTAAATAGTATGTCATAAGCTGAAGGGCTCCACCCTCAAATTTCATTGAAATGAAGTCAAACCGATGCTTCCAGACTGAAGATTCTAATCGTTTTGCGGGTTTAAACAGTCAGCTTTAAGTCAGATTACAGTAGGAAAGTTTTATTTTGGAAGGGAATGATGGCATTTGGAATTGGAAAGGGGGTTACTGTAAAATAATGATTTTATGAGGTACAGTAGAAAAAGTTGTATATAAAAATTGTATATAATTTTACAGTACTGCAAAGAAATGTCATTGAATTAGTTCAGTGGAGGGGAAATAACATCATATAAATTGATCCTATCCTAGAAAAAAAGGATGACATTTGAAGAGAAAGAAAGAGTAACAGAAATAACGGTAGAAAATGATGACAAAAGGATAGCTATTAGTTTACGGCAGTTGACGTGCTAAACCTAGAGATATAATATAAGTAACCGTCGGGTAAGTTAGGTTAGGGTACGTTAGATTTTACCTGCCCTTTCCTTCTATCTCTATAAAATTTATTATTTATATCAATTCCAAACCCGTGCCTACACTACAAGTCCAAGACTACACACAAAAGCCCAAAAGCAGCCAAATTAGAGCAATATTACTACTATAACATCAAGACAACTTTTGAGTCCGAAAGTTAATCTGGAGGTAAGAAAGTGACTTTCTTACTGCGTAATCTCAAGTAAAGTTATCTTACGGCGAGTAAGATAACTTTATCTGAAAAGGATTACCTTCGTACGCAAGAGGAAACGGCTAAGATTCTGATGACATTCTTAGCCTACCGTATGTTTTGTCTGCCTAAGGGATCGTCTTGTTATGTTGCGTAATCTTACTTTAAGTAAATAGGTAGGTAATGGTCTTAAGGATGACAATGAAGACGAGTTTCTTTGGAGTACTTACTATAGGTTAATACTTTACATAGTATCGTACTTTTTAAAAATCAAAAATTTAGGTAACTATACAATGTTGAAACCTATATACTACCAAATACCATAGTAAAACCTTCTTAAAAAATTAAAATAGCTAAACAAATCCTAGTATATTTATTACTAAGACAAAATTACACTGAAACCATACGAGATACGAACCCTATACGGCTTCAACTCCAAATTTCAACAGTCAAAGTGTGAAAGGGATTATTACATATCAACGTATGTTAATTATGTCTTAGAATGTGTAAATTTAAATTTAAAGAAATGTATTTATAAAAGCGGTTTTTTAAGAAAAATTATTGTAAAATACGTCCATCGGTCCTTCACGTGAAAAAATAAGAAGGCTAAGTCTAAGGATCACGCTTAGGCTTAGGCTTAAGCTTAGGCTTAGGCTCAGGCTCAGGCTCAAGCACAGGCACAGGCTCAGGCTCAGGCTCAGGCTCAGGCTCAGGCTTAGGCTCAGGCTCAGGCTCAGGCTCAGACTCAGGCTCAGGCTTCAACTCAGGCTCAGGCTGAGGCTCAGGCCTAGGCTCAAGCTCAGGCTCAGGCTCAGGCTCAGGCTCAGGCTCAGGCTCAGGCTCAGGCGCAGGCGCAAGCGCAGGCTCAAGCTCAAGCTCAGGCTCAAGCTCAAGCTCAAGCTCAGAGTCAAGCTCAAGCTCAGGCTCAAGCTCAAGCTCAGGCTCAGGCTCAGGCTCAGGCACAGGCACAGGCTCAGGCTCAGGCTCAGGCTCAGGCTCAGGCTCAGGCTTAGGCTCAGGCTCAGGCTCAGGCTCAGGCTCAGGCTCAGGCTCAGGCTCAGGCTCAGGCTCAGGCTCAGGCTCAGACTCAGGCTCAGGCTCCAACTCAGGCTCAGGCTGAGGCTCAGGCCTAGGCTCAAGCTCAGGCTCAGGCTCAAGCTCAGGCGCAGGCGCAAGCGCAGGCTCAAGCTCAAGCTCAAGCTTAGACTTTGACTGAAGATCAAGTTCAAACTTGTGCTCAAACTTAGGCTTAGAATTAGGCTCAGACGCAAAGGCAGGCTTAAGTTCAGGCTTAAACTTAAGACCACGTGCAAGGTCAAACTCAAGCTCAAGCTTAAGCTTACGCTCTGACTCAGGTTCTATCTCTAGCTCAGACTAAACTCATACTTTAGCCTGGACTTAAGCTTAAGCTCAGACTAAAGCTCAACTTAGGCTAAGGATACATTTAAAACAGAGCTAAGTTAGAAAAAAGTAAAATGAAACAGGCCAAAAAAACAAATTTCAAATTTAAAACCTAAAATAAGCCGCAGTAGCGTCAAAACCAAAACACTCTAACCTGATCTCAGTCTCTAAATTTAAGTCGTCCGACTACAACTTCAAGTGTATATTACCCATCCAATCGTAAATCCATATGTCTTGTGTTTCTTAATTGTAGTTCGAATGAAATTCGGTACAATTCGAAATGACATATCAAACGGATACGCAAACTACAACGAATATGATACGATAGCTAAGTTACATTATGACTGTCAGGTTTCATCGTACAGTTAGTGATACATCTAGTGGTTTATTGCGAGAACATTCTGTAAAAATTAAGCAAACACGATGTAGTAGTAATAAGATATAGTAGAAAATGATAATATATGGTCAAAAAGATACTACAAAAGACAAGATAAACCATCGTTTTAATCACATTTTAAAACCTTTTATCTATTTAGTTGTAGATGTAAGTTAATATATTATGACTAGTTTCAAAATGCTACAAATTCCTACGTAAGCAATATATCACATTACAGTAAACCTTAACTGTACTATACTTATACTCCACCTCTACCAAGCCTTGCCTTGCCTTGCCTTGCCTTGCCTTGCCTTGCCTTGCCTTGCCTTGCCTTGCCTTGCCTTGCCTTGCCTTGCCTTGCCTTGCCTTGCCTTGCCTTGCCTTGCCTTGCTTGCCCTCTTCTACCAATACAGAACCCAAACCCTGACCAATATTGTAGTACCTTTTGTTTGTTTGTGTCTAGACCCACACAGGGCAAGTATATATTTGGGTGAAAGTGTAGGCAGATATCATTAAAATACAACAAAACGTAAGTACATAATTACTGTACAATGCCATAATAAGATACCAAGTACATTTGATGTAAACACAAGTATAATACGGTTTGGTGATAAACACGTACTCGGAGACATTCACAAAGACATGTAATAGATATTGCAGTTGATGTAATTTAATTATAATTAGAGTAGATAGTAGTAACGGTATATCGTTTTAGAAGAGCAATCTTGATGTGCCATGCCATTTTATCAGTCACATGTAAAACCTTTCTTTCTACCGTTTCATCGTCAAAGGTAGACCTTTCTACTGGCCATTCACAGTAATAGATGACCAATATCAATGAGTAACCGCAAACGGTTAAGTGTTCGTTTTATATCTTGATCAAAATTATAATTCTAATAGACATAATAATTGTGATGCTACAAGGAATAGTAAGTAAACGCTATTTTTTAAAAATTTACAACAGTTAAATATGATTTTTTAAACTTTTTGATCGATTTAAAATTACTTTTTGAAACATAAAGTAAAGACCCTTCTGTTATTTAACAAACTAAGTAAAGCACAGTAGCGTAAAGATGGTCTATAATAAGACAAAAGTGAAGCTAGAAGAGGCCAAAGCTCAAATATCTTACAGTAGACAAAAGTAAACTTTCAAGCTTTACAAAGATATATAATAAAAATTCCAAAAATATTCGCAAAACTCAAATAATAATACAGTATGCTTTTCACATATTTTTCGTAAACTAAGTCTTTAAAACATTCGACAATGACCCATAATATCTTGTAACATCTTCCACTACCACTTAACCTACTCTCAACCCATCTTCAACCCTTGTAACTCATCTCCACCTGTTATACAGAACTTTTGGCGCACCCATCATGTTTACCCCATCTTCATCCTATGTAACTCTTCATTGACACCCTCCTCAAACCCGTGTAACCCATCTTCAATATATTCTAACCCATCTTCAACATTTTCTAACCTATCCTCAATATCTTCCAACCCACCACCCATCCTCGACCCTTATTCTTGACCCTCAGCCGAGATTCCTCCAAAAAAACTGTAACCGCTGAGCGGAAGACCAGCCGGTGGGCGTGGTCACGCGAGGTCAGTTCACGGTTTTTTTTGAAACGCAAAAAAGTGATTTGTTTACCGAAATCATTCCCGACCCCCCTCCAATCAAGAGTGCAAAGCAGAAGGCTCGGGGAAGAGGGAAGGAGAGGGTAGGGTAGAGGAGTGTAGAGATAGGGGAGGGTTGAGATAGGGGAAGAGTTTTAGAGATTATGGAAAGTGTAGAGGGCTTAGTGAGGTAGAGATGGTGAAGATAAGTAAAAGAGGTATCTTATGTTAATAATTTTTAAAAAATTAAAAATTTTTTTAAATTTAATGAAAATGCTATTCTTTATTACTTAAAACTCATTTTTCACACAAATCCTTAAAAGTTTTTAAAAAGCATTTTAAAGTTTGGTCAGGCAAAAAGATCATTTCAAACCTTCTAACACCCCTTAAAACCCTAAAAAACTCAAAAGACCACACCCAAATCAAAGAGAACGTCAAAGAAAACGCTTACACTTGATAGATACAATAACAAAAAGAGACAGCAAACACAACACGAATCGCTGAGAGATCCGCGACGAGGACAACGTCGCCGGGGTGAGAGAACCGGGAGCGGGCGGGGTGAATCGCCGTGCCTGGAGCCACCATTTAGTCCCTGAGGAAATGCAAATACAAAAAAAAGAAAACACAAACATTTACTTGTGTTTTCTTCGTGTACGTTCTCTAATCACTGTTTCTTCGCCGTGATAAGGGATGGAACGGAGGAAAAACAGTGTAAAGATATGATAACATTCGAAATGTTACATATGATTTATAAACTTAAAGAAGCAAAAGTTAGAGTAAACATGTAAACAGCACTGTAGTAGAGTAAGCTAGGATAAGGTAATATCAGGTATAGCAAAGTAGCGTATTGTCGAGTAGTGCAGGCAAAGTAGGATCAGATTTGGAAACGTACGGTAAAGTAAAGTAAAGAATAAGAAAAGGGTCAAAGAAGATAGAGTAGTGTAGAAGTGTAGAATAGGGTAAGGCAGAGTAAAATAGAGTCAATTAAGATAAGGTAAGATACAGTAGAGTAAGGTAAAGTAAAATGGGTTAAAAAAGAAGAAAGTAGACAGAAGTATAGTATGGTAGAGTAAAGTAGGGTAGGGTAGGGTATGATAGGGTAAGGTAGGGTAGAGTTAAAAACTTTAACGTCAATAACAAATCTATTACGTTACATAACATATCTATAACAAACGTATAACAAGCAAAAGAGACAAAAAAGTCAATGTATGACCTACAAAGTGCACTAAGATCAATAACTATTGAGACAGTAACTAGTTACAAATTGTAGCCTTTACTTAAAAAGTCTCACCACAATAATTCAAGTACAATAATTAAGTACCAAACGTCATACAGCTTTTGAATATGTTTAAGTTCCACTTAACATAAGATAATGAAACATACCACAAAAACGTAATTGCTTACATAGAATGTTAAAAGCATAAAAGAGTTACAGTACGTATACGAGTTGTTAAAAAATATTATTGTATGTGATAAATGACGAAGCAAAGTACGCCTACTCGAACAGGTACTGTTATGTACGTACTTGTAACAGATATACGTACTCAAGTGTTCTAGGGTATCATCTTAATCATCTTAATAAAAGAATATGTTAAATACGTACATATACGTCTATATTATTTTAAAAACAACTTGAAAGTTCGTAGTATTCAAACGTTAAAATAAGGAAAAATAATATTTTAAAGATTGTACTGTAAGATAATGCTGAAATACCACAATGTTGCTTAATTTTTTTTCTTTTTTACACTACTGTAAGAAGAATAAAATTTTATCAGTTATTATCTTGACACTTAAGAAACCGGTTCAAAGTGTTAGTATAACCATAGTGTCACAGTATCCAGGCAGTCTTTGATAGAACTTCTATTACAAAGAGTGGTCAGAGAGTTGTTGCTACAGAGAGGGTTTTATCATACTATCAAAGGTCATACAAAAGAAGTATACTGTAGAGTGCGGAGCAGAGCCAAAGCAACCAGTACCCTTCTTTGCCGCTACAAGCCTCTGGCGTTTTTGTTCTAAATTTCCGATTGAACTTTTGTCATTTTTTAGTACCATTTTTGCTTGTACTGTATTAAGCAGTACTAAGTACTACGTACAGTATACACTTTTATCATTATAAGTCTCTTGTTCTCTCTCTACAAGCAAAAACAATTTTTTTTAAATTTAAAAAAAATTTTACTTGTACTGTATAAAACAGTACTATGTAGCTTATCATTACAATTTTCTTGCTCTTTCTCTCAGCAAGCCCAATTAAATAATTGGTACTCTTTCTCTACATGCCCAATTCAACTCTTGGCCCTCGTACGCCTCCCAAGCGATTGACGGCTTCAAGTTTTTTACAAAAGTACATGTTTGTTGTTACGGAAATGTTTGCACTGTCCAGCCGACAAAAAACCTCAAGAATCGAATTGGGCTTCCGCCGAGAGAGTGCGTCAAACGAAGAGACGGCCAGAGCCAACGTTTTGGGTGATCTGTTTAAGCGCGCACGTTGGAGCCGGGTGGTGCAAGGTCAGGGGTTGCGCCGGTTGCGCAATGTTTGTCCAGTCCACGTCGGACGCGCAAGAAAATCACTTCAGCCGGCTGTTTTTTAGACTGGGACAATGGAGGAGACCAAAGAGGATGGGGAAAGGGGGAAAGGTGAAAGGGATCAAAGTGACGTAACAGCCGGGTTTGGAAGCGCGGTTTTAAGAAAAGTGAAAAAAAATATTAAAAGGTAGGGTAGACAAGGGTAGAACAAAATAGAAAATGGTCGAGCAGAATAAAGTAAGGCGGGCAAAAAAAGAGTAAGTTAAGGCAAATAAGTTATGGTAAGATAGGGTAGGGTGGGGGTAAGATATCGTAAGATAGGGTAAGATAAGGCAAATGTAGTTCGGGTAGAAAATGCTAGCTTAGAAAAGCACCCCCAAAAAATTTCTAAAAACTTCAAAAATCTACTGTACCCCAATGTACTTAATACCCTGAAGACCAAGATGTACATATGTACATTTTTTGAGTAGATGGGCAATTAAATATGTAGAAACTAAAGGTGGCTAGGATTAGTTGGAGTGCGTCAAGAAAGCCTAAAACTGGAGCAATTAAAGAAGGTGGGTAATGCGGTTCTTTGATACGAGATATAACATTGTATATGTTGCCATACTTTACAAATCTTATAAAGATTTAGCTGTAGAATCTTATAAAGACTTGGCAGTAGGATTGGCAAAAGCCAAAAGACCTGCCTTTAGCACAATTTTAAAATTTTTATATAAGAGGCGACGTAAGTTTATTGTAATTTAAGTACCCTAGCAAACAAAAAGGCTTATAGCTCATTTACTGTTACTGTAGACATTACTATAAAGCCCTGAACATACTGTAAAACTAATTAAGTGAA